GGAGCTGCAGGTGTGGCCAAAACGGTCGTTGATGCCAAGAATGCACAAAAGAAATTGGAGGAAGACCATCGCCATAACAAAGCTATGGAGTCTTTGGGCAAAGGATTGTATTTGAGAAAAAATGCTAAAGGTGGTTATGGGTTGTACCTCAAAAAAAAAAGTCAAAAAAACTAAACATCAAGCTACCCAAGAAAGCGCTTTATGATTATGAAATAAAGCAATATGCGAAGCTCTTGAACATACCTCATTTCCGAGGTGTCTTCATGCGTGACACTTTACCACGAGACGGTCCACGTAAAAGAGAATGCGCCGTCGTGAACTTAGATATTTCACAAAACAACGGAACTCATTGGGTAGCTTATAAAAAGATAAACAACAACGTTGAGTATTTCGATTCATTTGGTAACCTGAAGCCTCCACAGGAACTTGTTCGATATCTGAAAAACGCTAAAATTTTCTACAACAACGATCCTTACCAAACTTATAATCAAGTTAATTGCGGACAATTGTGTTTGAAATTTCTATACAATAACAACAACAACGATGGATAATAAAACATTATCGGAATTTACATTAGAAGAGTTTGAGAAGAATATTCCGCCGCTGGAATATTTAATAAGCAATGTGAGACCTGCAGAATTATTGAGTATATGGCACAAACTGCCTGCAGAATACACATCCAATTTTGATCTTCAAATACGACTTCCATGCTATGTTCACTACAACAGACCTGATTGGACAACACATTGGGATGGACCGGCTACTGCTCAAGCAAATTGTTATTTCTGTAAATTATCCATTCGAAAATAAACAAAAAAAAAAAACTTGAATAAATGCTTAGTACACAGCTATATTTTTTCATTCATCATGTCGCAGTTGTTGAGAGTCAATAGCACTACTCATATATTTTCATTTCGTCCTTCAACACCGATAGTGTTGGATCCGAAAAAAGATTATGAATTGGCGCTTAGGTCTTTTACTTCATACAATTCCATACCGAATATTGAAAAAGGAGATAAATTTTATTATATCGACCGGATAGGTGGCGGTGGTGGTCAATTAAAAGTCATCGAGTTTCCGACAGGTTGTTATGAAATTACCGACATAGAAACATTTATACGAACGCAAATGAATCTTGAAAATGAAGTTGCTCCTCCGGATGATTATTTTTCTCTAAAACCTAACAATAATACACTGCAATGTGAAATCTTTAGCAAGTATTATAAAATAGTTTTTACAGAACCGAATAATCTTGGACATCTATTGGGATTCTCGAAAAAAGTTCTTAATCCTGGTCAAAAGCATTCTTCTGATTTACCTGTAAACATAATAAAAGTATCAACCATACACTTTGATGCTAACATTACGTCGGGAGCCTTTGACGGAGACACGCCTGCACACACGATCTACGAATTTGCTGTGACAGCCGATCCTGGATACGCTATAGTCGAAACACCTGTAAATTTACTATATCTACCTGTTATACCGAAACAAGAAATAACCAACATCACAGTGTTGGCTTTAGATCAAGACGGTCGTCCTGTAAACTTTCAAGGTGAAACTAGTACTCTTGTGTTGGAGTTGAGAGCGAAGCGCAGATGGGATTAGTGATTATAAGACATAGTGGTGCTTCCAAGGCAACTTCAGTATTACCCCAAGCACCTAAGCGACGACATCTACTACTAACTACATCAAATATCCTGTTTCTACGCTCACTTGGATATCATGTCAACAACAACAAGAATCATGTACAAAAAGAGAAAAACTGAGGAGGCAGCAGCAGCAGCATCACATACTTCTCCGATGTTTGATCTATATCGATCTCCAGCATTCGATGAATCTATTCGCAAGGCTGAGTATAGATCTTATACGAAGTTCATCAAGTCATTTAATTGTAATGATGTTGTGGAATTTAGCATCAATCAAGTAGATTCGTTCTTTGCAATGAACGCTTCCCTTCTATCTATCAAAGGAAAAGTTGAAATAACTGGAGGAGGAGGAGCAGGAGATGTATCTTTAGCTCCAAACTTTGGTGCCTTCCTATTTGACTCTTGCACTTACAGTGAATCCGCTAGAGAAGTTGAAACAGTACGTGATCCTGGTATTGTAAGTACTGTCCGAGCTTACGTATGTTACAGTGAGGAAGACTCAAATCATATGGCTATAGCTGGATGGAACTATCCTTCAACACCTATAATGGCGTCAACACATAACAAGTCTTTTAGCTTGCTAATGCCGCTTAAACATATTTTCAACATTTTCAATGATTATCCTATGATTACGTGTGGCAGACAAACTCTCAGATTTGTGAGAGCTAGAAACGATAACGATTGTATCATTATCAAGGAAAAAACTGGAACGACGACGACAGCGAAAATAACTATTGAAAGCATGGAACTGAAAATCAAACATATTTACCCGAGTGATGATGTGAAAGAACAACTTTTGAAAGCTATTCAAACTGATAAGCCGATACTTATACCATTTAGAAAATGGGATCTGAATGAACTGCCTGCAATTACCGCAGATGCGAGAAGAGAAATATGGTCAGTTAAAACTAGCACCGCAATCGAAAGACCACGTTTCATTATAGTATGTTTCCAAACCGGTAAACGTGACGTCGCAACCTCAGACCCTACCCTGTTTGATCACGTGAATGCTGCTAGTATTCGAGTATCTTTAAATGGTGAATACTATCCCAACGAACGTATGCAATTGGACTTTGCAAACAATCACTTTACTGAAGCTCATTTCAACTATAGCGACTTTCAAACCAGCTATACAACTTCTTCTTCTCCTCTGAAGAGATGTCTTTTAGATTATACCGCTTTTAAAAATCGCGCTTTGTTTGTTATTGACTGTTCCAAACAAGAGGAAACCATGAAATCATCAACTGTTGATGTTAGATTGGATATCGAAGCCGATACTGGCTTTCCAACCAACACCAAGGCCTACTGCATCATTATACATGACTGCTTAATCGAGTACTTCCCCCTCACCGAAGTTATTAAAACCATCTCGTAAGCAACGAAGGACTCTCAGTTCCGCATCAGACATCATGAGGATCGCGTTTGTTGACATTCAAGGCTTTACAGTTGACGGATTATTCGTACCTAAAGAACTATGTATCGAAATTGGTTTCAAGAAAAGTCATTACATCTTTACACCTACGCAACCTTTTTCTACATTAAATACTAAAGACAAGAAAACTGTCGCTTACTTGGAGAAGAATTTCCATGGGCTTAAATATTCTTCCGGCGACGTTAAATATTCCAAGTTAAATGAAATAATTAAAAATAAGGTGATATATGCGGCTGACTATGTCTACGTTCGTGGAGAACAGAAAGCAAACTTTTTACTCAAGAAATGTCACATTTTTGGTGTTTTTCCCAACATTATTGATGTTTGCAAGTATGATGGTACACCGTGTGCTACTGGAAACTTTGTTGCTGATTCCAATCCATGCCACACCAACGGACAATTTTCCTGTACCCAGAGAAATGTTGAACGTCTACGCCACTGGTTTTCAAATATCATACTACCTATGTAGTTTTTTCTATTTTCAATAAAATATTAAACGTATTATTGTAGTTTTATTGAAAATACCTCTGGTTTGCGAAATAATTGTCAGAATGTCTATACTATTTTCATTTTGAACGGTATCATCCTGTATAATAATAACAGTACATCGTATACAGGTTATGAGACATTCTGACCGACCGACCGACCGACCAGAGGAGCCCACCACGCTATTTAGGTCACGCCTTGCTATATACGATTTAACGATATACCGTCGGTCCATCGATCCGCTATTTTTCGTTGCACCCCTGTATACACGTTGCCCCCCGTAATCCACGCCAACACCAGACAGATGCGGCATCGGCGCCATCTATGCGCGAGATGCCCAACCCATCAATGGCAGCTGTCCAATGACACATAGATTCCGTTTGGTTTGTACAGCGCCAAACAAATCGGCGCCATCTATGCGCGAGATGCCCAACCCATCAATGACAGGTGTCCAATGACGTATGACAGATGACGTTTTAACGCCATCTATGCGTGAGATGCCCAATGACGCATGACAGGTGTCCAATGACACACAGATTCCGTTTGGTTTGACAGCGCCATCTAGCGGCGGAATCCCCAACTCATGAATTTCGATTACAGATTCCGTCCAACAACCTGTCAATGGCGCGCGACGCCAGCGCCTCTGGTGGCGGATTTTGGAAGTTTTGAGACCGAATCCCCATAAGACATCTACTTATATCATTGCTGATAAATTCTACTCGTCTCACCACTGCAGACACTATCTCGTCTATATTTCTAAAGTTGGCAAATAATGAATCTGCAGCTGCTAAAAACACCTGTTTTATCATTTCCCCATCTTCATAAGGTTTCTTCTTTTGTGTAATTATCTGGGCTGCTTCAGTTGCAGCCCTTTTGTAAATTCTTCTTAAAAATATTCTGTTGTCCAATTTGATTTTTTAATTGTTTCAGTTTTTCTGTTCTGTTTGCAGAATGTAATAGGACTTATTTTTCAAAATTCAAATGTACAGTTTTATAGTGCCTCTTGATATTTCCTTTTTTAGCAACGGAAACAGATGTATTACATAACAAATATACATTTTTACCTTTAACTTCTGTAAAGAAATATTGTTCTTCCCATTCCAAATGGAAATGGTATGTCTTCATCTTCTTACTACAGCCCATAATGTATTTTATTGCAGGCCAACTCTAACACAACTGTTGGACTTTGTGCTATTCAGTTTTAAACTGAGCGCACTGTCGCGGCACCTTGCGTATTTATTCCGTTCAAAGTAGTCGAGATCATTCTCAGACTGATCGCTCACCGCAGTGTTGCTGCTGCTTATGTTTATTATGAGAATTTACAAAATTTATGGAAGCTTCTAAGATTTGTACACCTTTCTAAACTATTTTGTGATCCACCAGAATTGCCTTTGCCAGCTACTGGTAGCCCACGATCGACAGGTTGGCGACTAGGGCCATAGACCATAAAGTAGTCTATATGACACATTCATGAAGTAAACTTTACAGCTAGTTTGTAGTATATACTTACTGGGTCCATAGGGTTAGTGAAGTGTTCATATTTTCCTCTTGGTGACTTTGGTAATGCTGACAAGTTCAGTAGAGCACCAATCACAGTGGCTGCATATTCTGAACCAGTTTCTTTGTTTTTTGGAATGCAACAATCAAGAAATATCTCTGCTAGAATTGCATTAGATGCAATCACATTTAGATAATTAAATACTGATATTGGAAAGCCAGTTAGAAATGATGATCTGAGTTCAGCCACAACTTTTGTGTTCATTGAGTCTATGAACTTCCTCAAGGATTCGTCATCTGAAAATGGTTAACAAATTTGAGAAAATCTTAAACTCGATTATTAAAAAAATGATATCTTTTCATATTGGATCAGGCCAAACCTACTTCTATAAACTTCAGGAATATACCTTTTACCTTAAACTATATGGTGGAGTTGATAATTATTATACTTTTTTTTTTTGGTGATACAAGTCAAATTATAGTAAATAGTAGAACTGTGAACATTTGAGTGCCTCAGTCATAAAACTGTGTTAAGGTAAGAACATCTCAAGATAAAGTAAAACTGGATACATACTGTTGTGTTCTTCTTCGAGTACTTTTTTACATGCATCTATGAAAAATCCTGCAGCCTCTGGTTCTCCATCTTTCAAAATTTTCAAGATATCAGCCGCTATGTCTTGACCAGCATATATATCTGACTGCATGATTGGAGTAGCAACATTCTGAATGATTTTATCCCTAATCGTTTTTTGCTCTTCAGGTTTCAATTTTGCTGAATATCGGTCAAGGTTTTTGAGGCTAGTATACAGATACTCGATGACTTTTGAACCCCAAACATGGGAGTCTTCAACACCTCCTTTTTGAGTGATTTCTTCATTGCACATAAATAATCTTTCAAACAGAGCATATTGTAATAAATCTAAGTCAAGTTCTTTCTTATCGTGTACATTTCTTACTTCCTCCAGATACAAAAGGCCTTTACTATCTCCGTGGGAAGGATCTATTGTAAATCCAAATATATCTTCTAATATACCATTAATTGAATTATTATTTTTTGTATTAATATTTGCTAATAAAGCTGAATTAGATTTTGTACTTGACATCCTGGTTTTTACTTATTCACGTTGATATTAGCAATTATTTGTTATGAATTATCATTACTTGTCACTTTTGCCAGCTGTCATAATAAATAACCTCCAATTTTGAGTATGTTTATTTGACCTGCAGCGTTGCCAAGTTGGATATTTCACAGTCTTTTTTGGTCTTGGTGTTGCAATATTCTGCATTTCTAGCTATGATTCTCTTTTTTCAAAGGCGTACCTACGCTGAAAGCACCATGTCTTTTGTTTTGACATACATTTACAAGATATAACTTTAGAATTATGAAAAAATACCTATTTACTAGTGTGCCATCTCTAGACGTTCCCGTTCCTGAAATGTCAGTGAATCGTTCCCCGCTTTGTGCTTTGCTTCTGTTTATCATAAATCCTTCCATTCCATTTATTTTCAGTGTTTTTATTTGTGGTTTTCAATCTGTGAATGTTCTTTTGCAAATTGTTTAGAATGGCTGATGATGAATTTTCGTCGAACTCGCAAAGCACTGCTCAAAATGAAAATGGAAATGCAAACGCTGAACCAAATGTTCCTTTTCGTCTTGATTTGGGCGATGATCCTATAAGAAATGGAGACCACATTAGGTTAGAAAATCAAAATTCTGTACCGTCAGGTATGTTTGTTGTGTGTTCTGAATATGCCATATTTTAATACGAGCTAGTAATTTCATTACTGTGAGGCCTTTGAATTGCTAAAGTCTTCCATATGAGATATCTTTGTCAGGAATTTGAAGTATCTCTTCAGGTCCATTCCATTGTTGTAAGGGTTGTTGAAAGATGCCTTTAGTTGTACAGTAAAATTATATAGATGGTGCGAAAAATCTAGCAAGCTCTTAATTAATGTTGTGTAGCAGTTCATTTTGTAATTTATTTTTATTGCCACAATAATATTGTATATGGTTGTTAAGTTTTCAATTCACTTTTTAATTTATTTTTATTGTCATAATATTATTGTATAACTATGGTTGTTAAGTTTTAAATTCACTTTTGTAAATCCACCAAGCTTGTTATATTATCTTTAATATCTCTTTTTGAAATATACATGTAGGTATTGAATCATCCTAACTTGTATGAGTATCTAATGATGATACATTTTAAATTTATGCTTGTAAACATATTTATTTTTTAACTAAATTATTTCTACATTTTTGGTCCACTGCAGTTGTCAGTATAATAATTTGATATCATATAAAGTACTGTTGCTCTAACAGAGAACAGACTGGTTCAATGAAAGGAAGTTGTTATTGCTATTTTTAGTTTGCCAGATGTTTTTAACTGCAGCCCATGGGACAAACACACAGCACCTAACAATATTACTGTTTCCCATGTTTCAATATAAATAATTGCTTCATAATTATTTGAAAAAGGATGATATTAGAATTGTCATATAGGTATTCTGCCTATATAAATTATAATTAACATTAGAGAATTAAATAGATACTTTGGGGGTTCTATATCCACGGCAGATTAGAGAAGGAATTGTAACTTATAAAACCAATCTTTCATGTACTTTCATTTTTTAATTCATGCTTTTCTTAAAGATCGGCTTTTGTTCAGATACAATTATTATGGGCTTGTTACATTGTGTATTCAACTCGATATTTTCTTACCTTAACTGACTTTTTTTTTCAGTTATTGTGTTTTAGTCCATTTATAATAGACCATTTTTTTAAATATTCATTTCCTGTCCATTTGCATTTCTGTTTTTATTAACCTTTTTGTATATACTCTGTTCACATTTAGTGGTGTAATAGAAATAATGCAAGTGAGTTATTTAGGCTTATATGGAGTGAATTAGTCTACAAAACAAAACATCCTGGTAGGATTGATGCTTTAAAAGAGAGCAAAAATGAATTACTTTTTCTTGGTAAAGAAGCAGATCAAATACCTAATAAAAACAGCTAGATGATTTTATTAACGATATTTCCAGGACTACATCTCATAATTTTAAATGGAGACTTCTATTTTTGAAATTGGCAGTCAAATTGGAGTGATATAATTTTTGATATTGTTCCAATCACAATGTAGTTGGGCATGCTTCAAGAAGGAATTCATTTATTACCTTTAACACTAAAATGATCATGAGTTTTATCCAAAATTTCATTGTAAATTATTACTAAATGCAGGCTATTTTTTCAAACACAAGTATCAATCCACTGCCATTGAATGGCTTTTGAAAAACGATTTGTTTACAATATTTCCTTGTGAATGTTCACTCATATACAGTAATGGACAAAAGTATATAGACAAATATGAATATTTACCTAAATGCCTTTAGAGAGTTCATACTTCATTGCTTCATAAACAAATGTGTTATTAGTAGACAAATTCTTTTCACCATTAGTTTAGTACAGTTTCATGTCAGAAGAGAATTAGTTTGTGTTCATCAAGTATTGTGGAATAAGTTGAGTTATTTTAAGAACATGCCACTTGGTTCAGAAATTTCTTTCGACGTACAAACTAAGATCATTGAGTTATACAAAGATGGTCAACATCAAATCGACATTGCCAAAAATTTGAAGCTGAACCGTAAAGCAGTTAGGGCAGTATTGAACAAATATAAACAAAAAGGTATCTTGAAAGCCTACAAGAGAAGTGGTCGGCCTAGAAAACTAAATGCTAGATCAGTTACATTAATTAAAGTAAATTTGTCCAAAGATCCGTTTAAAACCCCAAGACAAATAAAAGCTGAAAGCGAGACAAAACGAATTGTCAGTATTTCTACGAAAACTATAAGTAGAAGATAAAATGATTTGCACGGTTGCATCTTGATTGGAGCATCTGTGACTGGAAGAGGGTATGTTTCAGTGACGAATCCAAGTTCAATATGCTTGGATCAGATGGTTTTCATTATGTTAAAGGTCCTAGTGGACAAAGATTGAACCCCAAGTACACTTTGCCCACTGTCAAACATGGAGGCGGGTCTGTTATGGTTTGGGGGTGCTTTTGGGGTATGGGATGGGACCTTTCCATAGAATAGATGGCATTATGGATAAGTTTGTATACACAGACATACTAAAGCATGTCATGTTACCCTATATGGAAGACAATATGCCCTTAAGATCAATCTTCCAGCAAGATAATGACCCAAAGCACACTTCAAGTCTCGCAAATAAATTCTTTCTGGATGAAAAAATACCAGTTCTCAAATGGCCTTCACAGTCTCCCAATATAAACCCCATTGAAAACTATGGGAATACTTAGATAAGCAAATACGAGATGAAAACTATTCAAACAAGGACGAACTTTTTTCCGTTCTAGAGCAATAGTAGTGACAGATTATATCAAGAAACTTCTACAATCTATGCCGAGACGATGGCAGGCGGTGATTGTTATTAATGGTTTTGCTACAAAATATTAACACAAACATGGTTGGTTTTCTATAATTCAATGAACTTTGCTTCTTTTTTCTATGATTGTTTTGCTTTGTCTATATATTTTTGTCCTTCATAGTTCCAGTTTTTTCAATTAATTTTTTATTGAAGGGAGTCTAATGAATGTATTTATGTATAAGTGCTATAACGAATGATGTATACAGGTTGGTGTATTAATAAAACAAGTTAAAAAAAAATACAGCACAAAACTAATTTGTCTATATGTACTTTTGTCCATTACTGTAAATAAATTATTTCGCTAGAAGTATTTTAATTCAAAAATGTTCCGTAACTAAGGAACAACAAAAATGCATTTATGCCCTTTCTGACCCTGCATTTGGTTATTTTGTGAAAGAAATTAACAGTCAATCTCAGAACTCAAATGTGTTTCTAGATTGAATCTAGTCTATTAAATTTTTGCTTCAGTTTCCAGTACAAGCTCGAACTCAGTACCAAGTGAAGGTCACAGGCGAGAAGACAATCCATTTTCATTCAAACATTTCCTTCGAAGTGACTCCAACTCGGGGTACCAAAATAAAGGGGCCCGCCCCAAAGTTTATGGTGAACGGCGATCCGCGTCCAGCGATTTTGTCACCAACAGGCCCCCAGAACCCAAACAATCTGTCAGAATGGTTCCAGAATTCTCATCTGCTCTGCCAGACTTCGTACAAGACCACTTGGTCATTGAGCAGTGCTACTTGGGGAACAATCCTACAAATAATTATGATTTGGATGTGGACAACTTGCCAGATTTTACTCCTGATAGAAGCAGTAGTAGGTAAGCAGTAAGTTACATGACAAGTTGCACAGCCCATTGACAAGTAAATTATACAGTATGTTATCATGAATTGAATGCTAAACACAAATATCATGCGTATGTGTATATGGCAACATCTGCTTGACACTACTCAAGACATCAACACTATACAATTTGTATAAAGTAAGAAGCATGGTCAAACCACTCAATGACTGGTCATCAATTCACAACAGACAATTTAGTCAAAGCATTGATTAACATATTCTCCAAGAAGTTGCCCAACCCTATGCTGTATTTGGGCATGTTTCCCTTAGAACTAACTCCATTTTCCTTATAAATTATTTATTTCCAAACATAAGAACAACCTTAGAAGGTAAAATTACCCCACAACCTCCTTGATATTCAGATTTCAGATTCTCGGAATTTCTCAATGATAGTAGAGTAAATATAACCTATGACAATAGCCCAAGAGGTGCCACAGTAATATGTCCATTTTATGATTTCTGACCAGGCATAGATTTTACTTGGATTGGTTATCTTCTGGTAGAATATGTACATGCGCCAATATGTAGTCTGTCCATAATGTTCACAGTCTCTCCGATCCTCCATGTAACATGCAGGCTCTGTTATCATAACTGCCCATCTATCATCTATACTGGTGAATCTGGGCAATAGATGTACAATTTAACATTGATCCCTTCTAGGAAATGCAATAGTGTAGATGCAGATAACTTGCCAGATTTCACACCAAGCAGAGAAACTAGGAATTCCAATGGTTCTAGAAATGCCAATGGTAGTAATTCAAATGATCAAGTACCATTGGATTTGCCAATAAGACCTCCAGATTCGTTTCCTCTAGATCTTCCACTCACTGGGTCGTCTAGCTCAAGAAATTCCACTAGTGAGGTAAGTAAAAGCTAAATATTTTAGAGAATCAGAATAAAATTCATTAGTTGTTTTTTTTTTTTAGGTTGGAAACTCCAAAAGCCTCCCAGACTTTCTGACAGACAGTGCGGTTTGTACTCAGAAAGGTGAAGCTATGACTGCACCTCACAGTCCTGAAGGTGAAGTAGAAAGGCTGAGACATGAACTGGAAATCGTCCGTAGACATTTGACTGAGAAAAATAGGTATTTGCAAGATATAATTCATCAACAATTTGTTTGATTTGTTCAATTCCACAGGCTCTGTGAAAGCTTAAGTAGGGAGTTAGAGATAGCTAGGAATAAGGAACATGAATACACACAAAACCTGTCAAAGGCACTGGAACAAGTGGAGAATAGTCTAGAAAAAAGTAACGTAAGTACATACATGTGTAGTGCTTCACAGTATGGAATGTACTGTTTTCTTGGAAACCTCAAATTGCCAAAACTTGACAACAAATAGCAGCTGATTCAGTGACATCCAGTGTACTTTATAAGCCAACAATTTTATGTATTTTGTTTTGCTTAAAACAACTTTTAAAATTTTCGTATACAGTCAGAACATGCAATTGATGTAGTAGTAATGAGGATGACAATACAGAATGTCCTGAAAGTTGAGGTTTTCCTTTACAGAAACAACTAAGTTTAAAAAAGAAATCTAGTGTGGTGTGAAACAGCAGCAAAAACGTAAAAAAGAAATTGAAGAATAGTGGTTACTTTTCATTTGATAAGCAATTTGAAGTGTTGCTCTCTTACATGTTCTTGTAAATACTACGGCCTTTGTGCGATAAACAAACCTTCGCAGGTATGGACAGAAACGTATAGGAACACAATTTGATTACACTCGCGAACTATCAATATCATCTTGAGGACACTCTGCATAAGCTAACATCAAATCAATAACTTTGTTACTTCTATAGGAAGGTGCCAATTTCGGGTTTTGGAATCCGATTTATAAATAAAGTAGGTTAACCAACACACCGCGCGGTGCCTGATTTGGATACTGACGTACGAATACATCGTACCACAAAACATTATACCTTTTTATGTAGGATGCAGGGTCGGGTTGGTCCATCAGGATATTTCGGAACCTAACATCTCGTTTATCTCGAACTTTGGTATCACTAAGAAATTTGCTTATTCATGCATGGCCTATACGGTCTGTAAAAGAAAGTCATAAGTTTATATGGGCCATTTAATTTTCTTGCTACGACCTACAATCTAGGACGAAGATGTGTTCCTTTTTATAGGGTTTCATTAATATTTAAGCCTTACCGAATGAATTTTCGTCTTGTGTTCTTTTTGATATGGGTACAACAATTTTAGTGTTTTTGTTTCCAGAGGCGAGCGGCATCTGCTGAAGGTACTGTGACGAAACTAAAGCAAGAAATTAAAACTTTAACGGTATATAACGGTATGTGTGTAAGTCTATCGGCCTAATAGAACAATTTATAGGTACAAGTGAGTAATTTGAAATTGGAGAATCAGAGTTTAAGAGGCGAAGAGGCTGCAGGAGGTCAAGGGTACTACAACTCGGCGAATGAGTTTCATTCGCAGAGGTTAGCTCAAGATTTGAGGGCGGCTGCAAGCTCAGCCGAACACTCTTTGAGGTATGCTGTAATTTAAAATAAACGTTTTTTATTTAAACCTGCACTTTCAAGGGAGGCTTCTAACAGTTCCACTGGACAAAAGGGATGGCTTTTTGGATAATGTTACAAAATATCATCATCGTATCTCGTCAGACTTGTAAAACTCTCTATGCTTACAGAAATTCTTTTATGATTTTTGGCGGGTCACAATGAAATTACCGGTATCACTTTTATACATATATCTTCACACATATGCAGTCTGCCTCTGTACGCGGACGTTTGTTTATGTAAGCTCAGACATACATTCTAGTTCTCGTATCGCCACCTCGAAAATTTACGTACCAACGTATGAGTATTCCTCATCTATGCTTGTCACTGTCTGTCTGACGACCTACTTGCCATGGGCGTGCTGTTTGATTTACCTTTTGTTTTTTATTCGTAATACAGAAAATAGCAATTCCTGAAAACACAACTAGTGACCCATATCGACAGTTTCTCATAGAGTATTTTCAGAAAGTAAATGAAATCAGTGGACTCTTATGACCCAGTCCATGTGTGGAAGGGCTACTGAATTGAAGATTGATTTGCGCGGTGTGCAACTTCTACTACAAACGTTAAGTTTCGTATTTCGTAACCGCCAAAAACCGTGAGAAGACCTATACTTTCGTCAAGAGATCCATTATAATTTTTACATAGTCACTGATCAAGTGTCAAGGTTATTATGGAGGATCGTGTGGAGTGGCGTACATAGAACTTGAGTCCGTGGGGGGTTTCCAATGGAGGGGGGGGGGATGATAAAACATCATGGTGGTTTTATGTAATGGCAGGCCAATATTGAAAGGAATGTCATATTTCGCCGCTAAAAAGCTGGCAACTAAAGTTTTTTGCAATTTTGAGGAAATTTATGTGTTATAACATGCTGTTCAATTTAGGCAATTGCTAACTGGGGTAGACAACCTCCGAATGATGGCAGCTACTTTGGAAAACATGCATCGAATAGAAGAAAGGGACGAGCATTTCTCTAAATTTGACGATAATGCTGGACCATCGCTTTAAACTTTTATACACAACAGTCTGCACCATGTATCTTTAGCTAGATTTTTTAACTTAGCTAGGTTGTTATACATATAATCTTATTTATTGTTATAACAAAAATTTTTATACACGTGTAAGTATAATCTGTAAAGTATTTTTGGTAATATTCAAGTACCAAATCTGTATATACTGTTTTCAGTTGCTCCAGATATACAAAAATGTGATGTTTTAGATATTACTTTGGCTGTAAGAAATAAATATTTGATGTAACACCGTTTATTTTTGTATCTATCCCTTGCGGTATGCTGCTCTCCTAATGTAGATGTTACAATGGTCGACTTCTTAATACGCTAATAGCGCTACTTACGCAACCAATTGCCGTCTGTATAAGTTGGCCGTGTCAGTAAAGTGCTTTCATTATCGTCAAAGGTATAAAAACGTAGGTAATTTCGCCAGTAGCGATACAGAGTGAGATTCATTTCTGATAAACACGACATCATTGGCAGATGATCTCATAACGCATCGGAGAAATCGCTTAGTTGACAAAAATCAATGTCTATAAATTGACCAGGTCAAACTTTACTTGTTTCAAAAATTATTAATCATTAAATGTTATACAGGGTAGCCAATAAATAACTGAATGATTTCAGCAGGTGGCACGTTAGTAGGTGTTTAAAGCACATGTGTCAAGTTCATCATGGAGGGCTACACGATCCCACAATGCGTCCGTATTGTTAAAACGTTTTACTTAAATAATGAGTCGATTGTTACAACGATTCGGAAGCTACGACAAGATTTCGGTCGAAATACTGTGCCCAGTATCAACACCATTCGTTAGTTGGTGCGAACATTTGAAACAGGTTAAAGACATGCCTAAGTGTTCAAACTGTTCGTACTCCAGAAAATATCGAGAGAGTTCGTAAAAGTGTAGTGGAGCTGGAGCGCCCTGAGACGTCTACCAGACATTGTTCTCAAGAACTGGGTATTCGTCACATGTCATTATCCACTATTTTAAAAAAACACTTGCATGTGCTGCCATACAAAATTGAGTTAATCTAATAACTACAGCCTAGCGACAATGAAAGTCGCCAACAATACAGTCATGCGATATTGCAGCGTAATACCCAAAATAACGATTTTTACTGATAATGAGCGATGAAGCCCACTTCGATATGATCGGATTTGTTAATAAGCAGAATTGTCGTATCTAGGCATTAGAGAACCCTCGTGTCATCGATCAACGACCACTACATCCTCGTCGAGTCACAGTTTGGTGCGGTGTTTGATATGGAGGTTTCATCTTTGAAGACACTGCAGGTGATTCTCTTACTGTCATTGGCGATCGCTACCGTGATATGATGCAAAACTTTCTGGCCCCTCAAATCCAACAATTTAACCTGAAAAACATGTGGTTCCGGAGGACGGAGCAACTTGTCATACAGCTACAGAAACAATGAATATTTTGCGAACAATATTTCCGGGACGTTCAATCTCTCGATTTGGTGATGTCGACTGGCCACCAAGGTCACCAGGTTTAACGGATCCTGACTTATTTTATGGGGATTCTTGAAAAATAGGGTTTATGCCAACAAACCAAATACTGTAGAGCGGCTGAAGAACAATATTACAAAAGCGATTGAAAATATTCCTCCCGAAACAGTGGTGGAAAATGTAATCAAGAGGGCTCAGTTCTTCTAGAGATATCATTTTTCATACACAATTTCTAAGTTTCAATAAAAGATTAAGATGAAAATAAAATATCGGCCACCGTGAACTAAGATCTGAGGTGACTGAAATGGTTAACGTTTTTTTGAGATCTCTAGAGTCGCTCATTTTAGCATGAATTATTTATGGATGCGTATATGGTTGATTTAACAGACCGTGTGCTCGCCAGCAGGTAAATTTACAATAGAGTTAATTAGAAAATTCTAGCGTTGAGACAGGACACGCTGATATGAGTCTCAAAACATATCTCTATTTGCCTTCTGTGGGTATTTCATATTTATTTGCATGGTTTTTATTTCACCTGTAACATTTGTAATTGAATTGAAAGCAAATAAATATATAAAATAAAAAAATATGATGAAATTTTTCCTAAAGGTGCTTCTAAACGGGAAATATTTCTACCATTATCAAGCTGCACCAATAATAATCATTACTAGTTCTGCAGTATCGTTTATCATGCCGTAGAACACGTCAAGCATTCAAAATAGATAAGTAAAAATAATATACATATGAAATATATGACAGAATAATAGACAATAAAATACAACATACATATAGGTAGTAATACTAGCTACAGATTAAGATAGGAATGGGATTGGCCGAGATAAAATTATAAATAAATAAGTAATTAAAATACAATAATCAAGAATAAAATGCTAATAGTTGAAAATGTAAATAAAACATATGACTAATACAGTTGAAGTAGTATTGCCAAATTAAGCATATTGACGGTCTAACTGGATATCTGAGAAGTATTCATCCAAAGATGAGCTTTAAGTTTATGTCTAGATGATGGCATTGACAACGTTTTGAAATTGTTTTTCAATTTATTGAACAACCTAATACCCATTTGATTTGGGCTGGCTTCTGTTCTTGACAGTTTTTGTGCAGGAATTTGCAGGTCAGGCGGTTTCCTTGTCGATTACTTATAGAATTGCCAGTTACGGCAACTAGAGTTGCAATGCATGGTAACATTTTAGTATCACCCGCTGGGGTATTACGTAACTCGAAAAGTGACATTATGTGGATTTTTTTGACATATAGGTTTTTTGTAACATGTGGGTGTTTCTACAAGATATCAACTTAGACCTAGTATTGTTCACTTGATGATCACTCAGTCTGTAGCTGTACGTGTTGCCTAAACGCAGTGACGCTTCAGCTATCAAGGTTTGCCTCTGATGTGATGTAACATCTGTTTCAGAGTTGACATTATTGGAGGTCTGACCTGTAAGTTGTATATTATACTGGAAGGAAACGGCACCTGAGATGTATGCAAAGCTAGAAATTAGTTGCGCGTTGCACTTTTTTTTATTCATCGTGGAAATTAGATATGCAAATTTGCAGAATTTCAAAAATGAGAGTGAACCCTGGTTGGTGATGTATATTTAACCAACAGGTGAGAAAATATGCGATAGAAAGGAATATTTATGAAACGTAAAAAGTAAAAGTGAGCGCCTAAATGTGAGGCACTTCAAAAATGTTTTGTCTGTGATGCGTCATTCCTGATTTTTCTGCAATGTGGCTTAATTTAAGTTTTTTAAAACGCAAGAAAACTGGGGAAAATTGTAAAATATAACTTTGAAGATAACCTCTCTTTAGGGATGATCACAAATAACCCGTCTGGTACAGCTAATAGATATACTTCATGGGCAGTGCCATATTTCCTCACCTAAGAAATATTAATGATTTTATACACATGCAGATCAATACCTAAATACAAACATCCAGATGCGATCTTGCTGCTCAGCTGCTCAACCAATTTTCTTCCTGTCACATCTTCTCAAAGATATACTCTACAGACTATCATCTCCGCATTATGCATGCCAACAAAGCATGCTTGGGAGGATGACGCTTTTGGTGACGCTCATGCACAGGGTGAGATAGCAAGCAGTATCGCAATGAACTTTTTGCACACTAGGAACTAACTAGCCAGCAAGATGACGTTTTGTCGTTTTTTTTTTTTATATCACATAAGTTTTTTACGTTATAAAACCCTGTCGGAGGGATACACATGTTGCTGTCAGATTACCTAACCATCGAAAGTCTACTTATTGTAGTTCTGTAGTGTGTTTGATGTCAAATTCTAACAAGTGTATGTGCCTACATATTGCTTACAATACTGCCGAGATATAGGTAATATACACACGCTGCAACATACAACGATGCAGTGGCAGACAGCCGCTCTGGTAGTTGGTCAATCAAATCAAAAGAAATTGCCGGATCCGTGTCGCATCCAGGTGCCTCAAAAAACAAAAGTATGTATGATCCCAAGATGCCTGGTTTGCTGACAGACGAACAAGATGCTAGTATCTATGATCATCTACACAGCTGCACCCTAGATTAGATATTCTCTTCGAAATTCCACTCCATCCTTTGAAGCAGGATCTAACCTTTGATGGATTCCATATCACCTAGTTGTCAAAAGTATCAAATAATGCGGTGGGGAATGATGTTTCATTACTATTTTAAATCCCCTTATTCGACACACTTAAAAAAGAGCAAAATTTGGCGGGAGTACCATACGAAGCTCATATCACATCCCCCCCCACCAGGCTGTAATTTAGTCGGATAACTACAAACGACACATTAACCATTTTTGCAAATAGGAGAAATTTCTTCAGCATATTTGTTATAACTAATCATTTTCCATGTGTTTTGTGCACTGGGCACAAAAATACTCCAGTTTGCAACAAGTGCACTTTTGTGGCAAAAGAATTCAACAGATATCGAAATAAATGTGCTGAGCGCATGTTGTAGACTTTTGGACATGTGCCCGGCCCGGTGCTTTGCCATTTAAATAAGCTGCAGGAACGTGCTGCGCAAGATACGCCCGGCACATGTAGCTGCAACTTGCTATATATTGGAAAAGTACCTCAACAGGCGGTCTCAATCCTCTTTTCACATCGATGCGACCTTGAAGGTGACAATCAACGTCAACTGATACTACTTCCTGAAGGGCTGACCTTGCTAGTTATTTTAATCGCTAATCCTATGAGAGCTCTAGCAACACACATTTGGTCTACCTTTGACCTCTAGTGGTTACCTTCACCTTGGATTTTATTAAACACTCTTTCGGTTGTCGGCATCAAACATTGGGGTTTCCATTAAAAAACTTGACCTTGAAATATCGTTGAAGGTAAAGTACAAGGTCAAATCCATGGTCACTTTAAAATGGCTTGCTCTCAGTTTCTAAAGACCTGCCTTGACCTTCTCCAAAAATCCAAGAAAATACAAAGTAGTCCCATGACTTTTGTCACTCTCTGTACAGTTGTTTCAAAGAGGGCTACAAAACAGTCTTATTTTTTTATTAAATTACTTCTCTGACGTAACGAAGACATAAGTATAGATTTTCAAGAAACTATATGAATGACTATAATGGATTCTCTCCTATTTCCAATTTTGGTTTTGAAATCCCTCCTGTACACTGGTATGTACCTACTTATAACAAGCGAGTACTTTTGTTCTACTATGTACGTTTGCTTAAACTCCTGTCAACCTTTTTATCATCATCAATTACCTCATCAAGTAACAATGCCTCACGTCCCCCTTTCACTACGATAACAATGATAAACACACCGCAGTGGATCTCGACTGAGCTCAGTCCCAATAACGCACCTAAAAGTATAATGTTAATGACCATCAGTTTAAAAACTGGTCACTGAATTCATATGAGCGTACACTTTTTAACCAATTGTAGCGTGTTTCGTTATCATATCTGAACGATGATCTGATAATTGTGCAGTGCTTCAGTTTCATGATAATCTGAAACAGGTACGTAACAGTATATTATATGATTGAAACATTATTGTACCGTACAACATGTTAAAGAATTATATTTTTAATATATACCTATAACGCGTTAAGATTGGTTAATAGCGAATCAGTTCTCGAGTTTAAAGTGACCTTGTATTTTAATTATTGACTTTATCCTCGTGTTATTTTTTCCGTCGTGTACGTATATGATTTATTAGTCATAAATTTCAATTGAAACAATAAAGAGACACCGTTATTTTCGGGGTTTTTTCTTGGGAAAGATTGAAGAGATATTAATGTCCAATGTAATTGAGTTTTTTGTGCCAAAATTAAATGAATGACAGAAGCGACTATATGCAAAATTTAGATAAAATACGTTGATTCAAATTCACTAAAATGCAACAGCCAATTGCTTGCATTTCATAATGCTGGTAAAAATGGCCAAGTTTTCCTTCTTATTTTTTAAGCTGAGCTTTTCATTTAAAATGGTTTTATACAAAAGCTATGAAAGTTTTTATGTCAAATCGACCGAGAGCAATGCCTTATCAATAAATAAATTTATAATAATTTATTGAAAGAACTGTTAAATAACGATCGTTTCCGCTTATATCTGTTTCAAAACTGATCAGATTTCACTGGAACTGTATTCACGTTGCATTGACGATTTTTCCATATCTGCGAACATTTTGTAATATGCCTATTAATTGCTTACTCTAATACAGCTCTTAATAAGTATTTTGCGACCTTGTTACTGTATCAAAATGCAATCTACCAATTTTTTTTTCCAAAAATATTTTATTCCAACATATTTCCAACCTTTTATCAATTTATTGTTTGATCTTAGATGGTCTGTAATAAAAAACTGGCATCTAAATCTAAAACAACGTTTTGTAAACTGCTCAAATCGAAAGATATAACGAGCGGAAAACTGTTCTTCACCGTCTGAGGCCACCTTTCTTAGAAAAACCGTAATCCAGTTAACTGTTACATTTTAATGCATTTAAGTTATTGTATTTTTATCTTACTTTCCTACATAGAAGCTCATGTTGATCTTGGAAAAATTAGGTATTTGACAAATTTTGCTTGGAGTAATAGTTGTATCAGCAATCATGTGGAGATACAAGTTTTAAATTCAAGACACTGGGATCAAGAGTTAACTTACCCTTTTTTGACTTGCTTTTTACTGTTGTACGAATATTTGAGATGCAGTGCGGAACAATAATATTTCAAGAGCTAGGGATTTCAATTTGATTTATATGGATGGAAAAACTACAGTAGAAAAATAATTTACTGCAGAAAGTAGACATTGTAGAAAAATTTTTCTTCAAAAAAAATGGGAAAGCTTAAAAATGGTCCTCTGCACTAACTTCTACATCATATTAGATTTACTGAAAGGTTTGGCCGTTACATTATCAAAAAATTCCTTCAGATACGCGCATATTTATTAGATGGATATATGACTTTCTTCCACTAAATGTACATATGGTAGCCATATCGTAGAATGGCCAATTTCATGAAATGATCGAGCATTTCATAAAGCCGTCACATTTCATGAAATGGCCAACAAATTTTTGTTAAATCGACAAGTTTAACGATTTGGTCATTCGTAAAATAGAGTGTCCATAAAACCAGAAAATCCGCATAGTACTCTAGTACCTTTTGTCGTAAGATTTTTTAATCCCACCTGCTTCTTCATTTAGTGACGAATTATTAGAATTCTCAAAAAACAAAATTGTTATTAACGGCCGTCTTATCTAACATTTCCTGATTTCTTATTTATATCGCAATAAAACAAAAGAGATGAAAATGCGTACAGTACCGAGCAAAAGTGGAGAAACATTTAATTTTTTTTAAATATTTTATTAAACTATCAAAGTAAACTAAACGCTTATATTTTATTATAACTTTATGTAACATGTAATTTAAAGCCAACATGAAAATAACATTTCTGCTTTAATAAAACTATGCTAACAATTATTATTAGAAAATACAGCGAGAAAAAATAGAGAAACATAATATACAAAGCAATTGTCCTATACAAAGAAGCTAATACTTGGTTGCATAACCTTTATTTTTGTTAACTGCTAGACATCTTTTTCTCATAGAACCAATTAGGCTATCTATTGTTTCTTTTGGAATAGAATTCCTGGCGACTTCGATTGTTTCAAATAGTTCGGCATTATATTTTGCACTCTATTAGTTTTGCTCCAGAACTTTTGAAAAATATTAATCTCCATCTGCCTTCTCGCCAAACAAGACTGAATCAACCATTCCATGTGAGATCATTTCGTACTAATTATGCTAGCAATTCCTTCTTGTCTAGATCTTCAAGGTTAGCAAATCAGTATTCTAACAAGTTGGATTTCTTCAGAAGTCAGAAAGCATTCAAAATTCAATTAGATTCCTGTCAGTAATATTTAATATTTGATTTCCCCATATATGTATATTTTAATTAAATTCGTTTCAATTTAGAAATGATCTGGATTTTAAAGTGTTTACATTAGATCTTCTATGCAGTACTTTAATTGAGCAGTCGCTCGTTGATAAATAAATAAATAAATTATTTTTGAACGTTTCTGGATGTTCAGTGCGAATTTTTTTATCAACTAAATCCCATAGGATCTCTATGGGGTTAACGTCTGGACTCTGAGCTGGCCACTAATGACATTAATATTGTGATCTGCAAAAATGTTTTTATTTCGCTGTGTGCTTGGGGTCGTTGTCGTGTGGAACCGCCAGCGTAGAGGCATGTTTTCTTCTGCGTAAGGTAGCATGGTATCAGTTGTTTCCAAGTATTTGTACCGGTCCATAATTCCTTCAATTTTTACGATGGCTCCCATTTGAAGAACAGAGAAGCAACCCCATACTTGAACATTCCCGCCTCCGTGATTGTGCCCAAAGTGTACTTAGGATCAAATCGCTTGTTTTTAAGACGTCTTACCCATAAAATACCATCCGATGAAAATAAATTAAATTTACTTTCATCAGAAAATAATACAGAATTCCGCCTTGTTCCTGGCCAGTTGAAATGATCGTAAGCAAATTGAAGACGGGCTGTCCGATTTTTCTTGGAAATAAAGGGTTTTTTAGATAGTCCCCTTGCTGGTAAATCACTCGCACTTAAACGTCATCAATCAGTGTAAAAGCAAGAGTTTTAATTTTCCTATCAATCTATCCTAGGTGTGGTTTTTCGCGGTCTACCAGTCTTAGGAGGGCTTACCAGCGATGTTCTGAAGCGAAACAGCTTAATGGTTTTGCAAATTACCGATCGCTTTAAATTCAGCTTTTTGGCTATGGTTGTTTGTTTAATGCCTGATCGATATTTTAAAATAAGCAATTCTTTTACTTGCAAATTCAATGTAATCCCTCTGGCCATGTTGTTGAACTACACTTTACCGAATACACTCAAAAATAACATCTACTCTAACCAACAACTAAATATAAACCAAATATTTACAAAATGTTTCTCTACTTCTGCTCCTTGAACAAAAAACCGACCATATTATATTGGAAAAAAAAAGAATGTATAGAGGGATAAGCATTTCATTGTCTTGAGGTATTCATAAATAAAAAACTTTAGTGTAGTTTTGGGTTAGAGTAAAACCTTTTGGTTTTTTATTTGTAATGTGGTTTGTTTCTCTACTTTTGCTCGGTACTGTATGTTTACGCCAAATGAGATAGATGTACCCTGGAGCCAAAAATGCAAAACCTTTGTTCTTATTTTCAGGAGTAAAATAGTCTTTTGATAGACGAATTCGGGTTTATTCACTCATATTTTTTAGAATGAATGCAATAAGGGGTTTCTTACGCAGGTCGTTAGAAAAGCATCCGCTGATAACAAATTCAGTGATATATGGAACATTATGCACAGCTGCTGAGCTATCGCAACAGACTTTAACAAAGAAAGTGCTTGTAAGTATTGTTTAATGAATTACAAATGCATAACAAATGAAAAATTCGCCAATGAGGCATCTATACAGGGTGGTCCGTAATGATTGCCCCTAAAAGCTACTCTAGATTAAATGTTGAAATATTGAGCCAAATATACCTTAGCAAAATATTTAATGAAATACAGAAAGCTAAAATAAAATTCTCGCAATTGTTATTTCAATTACATATTCAGTTCTTTTTGTGATATCGGCGAAAGTGAATAGTAGGTTCCTGAAGACAATATTCTAGTTGTCAACATGTGTACATTTGTGACGCTAGTTACAGTCTATAGCTTCCTTGTAGGTAACGTTCCTTTATTTTTATTGAGAATTAATCATTAATATAACCATTGAAAATATTTTGGTTTATAGTTACCCAGGCATGTAATAAATTGAAATACTTAGACTCGATTATAACCAAAGACAGTAACTATGACAGTGACATAAATGCGGGAATTGCAATGTGGAAACAGGCAACTAAGGCCCGTATCGTCAGTCGTCCCTACAATTGTAGGGCGCGTTTATGGCCTCCTTGATTGTCATACTCCTTTCTCTCCTTCAAAAATTTCTAGATTGCACTTGTCCCGTATCAGCGTCAGCGCTCTCCTATTGTGAAGATATCTTTTCTTTTTAAATTGAAGGAAAAGTCAGGCTGATAAAACATGATAAAACTCGAAAGCAAGCACAATTTGATGCAAATAGATGTTTGTGACATAACCTCAAAATAGAGTTCTGACACGGAGAAGTAGAAAACTATGACAATCAAGGAGGCCATAAACCATAAAGGCGCCCTACAATTGTAGGGATGACTGACGATACGGGCCTAAGTCTTTCAATCGTTTATCATGGAATGAAAGTATAACCAAGGACACCAAGAAAAATCCTTTTTCACATTATAGTTCAAAATATTGTGCTGTATAGAGCCATAATGTGGCCAGTTCACAAAAACTGCACGAGGCAAGATAAGCACAGTTGAATCGGACCAGCGCTTTTGGGAAGCCTACTTTAAGAAGGCTATGGACGAAATGAATCTGCATAAGGGAGATTGGAATCACAAAATGTTGTAAAAACAAACAACAGTAAACCCAGGAAGTTAAAAGTCGAAGAAGCCAATTTTGAACTTAAACATTTATTTCGAATAATCAACCCTTTATCGAAGTATTCTGGTTCCAACATCTTATCACTCAGTCAAACGGCTTGCTCAAACAAATTGGTTAAGAGTGGAATGTGCTATGGAAAAAAAATAACGTTGTTATGGATATTTCAAAATGACAATATGTCCCAGGAATTACTTAGTAGTTCTCGTTTACAACACATTTCACTCTGAACGTAACTGATTCGGACCAGTAGAATATTAAAATTCAAATCTCCTGAACAGATTTTATTTAATCGAAATAAATGTAGGATACCTTTTCTAGTTCCAGTCAGGAATCATCGCAATATCATAATTATCAATAAAAAAATAATTGAGAAATACTCGCAAAATAGTTACAGGATGAGATTATCGAGATTATAGACTGTAACTATCGGCCCCTACATGCTATGATGAAAGTTAGAAAATAATTATGTAGTCGTATTCTTTATACCTGGGAAACTCTGATTCTCAGCTTGTGCTATTATAACAAGAATGGCTTAGAAAATTAGACTTTGGCAGCCTGTATTTCATTAACAAGCATCATTTTAGTGGGGTAGTTGGCTCAACATAATTATTCCGACGAGTTTCATCCAGGGTTGCTTTTTAGAATTGCGGTCTAAGCAGGTTTTAATCTTTGATTGTGTTGCCAAAACTTACAGTTGATAAAAATGATGATTCTATAAAACAATTCGTCCTATTTGTAGCAAAATTTGGCACGGAGCATCTCTCACTGTAGATTTTTCTTCATAATTATTACAACAGAACCAGAAATACACACACATGCTTACCGCATTGTTTAAAATTAATATGATGATTTTCATTTGTTTCTATATTAAAGTGATATAATTCTTTTTCAGAATGAAGTTCCTAGACCCATTGAGTGCGATATAGTTTGTCGATATTCATTTTATGGAACATTCGTAGGTGGGCCAGTATTATCAGTATGGTATTTTTATTTATCCTTCCCACTTTCAAAATATACTTTCTTTATATTTTTACAGGTATAGATTTTTAGATAAAATGTGCCCTGGAACGGCACCAAAAATTTTAGTGAAGAAACTTCTGGTGGATCAGTTTGTGTTTACACCACAGCTTCTTGTACTTTTTTACATCAGTAAGTATTAGGTCAATATTTTTAACGTAAACAATAGAGAATGTTCTCAAATTTGGGACTTTTCTGGCTTAAAGTATTTTCAAAAATCTCACAAGTTTTTAGGCCGTACGGATAAATTATAAATATAAATCTTAGGTGTTAACACCATGCTCCCAATTTTTGGCCCTCCAGATTAGAACTGCAACAACTGAGAAAATTTTCGAAATTAAAAGTTATTCATTATTCCAGGACTTTTAAGAGACAAAACTGGGACTATCAGTCTTGGTTCTGTCTTCAGAAGCAGAAAATGTCGAAACAGTAAAATTGTCTTCACCAAAAAATATTGTTAACTAGATTGACTTGTTACTTTCCACGTAATCATGTTATGCCGATTTTCAGATTTTCCATACGTTCAAATTGAACATATTCGACACACAAAAATGTTTCTTGAGTATTATTGTTTTATATGTAAGTCATTAGCGTGGAGAAACAACGGACAAGAGAAGCGAATACCTGTTAGTTGCCCCTTTTGAAAAATCAATTCTTAGTCTATACGTAACTCTTTAATCATATATTCAATATTATTTCGTTCGCGAAAACAAATTTTGATATGCGACCTCCAGGAGCAATCTACGCCACTGATGTTACTAGGGAAATTTGCTTATTTTTACAAGAACATTACGGTGTATATAGGAAAGGTCAACTTCGAAAACACTCTGTATTCCACTCAAAAATGTATGTGAATCTGTCGCCTTCTATAAACCATACGTATTCGAAACCATTTCTTTTTAGCAATGAGTATATTGGAAAGGAAACAAGATCTATTAGAAGAATGCAAATACAAGTTCTCAAAGACTTTTCAGACAAGCTGCCTATTCTGGATTCCAGCGCAAACTGTAAACTTTGCTTTGATTCCGTCAGTCTACAGGGTGACGTATATTTCATGCTGCTCTTTCGCTTGGATCAACATCCTCTGCTGGTTGAAAAGAGAAGAATCTAGCATCGAACAGTAATAGAAAACTTTGTAAATGATAATAGATACTATTGGATTTAAATTTGTTATCTTTATTTAACAACTTAACGTTGACATTTTATGTTGCGCCTGTATTATGCAGAGTCTCCGAAACTTAATTATGGATCATTTTACGACGAAGAGACGAGAATTGTGTGAACGTACTATAAGGAAGTTCACCCTCATTTTCCAAAGTTGTTGATTTTATTTAAAAACGAAATTAATCCCGTAGTAGTTTTTGGACTCCCAATACAGGTTAAAAAACAACGTTTACTTATATAGAGCACATACCTAGTTTTGCTAATTAATATAGTGTATAATGAGGTGCATTTTATTGGCATCATATTAAAATTTTTCACGTTGTTTTTTATTCGAATGTATATACGAGGTTGATTAAGGTGAATGGAAAGTGCTATTCTAGGAAGTACAAATACAACGCAAATAGAAAAGGAGCCTATCTTTAACTCACAGCTAACGCGCAACAAGAATAGTACTGAGTGCTCCTTCAACAACAATTTGTAATGTAGCAAATAACTTCCGGAATTTGTCAACAAAAGAAACCGGCATCTTCATTTAGCGCAAAGCTTTATCATCGATATTCATGATGGTCCAATTTCCTACTACGATTGGAAACACCCTCAATAATCAGCGAAATCTCACTTAGCACCACTTTTACATCTTCTTTGACCTCTTTTATGTCGCCATGATGGCTTCACTTAAAATTAGGTTTCATCTTAGGAATTGAAAAATGTCACAGAGGATTGGTATTTTTTATATAACAAACATATTGGATATAATAATGACTTCGACATATTTAAATGATTTTCCGCCGTGAAAATCTATTTCCAGCTTATTTCATAAATTATCTATGCCAAATTAAACTGGACTTATTTCGGTATTTCAACCCTCTTGGTTAATGTAATACAAATAAAAAGTACTGAAGGGGGTTCAGAAGGGTGTCGTCACTTCCACAGTTTCACTTATATTTGTCATTATTTTGGCATTCTATTTCAAAAATGATGCTCAAGCATACCCTCTCCCTTTTGATTTTTTCAATAATCTCCGTCACTCACTTTCAGAAATGCTGCGTAAGTTAGGCTCTCCTGCTCTTCAATTTTTAGATAAATGCTTCCAAACTATTCCCCTTTCCTTCCAAAATATTCATTTTGTACACATTTATCTTTCCAAAATATTTATTTTTCTCACTTTTTCCGGGGAGGCCCTGGGACTCAAATATCATAAACGATATAATGCAATCATAAACAAGTTTTATACCTTTGACGGTTTGCACGTAATGGCAACCAGAACACAAAAACTTGCCTCAAAAATTCGAAACAAGACTGCTGTCAATGTATAAATAAATGTTTTGTTTTTAAGCACTGATCATGCTACTTTTCATTAATATATATGATAAGTATTATCATTTTCATGATGATAATTATTGACCCATGTTTTTCAGTTACGAAAGAGACAAGCCATTCAAAACTCGCCTACGTGACAACATAACCTAGAGCCTAGTGTTCCACCAACAAATTGACAAAACATAGCTTTTAGATATTTATTTAGATTTTTCCTCAGACTAAAAATATTTATATTTATATAAATATTTATGTTTTTAGTCTGAGGATTTTTCAATATGATTGTGATTTCATCAGTTCCACGTTCATTATGACTTTAAAATTCAAATATTTTCTTGTATTTAAACTAACATATAAGTAATACTATTGCTGCTTTATATAAAAAAACTGCTTACCTTCTTTTCAAGTTCTTGTGATTGTGTGTGTGTGTTTCAAAGAGTCTTATATTTTTCTGCTTACCATACACATTTCATTATTTCGCTTTTGTCTAAGCTAATTATATTTTTCCCAGTTCCAGGATATTGACAAAGCCAAAACATGAAATACTCCAAAACTCAAAATAAGCCCAAAAGACTTAATTATCTCCGTACCCATATTTGTTGTAGTAGGGATGATTTTGCTTTCATCCATAATAATCAGACAAATATTAAGCATACTACTTGAGTGGCTCTAATTCTTTATGAATACCCAGAGAAAACGTACGTTTGCATATTTCAAAAAGTTTTGGAGGCTGATACATTTCACACAAAAGATGCTTCCTTCCGTTGATTGGCCTCCCATGTGAAAAATTCGCCCATGTATAAAAATGGTTGATATTTATGCTGCACTTGGAAGAGGGATATTGGATAATAATCAACAGCATTAATTAATTCCTAGCTCCAGAGTCTCATCAGTAAATTACGCTGCGTTCATGGCACGATCCTAGTTTAATACGGTATGGTGAGGAAATGTCCAAAATTGTATGAAACAAATAAAAAGCTGCAAGCTTATTATCTAACTTGCGCCTCATGTCATTGAACGATTCTTCCTGTAAAATTTCCAAAACGACATTCTCTTCATTTTAAATACGATTCGTGAAATGTTGGATCGTAGCTATCGCCGAAACTACATATGAAAATTGCTCTCAAAGTAATCCAAACGTGAATCAATCCAAATTAAGGGTGTCCAGTGGCAAAGTGCACATTTCAAATTTGCATTACGCGGCAACCGTATACGCGAGCAAGTGGGGAGAGGTTACGATCGACGCGTTCGGCGTGCGGGTTAAATAGTCACAATGGAACGTTGGACCGGAGCGCAACGTGCTTTTGCTATCGAGGCTTACTTTAAGCGTGGTGATTCATATGCAGCTGCCCTTCGGACATTTTTTGCACGATACAACATTCGAGTAAATGATTCGGTCATTGCAAATCCTCGGCGTTCTGTACGGAAGCATTCTGCTGCTTTGAGAATTCCTAGGTCAACACTGCATGCCATAATGAAGGAAAAAGTGAGTTTTCGTCGGTCAGTCCATGCTTTAACGGAAAGTGATTGCCTATTACGGAAATCTTGTACTGAAGGGATGTTGAATCCTTTCCCTACGCAGCGCAGACTCGAGAAAGTTGTTTTCAGTGACGAGGCCCATTTTCACTTAGACGGTTATGTGAACAAGCAAAATTGCAGATATTGGACACCAACAAACCCAAAAGAGAAACATCAACAACAGCTACATAGTCCGAAGGTGACTTTGGTGCGCCATATTCTCTAGCGGTATTATTAGGCCATATTTTTTTGAAGATGAAAACGGTCATGCATTGATAGTCAATTCCTAGCGATACAAGGACATGATTGACACTTTTTTTACTCCTATTGTAAGAACATGACGTCGATTTAACAGAAACGCATGGTTTCAAAAGGATGGGGCCACTGCTCAAACTTCCAGAGAATCGATGGATACTGTGAAAGCTCTTTTTCCTCAAAAAGTTATATCAAAGTTTGGAGACATTCACTGGCCTCATAGGTCACCCTACCTCACGCCATGCGATTATTTTTTGTGGGGTTATCCAAAGTCAAAAGTGTATTCCAATAATCCACGAACGAAGAGATGGCAAACATTTGGACGGAATGATATTTAAGAACTAAAACCCGCCGAATTTATGAATATGTTGATAGTAATAAATATTTTCATTTCATTAGGTTTGTATTTTTTTCTTAAATCAAAAAGTGACCTTTCCAACTGGACACCTGATATTGGGTCAAATCAACTTATCAAAATTTTTAGATTGATAGATTTATATACATTTGGGGTCAATGTTCGTATATAGTTTCGTGTATAGCCTATTTTGGGGTATATTGAGCGAATCTCACACGATCTGTATTTATTATGATCTGTCAGGATTTATCGTGAAATTTGATATTTATTGACCGTGTAGCCAGGGTGCCAGTAAATATTGATGTATATGTTTACCTACAAATGATCAGTAAATGCTAATATTACGGACCACAGTCAATACTGATCGATTGACATTTGCCTTAAGCCGCGTACAGACCGAGATTCCAACTCAAGCCAAGGCACATGTGGTTACAGATTTGGAGGTGTTCGAATCGAACTCAACCCGACGCGGTCTAACTCGAAATTAAATTTAGGTGTAGACGAGCGCATTCCAATACCTTCCAACAACAAACGCCAACGTCACATGTGCTTGCATTCGTTTGCTTGGCGTTGGATTTTCGGTCTGTACACGGCTTTAGAGTTGCAATCGCAAAGGCAGCATGCGTAAACGTTAATATCATTTGCCATTTATCTAACATTACTGACTTAAATGTTAAGAAAGGCGGATGTGAACGCTTACGTGTGTAGTATTTGTGATTGCCTAAACTATCTGTTGTGTTTAGATTTTTACTTCGAACTGTATAATCAATGCATTACTTTTATTTGTGTAAAATAGATACGGAGAATAAGAATATACATGTAACTCTTCGTAAATTACTAACTAGCAAACTATCAAGCTGACTTCAATAGATGACCTATAAATTCCTGTATTTCAACTCTAGCTTGACGTAGGCTTTCTGTGTCATTCTTTGATGGCGGGTACATATTCGCACAATGCGCAGCAGCTAGAAAAAAACAAAAAAAATCCGATAAGCACACGGTTCAATATAACCATCAAATTAAAAGGTAACGAAGCCCGAAGAAAAAAGAGAACAAACATCTTTCACCCCGTCGTCAATCACCGTATGATTCCCTTGCAGATGTACAAGAAGAAATACAATTTTAGATAAAATTATTCAGACCTTAGTTCTGACTGACTTCTGATAAGGAAGATTATGAAAGTGCTAATACCTATCTATCTGTCTTTTTATGTTTATCATTATATCAGATGCCCTGCACTTACATAGAAGTACTGATGTTCCTCAGCTCAGCAGAGCAAAAATCTGGGCTGAAGGCAAAAAAAATTACCAACCATCAATGAGTTAATTTTCGCCAAATTTGTTGGCTTTCTGCTTCTACGAATCCAACGTACATAATTGTTTTTTATTAAAACGAGAAAACGATAATATTTTACGTTGATTATGAGTTTTTTTAGAAATATCCAAAGAAGACTACGTTAGTCCACGAGTGACATACTGATGACGTATCTTTATTTACAATTTGTATGACGTCACATCAACGCAGATGGTGTTTTCACCATTTTATATTAAAAATAATAAATATGTTGTTTTTTTAAACTATTCTTCTACAGAAATGCATGCCAAAGTGACACGGGAGGTAGATTGGCTTCAGATCAATCAGATAAAATCAACATGATTTTAGTAAAAGTTTCATAGTTTTCGAGATATTGCCACTTTTAAGTTTTTTCAAAAAATCTCCACTTTTTGCTCCTTTATGCCTGTTAAGGCTATAAAGAACTTGTATTGTTATGATTTTTTTCCCTGGGCTATCGTCAATAGTTGGCTGAGACAACAGAGGATTCATTTCATTGAAAACTAGCACGGTATGCTAAAAAAACTAAATTATTACATTTGGTTTCAATGCGAAAAGAAACCTTTACTAAAGTTTGACTAATTACTGTGAAAAAAAGAGTACCAGACTGTGAATCAGCAAATGACATTTAAAACTAGCTATTTAATGTTCTTCCAAAAATAGAATAACATTTGTAGGTTCTTTTTACTAAAAACTGAATAATTCCAAGTTTTTTCACTGAAGTCGTAATACTTGCGAAATACCACAAATAAAAAATAATATTTTTAAAAGAGCATTAAATAGGCTACTTTTTGAGATTATTTGCCGATTCAGTCTGGTACATTTTTTCACAGTAATTACTGAAACTTTAGTAAAGGTTTTCACAATGAAACTAAATGTAATAATTTTGTTTAGCATAATGTGCTAGCTTTCAATGAAATGAATATCTGTGGTCTTAAACAACTAGTAATGATAGCCCAGGAAAGAAATCATAAGTTGATGCTCTTCTTAGCCGTAACAGGCAAAAAGGAGCAAAAATTAGGGATTTTTAAAAAAAAAAGTGGCAATATCTCGAAAACTAGAAAACTTTACTGAGGTCAATCAGAATTGATCTTAAGCCAATCTACCTTTCGTTTCACTCTGACGTGTTATATCTGGGACACCCTGTATATCCATTCTGCGCTTTAAAAAACTATATGTTTCGTTTCCAAAGCCAAACATGTAAGAAATACTCATTTGTTTTATGAAATTAGATATGAGTCAAGTAGCCTATTGCGAGTTGTTTTCTTATACCGAAGTAGCCGCGTAGACAGAAACCTAAATAGCAGGGACCGCGGCTGCTTTGAGCAGCTTAAACAAACTTTGTTAATCCAATTTTTGAAGTGCTCAAGGTAAGTAGAACTAAAAAAAACCTCATCGGGTAGATTCTTCCACAATCTCGATACCCTATGGGCAAAGGAGCGGTAGTATTGGCTAGTAGTTCTGGATGTACGAAATTCGACAGGGTTAGGAGGCGAGGCCGAAGTCTGGCGGGTCTGTCTGGCAGACACATCGAGCGGCGGCATAATGAAGGGGTGTTCTGAGGAGCAAAGTAAGTATTTTCAGTGGTTCACAGTGACTATTGGCGTATGTTCTTCAAGTTGAACAAGAAACTTTATGCAGCAAGTGATTTCGACGGCGTAAAAGATGAAGTTATGTGCTTACTTAAGGACCTAGCGACAGTCTGGTGTACCGCAGATTCTACAAAAATGCGTCGATCATAATGGCGCATATGTCGGAAAAAGGTCAATATTGCTTTATAATGATGTATAAGATATCGGAAATAAATGTTCTATGTTCTTCAAAAAGACTTTACTTTGGGATTACGTATAACCAATATTGTAACCCTCTAACCATTATTGATATACATCAAGGCTCCGTTGTATTTATACAGGGTGCCCGCAAAGTTGAGGTTTTCCGTTACATCTTGAGCAAATACGCGGATTTTCTTAGTAGCATATACAACAATGTCTTAAGGGAACCGAGTTATTGGGCTCCGCAAACTCAATTAAACCTGAACCAAACCAAAGCCGGTCCTATCCCTCGATCACGTCCTTAGCACCAGCGTCAGCGTACAGTTACACGACGTACAACTACGATGTAAATACGCTGGTATGCAACCTTACCTAGACGCCAGTAGTGTAGGTCAACAAACCATTACATTGGCAACCGATTGCTGTTCAAAATTTTTTTAAAAATGGCACACGCATACACCAATAACGAACAAGTCACGTTTCACCACACATTAGCTCTGTTACAGTATATTCAGATAAGAGATAGACCGGATGTAAACAAAAGGTTCGGGTGATTTTCACGCTAACGCCGCCGTCTCGACGTAAAACAGGAGCCCTCATTGGTCAATTCGCAATTAAATGCCTATGCCGAGCGGCAGAGCAGTCGTATCAAGGCAGAGTCACATTCAGGTTCAGACGTGTTACGTATGTCGTGTGCATCATTGCAATTTGATATTTCTTTGGACGTTTTCGTTTGTTATCTTATTAAGTTGTTGAGTTTGTCGTTGTTATTGTTATACCTTGTTATTGATTGTTATTGTTATCAACTGCTTGCGCAAAATGCCCAGTAGTACAGATACTGCCGATGAAGTTGTAAACTCCTGTAGTCCATCTAGGAAACGCTCTAAAAAAGACACCTGAGTGCAGAAATGAAAGAGGTCATTTTGAATATATATAAGATCGAGCGCGAGGAGAACGAGGCATTAACCATCAAAGAAATTGTTGTGAAGGTTTCTCTCAAAGTTGGGGTGTGTCGCGCATCAGTGTTTAATGTGTTAAGACAATACAAAAAAAATCACACCTTTTCTGAGCCAATGACCAGTAAACATCGCAAAAGTATTGTTAAATCATTGGATGAAGCTGATAAGCATGCGATTAGGAGGAAAGTGCATGAATTCTTCTTTAGGAATGAAATACCTACTATAGATAAAATACTCCAGGAGGTAAATGGAGATACAACGTTGCCAAATTTCAAACGATCAACTTTCCATGCGTTATTGAAGCATTTAAATTTCAAATGGAAAAAACGGGGTCGTAATAGTTTACTACTGGATAGAGAAGAAATTGTGTTATGGAGGAGGGATTATTTAACAAAAATTGGGAAATACAGAAATCAAAACAGGAAGATTTATTACCTTGATGAAACGTGGGTAAACGCAGGACACACTGCAAGTAAAGTATGGGTTGATGATTCTGTAACTTCATCCAGGAGGGCCTTTCTAGATGGACTGTCCACCGGATTAAAAAATCCAGCAGGTAAATACGAGTAATAGACAACAATCGGATGTTTTTCAAACCTTGGGAACAAGGTTCTAAACATTAATTCCAGGGGGCAGATAAAACATATTACAAGTAACAAAACTTTTATAACTTTCGATAAAATGCGTGGATGTTTTATTGTCATTTTCATTTGTTAGAACTTTTTTAAGCCATGTTTTTATGTGTTTTCGATATTTCAATAATTTTTTAATATAATCTTAAAATATGTCGAATATTATAAACTTAAAAAAAGTTACTAAGTTTTATATTGTGTACCGTTCCTAATATTTCTAATCATTTTAATTCATACTTTAAGCTTTATAAAGTTATAATTTGTTAATATTAATATTTGCGCGTATTTCAGGTTCCTGATCATTCATTTTTTAAAGGTTTATAACTTTAAATTAAATTGTGAAGCGCTGAGTAATCATACGACGTTCAATATTCTTTCTTTCAATATGACTAAATAATCCCAATTATAGCAATCTGATACTCATGTCTCAATGTTTTTTCGCTGAATGTGATGAAAACATTTGAAAAAGGTTCGCTTATTGAAATAAATCTACACCAGTTAGTACTTCGATTTCCAGGTAAAGGGAAAAGGCTCATTATCTGCCATATTGGCGGTGAGGATGGATTTGTTGATGACGGTCTGTGGTGCTTTGAGTCTAAGAAAACTGGAGATTACCACGAGGAAATGAATGGTGAATCGTTTGAACAGTGGTTTTCAAAAATTTTACCGAACTTAGAGGAAAACGCAGTAATTGTGTTGGATAATGCGCCTTATCATTCTCGAAGAATGGAGAAGGTCCCACCAACGGCTTCAAGGAAAGTTGATGTTCAAAATTGGCTCCGCTCGAAAAATATCAACTTTGAAGAAGCAATGCTGAAAGTACAATTATTAAGAATTGTCAAGGATCACAAGGCGGAATATCAAAAATACGCCATTGACGAAATGGCAGCAAGTCAAAATAAAACTGTGCTCCTTTTACCTCCATACCATTGCGAGCTCAATCCCATTGAGCTCATATGGGCAGAGGTTAAAAATTATATAGCTAAGCACAATACAACTTTTAAATTTTGTGACCTCAAAGGACTTTTCAAAGAAGCACTAGAATTAATAACAGCGCAAAAATGGGAAAACTGTATTAAGCACGTGAAAGACAAAGTTGAAAAGAGAATGTGGGAACTGGACAATATTTTAGAGGAACAAGTCGAGCCATTCATTATTGACGTTGGTGCTTCAGGCAGTAGCGATGATGAAAGCTCATCAAGCTCATCTTTCCAATAAAAGATGTCGTTCATCAAATTCGGTAAGTTATAAGTAATTATAAAGCTACTGTATTTTTTAATTAATTATTGACATTTTTGAACCCATTTTGGCAAAACCTATTCAAGAATCTACTGTCTGACAATGTTCAACCATGCACATTTTTTTACGTTTTGAACGTTTTAATTTGGTTCCATATTTACCTAGAAATCAAAAAATATACTAATCAATATTCTAAAAGCAATTTTAAGAGATATACGATTATTTTTAATTTAGGCTAATTTAAACGCCATTTTGAGATTATATTCGACTGTATTTCACCAAACATCAGGCGGCATCCGAAGCTGGAAATCGAAGCGAAAATTTTGAAACCCTTATGTATATTTACATCATTATATATTTCTTACCCCACCCCCACATGATCCTATATCCATCACCAATCGTATACACATCGACTTGTGCTAATTTACTACAAAGTTACGCAAAGCAGCATCTACATACTATCTAAAATATGTACTGCGTGACTCTTAATACGTCCCTGCCGAATGTTACAGCGTTCGATGATCACGTGGTCTTGTTTATGTCCGGTCTATCTCTTATCTGAATATACTGTATATCAAGCGTAGTTTTGTGTGAAAAGAAAAACCCCAACTTTGCGGACACCCTGTATATTTTCTCTCTCTCAGCATAGGCGTTCTTCTGTCACGCGATTTGTTGTGATTTTACTTGATTTTAGGTATCAAATGTTGACTATGGCTATTGAACTTACAGTCAATGTAAATAGCTGGTGAGAGTGGCTTATTTGACCGTGTGATTCCTAATACGTGCCAAGGGTCGTAACTCCCGTGTACAAATATCACATTGCTGACTTGTATATCCAAAGCTCCGTACAAAATGTTTGAACGTTCAACTCCTCTCTCGACGGTGGTCAGATTGAACTCCGGTCCGAACACATCAGTGCACTGCTTGACGTAGAAATCTACACCGTTTTCGTCTCCAAAAATTTGTGGCTTAGCATCCGTTGTTTGATAGAATCCGAATTCTGTACAGGTCTGGTAATACCATTGCCTTCCTGAAATTTTTGAAACATAAAATGAGAAAAAGAAAGTTTGGTTGAACAATCTCGTACAGTAAGTTTTTGGATAAACCTACAATCATCAACATAGTCAGCTATATCGAATGACTTGATGAAATATGCTAAAAACATTTGTAGTGTGTCTCGAAGTACTCAAAGTATTTGTCGGGATACTCGAAGTACTGCTCGAACAATGACGTTGTACATGCGGATTCCATAAGTCGAATAATTTTAAGTACTCATAGTAGCCGAAGTACCTACAGTAGCGGATAAAAGTTTGGAAACAAATATTGACATTATTATGAACTATTTCATATAACGGGTGTTTTTTTTTTAGAGGTATTGACATGAATCTTTTTTATTGGAAAGATAATCTTGTGGCATTACAATTTAAATATGATTTCTGGCATATGACTGCCGCGGTTGGCTCGGATGTAGTCCAATCTGGAGTCCAATTATCGAAGACTTTTTCCAACATTTGTGGCCGTATATCGGCAATAACATGGCGAATGTTGTCTTCCAAATGGTCAAGCGTGTCTGGCTTATCCGCACAGACCAATCACTTTACATAGCCCCACAGAAAAGTCTAGCGGTGTTGAATCACAATATCTTGGAGGCCAATTCACATGTCCAAAACGTGAAATTAGGCAGTCACCAAACGTGTCTTTCAATAAATCGATTGTAGCACGAGCTGTGTGACATGTTGCGCCGTCTTGTTGGAACCACAGCTCCTGGACATCATGATTGTTCATTGACTGTAACATTCTGGTCATCATCGTTTTTGAAGAAGTACGGACCAGTGATTCCACCAGCCCATAAAGCGCACCAAACAGTCAGTTTTTCTGGATGTAACGGTGTTTCGACATAGACTTGAGGATTAGCTTCACTCCAAATGCGGCAGTTTTGTTTGTTGACGTAGCCATTCAACCAGAAGTGCGCTTCATCGCTAAACAAAATTCTCTTATGAAAATCGGGAACAACGGCAATCTCGTTTTGGGCCCATTCAACGAATCTACGCCTTGCTTGATGATCCTTTGGCTTCAATCCTTGCACGAGTTGGATTTTGTAAGCACGCAAACCAAGATCGTTCCGCAAAATCTTCCATAAAGTGGATGGACACAGATCCAATTCCTGTGCTCGATGGCGGATGGTCTCATTTGGGTCTTCCTCAATGCTACGCTCTACAGTAGCAATAGCTTCTTCTGTACGCACCGACTGGGGATGCGAGTTATCAATTAGAGTAAACGTGGTGCGAAAACGTTCCATGGTTAATCGAATTAACTGCTCTGATGGACGATTTTGTCGACGATAAAATGGACGTAGTGCGCGATACGTATTCCGCACAAAACCATTATTTTCGAAATAAAACTGCACAATTTGCAACCGTTGTTCAGGCGCGAGTCTATTCATGATTGAATTGCCAAACCAAACTGAGAATAACTCACTTGACAGCAGTAAAATCGGTCGCCATCTTCAAAGGTAATGCTAACTTAAAGTTCTATAACTCGAAATAGACACCCGTTACATAAATTAAAATTGTGAAGGAACAGATAATATAAATAGTAAAGTCTACCTTTGGCTCCCGTACGAATACAAGGTTTATCTTATCAATATATTCGAATTCTCTGAAAATAAAAACACGCGTTTTTTTAAATATCACAGTTTTTGATATTGTATGCGGTAAATATTAACATCAGTGAGAATGGCAAAAGAAAAATAATTTACAAACGATTTAAGAGGCAAAGTAATTGAATTATTTCGAAGTGGTGTCAGAAATGTTGACATTTCTCAATGATTAAAAATGAACAAAGGGACGATTTTGAAAATTATTAGTAAATATCAAGAATACGGATCAACAGCATCCCGACCCAGGTGCGGAAGACCGAAAAAAACCGATTATGTTTTGGATCGCTACATTAAACGTTTGTCCCGTAAAGATCCTCGAATGCCAGCGACTCAGATTTTCAAAAGAATCGTAGAAGAGGGTGCCCCAGAATCTTGATGTCACAACAGTGCAGAGACGCTTGGTGTATTTTGGAGTTTTTGGTAGGCGTAAAGTGCAAAAGCCACTCATTTCAAAAAACATCGTATTGCTCGACTTGAATTTGATAAAACTCATCTAACTTGCACAGAACAACAATGGAATACAGCTTGTTTGGATCTGACGCTACGGCATATGAGAGATATCTAATACGAAAAAGATTCGATAAAAAGTATCAGTTGCCAGTGGAGACAACATCATGGTTTGAGGCTATTTTTCTAGTTCTGGAACGGGTCCAATTGTTAAGATTGTTAGGAAAATGGATCAAAAAGTTTACAAAGATATTCTTAGTGAACACATGCTTCCGTTTGCTGAAGAAGAAATGCCTTTACGATGGACATTCCAGCAAGATAATGACCCCAAATTCGTAAAGGACTGGTTAAGACTAAAAAGTGTCAATGTTCTTACATTGCCTTCCCAATCCCCGGACCTAAACCCTATAGAACATCTCTGGGAGCATGTTAAAAGACAACTGACAAGAAAAACTAAACAGGAACGATTTATTTAATTATGTAAAAAATATTTGGCAAAATATCCCAACAGGCGTCTGTAAAAAATTGGTGTTTTCTATGAGCAGCAGATGTCAGGTAGTATGCTATCAAATATTACCTAAACAGTATTTTTTAAGTCTTTTTGTAGAGTTATTGGATTTAATTTTGTAATAAAAAATATGTTCCCATACTTTTGTCGTCTTATTTTCGGCCATAAAATAATATGAAGGTATTTTAATGCTAGTCTCTAGTACGACAACAAACACAAATTGTCATTTGTATCCTCAAGACTGTAAGCAAACTATATGAGAAAAAAACAGTGCTTAATAATAAAGAATAAAAAATTAGCACACTTTTTAAAAATTACTAAGAATGTTTCCACACTTTTGTCCGCTACTGTATATAGAACCCGAAGCATTAATGGAAGAGAAAATCCAAAATTATCTCGAAGCTGGATCACACAGTCTTTGAAACATAGTAGTACTAGACTAAATAATTTACCTCCTTCTGAAACCTCACTTTCCCAGCTAACATTCTTCATATCGCTGACCATCTTGTCGTACTTGTAATCCAAACATGTCTGGTTGTACCGCTTCATCATCAAACTGTTGACAGCAGCCAACCTATTGACCTCAGGTCCCAGCTTTTCGTTCACCATTATGTCGCATAGCGTATCGAGAGTTATGTTGTTAGGAATCTAGAACAATAGTTCTTTTGCTACATTCCGTTAATTATGGATATTCTTCAATGCCTTAAGATAAATGAGTTATCAGGTTCTCAAGAAATCTGCGATATCAAATGCGACCCCTCCTCCCCCTACCCAGCACAAGATTAGGTAAATAGGTGCTACGCCAACTAATCTAGGTAAACCTATCCGTTTATTATCGATTTGATGTTATTTTAAGGTGTGTAAGCTGCGATTTATGCCTCTACACCACGCTATATACAAATCATGTTCCTGGACGTTCCCATCCTGCTCCGCGTAAGTTTGTGTATCCCGTACAAAAGCCGTTTGTGGGAAAGTCGAGGTGGTTATAGTAGATGATCTAGATAGCCCCGAATGGTGGACATTGAGGAAAGAGATAATAAACTTGTGTTTTTGAATTAGAACGGCGATAATTTAACCAACCTTTCACTCGATAATGATTACGCAGTTGTCATGGGCGATTTTAATATTAATGTTTTAGTGAACGACGGCCGATCCGAGATGCTGAACTGTTTTCTTGAGTCTTTTGATCTGTCTCAGTTAGTCAAAGAGCCCACACGTATAACTTCCAATAGCCAGACAGCTATAGACTTGCTCATGGTTAGCTCTGCTGATATAATAAGTGGTTATGAAGTTGTTGACGTAGATGGAATATCTGACCATCTAGCCCTAATATTTTATGTAGATGCATCGGAGCAACCTATGTAAACTGAGGACATATCGTGATTACTCTACCTTTAGCCTAGACAATTTCTACCATGATTTACTTTTAATAAACTGGGATTTTATATATACGTTGAGAGATGTGGATCAAATGATTGACTTCCTGAGCTCTAATATCTTGTGCACCTTCAACTTGCATGCTCCTGTCAGAAACATTCGAGTTACCAAGCCATCAGCTCCTTGGCGAACATTCAACATAAAACTCATGATGCGAACAAAAAGTGACGCATATAAAAAATTTAAACGTACAGGAACGATTGCTGCCTGGGAATTCTATAAGAAAATCAGAAATTATGTTTCTAGTGCTATTAGGCGAGAGAAAAAAGCCTACCTCGATTATGTTATGAGACATAAAAATTCGAAGACTACATGGAATATACTTAGATCTTTGAATATCGTTAAACATAACTCCATAAGTCTACCTCCACATCTTCAGGATCTCGATTCATTAAATAGTGCTTTTTTAAGCGTACCTCAAACAACCAAATCATTAACTCAATTGAACCTTTTAGACAAATATGAAAACGTCAAGAATAGTGGTACTTTTCTGTTCACGACAGTTTCCCCTGTCACTGTAGAGAAATTTATTGATCGCATCAAAAGTCATGCTAAAGGCTCAGATGGCATCACAATTGATATGATCCGTATAATGCATAAGCATTTGCTCAAGTATATTACCTTCATTATTAACTTTTGTATAACAAATAATCTTTATCCCTCTTCCTGGAAGAATGCTCTTGTTCTCCCTCTGCCTAAATCTAATTATCCTTCAAGTTTTTCTGATCTTCGTCCTATAAGCATTTTACCAAGTTTATCTAAGCTTTTGGAAATGGCTCTACATGAGCAGCTGCACACATTTGTTTGTCAAAATAATTTACTGACCACCTCCCAATCTGGCTTCAGACCATTACATAGCACCACCACTGCGCTCCTGTCTATATCGGATAATATTTATAGCGCGGTTGATCAAGGAAAGCTGTCCTGCTTAGTTCTTCTTGATTTTAGCAAGGCCTTCGATACGGTTGACCCAAATATTCTCTGTAAAAAGCTTAGATACTTTGGCCTGTCATCATCGGCTTGCACGCTGATTAAGAGCTTTTTATCTGATCGCTCACAGTCTGTCATATATGAAAACAATATATCAACTTCTTTATTCAGAAATTTTGGTGTCCCTCAAGGATCTATTTTGAGTCCCCTTTTATTTGCTCTTTATATATGTGATTTTCATGAAACCGCCAGCAACTCAATCGTTCATCATTACGCCGATGATACCCAACTTTATAACTGCTTCGATCCTGATGAATATATGCTTGGCCAACATCAAATAAATCAAGACCTGCAGTCTATTTTTGACATATCTAGTGCTCACAATCTAAAACTAAATCCTGGCAAATCATGCTGCATTTTATTTGGGCCCAAAAAGAATCGTGAAATAAATCAATATCGCATTAATATTATGGTGAATAATGAAGACATATCCTTCGTAAACGAATGCAAAAACCTTGGTATCTGGTTTGACTGCAAGCTACGCTTCACTAAACATGTTAACCAACTATGCAATGCGTCCTATAATGTGCTTCGTCAGTTATATCCGAGTCGAAGTGTCCTGTCGACACAGCTCAAGCTTAAACTCTGCGAGTCCCTTATCCAGTCAAAATTATCTTACGGTGACTCTATTTATGGACCTGCTCTTTTACAACGTGATGCCGAGCGGATTCAGATGATACAAAACTCATGCATCAGATTTTCTTATGGAATCCGTAAATTTGATCATATTAGTAGCGCTTTTGACCAATCGGGATGGTTTAAGATGAACAAATTGAGGAAACTGCATTGCCTATCTCTGGTACATAAGACCCTTATCCTTAAAGCGCCATATTATCTTTATACAAAACTAAGCCTCCTCTGCCAGTACGATCAAAGATCCTCTAGGAATAAACTCATCTTACTTATCCCGCGGCATTCGACAGCATTGTTCACACGCAGTTTCTCGTACTGGGCACCCAAACTATATAACTGCTTATCAAGTGAGTATAAAGAATATAGCCTAAGCAATTTTAAAAAAAGGTTAAAGATGAGTTTAAAGCAGTCGGATGGCTAAAATTTTACTTTATGCATATCCACAGGTAATTGATTGTTTCCTTTCTCTGATAAGTGTTATATTCTAAGTTTTTTTTTCTCTCTCTCTCTATAGTTTGCGTCAATGTTTTCCAGGTCGGGTTGAAAAACAGCATAAGCTGACACTCCACCTTTTCGTCACTGTTCCTTTTAAACCAATTATTTTGTAATCGTGTGACGAATAAAGGCCATTTATTATTATTATTATTATTATTATAATTTCGAACAGTATCTATTTGACGGGGCGGTAGGTACTTGGAATGTTTCGTCAAATAAACGGATAGTAAGTACTTTCTTGATTTTTTTTACTTTGTCATTTTAAACGTAGTTGATACTGAAAAAGAAAGTCACAACTTTCAGAACAGCCTGTACAGGTTGCACACGTAAAACTACAGTGTTCGATTACTCGAAAAGATGGCGTTAAGTCATTTATGAAAACTTCAGATTATGCTAGGTATTTTCAAAATGGTGGCATTTGGGGTTGTACCGGACGTAGATGCCAACTTGCTAATTTTTAATGTAATAATCTGTATATGTGATTCACTGTTTGAAATATACGCACTATTTGAAGCATATATTTCATGTATAATATCCTATACCTAACTCTAAATAAGAAATATCAAATTTTATGTAAAAAAATTACAAATCGACGAAACCCTATGATTTTTTCGTATATTTTTGACTTTTTGGAACGATTCGTAGCTGCTGCCTTATGGAAGGAAGACTACTTTAATGGACTTCATTCGATATTTTGATAATTAATAATACTGGGCGGTCAAAAAAATCGTACGAAAATTGTAAAAAATGTCAAAGTCAATTTTTAAAAACTCATCTTAAACATTTAAAATAAGGGCAGTTTTGTATTAGATTATCTACTTCGACAAATCAGTAGTTTAGAAAATAGCGCAACATACATTTAGTGACTTTTGGAGACTAAAGCTCTGGCAGTGAATATCACGCGGACGACCAAGGTTCAACACCAGAAAATAGTTCAACTTTTCGCTTCTCTCTTCTTTTATGTGCCAGACATGCACCGCATAATATGGAAAAGTGATACATTATGACTGATTTTTACTAATTACCGCGTCATGGCCAACCATGCTGAACTGACAATAAAAAAGGCGTATGGAGGGATAGAAAACGAGTATTTGCAACTTTTAAAAAACTATTATTTTTATTTCCAAAGGTCATCTGTCACGATACGAAATTATGTGCGAAATTTCGTACAAAATTAAGGATAGTGTCAGACAGCATTCAGTACATAATTTTGTATGAACAAATTTGGTGCTAAATTTTGTAGAAACTGTTCTAAATAATATCATACTAAAAGTGCGCAGGCGACTACTGCGCATTTGGAGCAGTACAACAACGGTTGATATAACGTCAAACACTTTCATTAGTTGATGTTACCAGTTGTGTTCATCAGTTTCGCGAAACTCCCCTGCGTTCAGCTCATAGATTGAAAACTTAAATTCTGTCACGATCAAAACCGCAGTGTGACCTACTACTAGGCGACTATGAGAAATATGCTGCAAGAAAAAGGCCTATAAAACAGAAAAGCCAAGTAAGTTTCGTTCAATAAAAGCAGAATGACTTAAGAACCAATTAGGCTTGGCCAATGGATCCCGCACTAGAAGTTCTTTATTCAGCATATGGAGCACACACATTCCCTGATCCCTTTTCGGCACCAAATTCCTTTACGGATTCGTTTACTTCATTTTGGGCAGCTACAACGTCGATCGCTGCTGTTACAGTCGCATATAACATAGGCGTATTCTTTAATTCACCGGTTGAGCCACCGGTGCAAGCAATTAACCAATTTTTCTTCTTTTAATTTCCGTCTGAGCGACCGGTTGTACACCAAACTTGTCTATAAACTTGTCTATATAGTTAGTTTATAGACAAGTCTGGTGTACAACCGGTCGCTCAGACGAACATTTTGGTTGCACCAGTGGCTCAACCGGTGGTTTCAAAAATACGCCTTATATGCGAATTACGGGATCGCTCAATTTTCTATTCGTTCAAAGATAAAGGAATAAAGTAGCAATCGCAAAGGAAAATGTGGTTAGAATGACTTTGACGTGATAAATGGCAGTTAGAAGTTGACAGTTTTTTTCTACCAACTGCGCATGAAACAGATATTTGTGACATAACCTCAAAATAGAGCGCTGACACGGAAAAGTATAAAAATATGAAAATCAATGAGGTCATAAAGGCATTCTAAAATTGCAGGAACGACTGAGTACCAAATTATGTACAAAATTTCGTATCGTGACAGACAACCTCTATAAGATTGATGAGATTATAAAATCAGGGGATTTCCATTTTACATAAATTGGATTATTAATTACCAAAGTATTGAATGAAGTCCATTAAAGTAGACCCCCTTATATAAAGAAGCAGCTGCAAATCGTTCGACAAAGATGAAAATATACGAAAAATTCATAGGCTTTTATGGGCCGGCATTTTTGATTTCTGATAAAATATTTGATGTTTCTCAAAAAGGTATAGGACGTTATAAATGAAATGTATTTAGAATCTTGACTAGATTGCAAAAATTTAATAACTTATACGGTAATCCATTACAGACAACCGGAAGTGCCACCATTTTGAAAGTATATAAGAGTATAAGTATCTAACGTGATCTTTTCGGGTACCTAATCGATCGCTGCTGTTCTATGTGGAATACCCTGTCTGTGACTATAAGACCACCGCGGGCTCTTAACACGATAAACTTTATCTATCACCGCCAATAGAGTAAATCAGAAATTTTTCGTATATGTATTTATGATCTACTAACAAAACTATAACAACCAGTGCTGCACGGATATTATGTATAATGTATGTATGTATAAAACATCAAAAAACCTATAAGATCGTTGTGAGCGTCCATCTATGGAGGAATAGCTCAACTTCACGTATACACGCATTGTTGGTTGCATATGTGATTGTGAAGCCGAGTGGTCTATAGTTTTCATCTCTGAGAAGAAAGTACAACTACAAAACGAGTTCACATCGTGTCCATCAGCTAATACTAAGTTATCGTCATGTAGAAAAACCTACATAATGTTTCAAAAAACCAATATGTCAAAAAAAAGCGGCATAATGTCACTTGTCAAGATACGTAATACCCGTGCCGGTAAAATCGGTAGTTGCAACCTTTGCCTAGCAACAAATAATTCCAGATGGTTTTCGTTGTCTAAGACCATAGGTTAATTCAAAGATAGCAAGCATTCAAGATGCTTAAAAGAAAGTTCATAACAATCGATCAGAATTAATGACATCAAAATAAAATTGTAATAAAATTTAAGTTATTAACAGAATAATTCAATTCAGAGTAAAAAGCGTGGGGTGCTTGACGTATTAAATGTTATAATCATTCTATTGGCAACTATCTATGAGAGGAGAGTTATGAAAAATTAGTAAAATGCGCCCCACGCGTTTTACTCTGAATTGAATTATTCTGTTAATAACTTAAATTTTATCATAATTTTATTTTGATTATGATTGATTGTTCGACCATTTACTACTGTAATATAAGAGAAAAAGCTATTCGTAAAGTATACTTCATCTCCCGGTCGTAGATACAAGCTTTGCAGAAAATAAGGATTTTTCATCAAATTCTACACCACCCACCTTACTGAACCTATTGTCCTTATTATACTGTGCCACATCCGCAAATCGTCCACTCAAGGAGTCCATCAGATTAGAGATATCATCGTGATTACTGCCACCTCCGGCGATACTATCGCATAGGAAAAACAATTTGTCTAAATTCCGCTGTCCGACCATATGCCGAGTCAGCAAATCCACTTGGTAGAAAGCTTGCTTGACGGCTGACAAGCATTTGTCACCACCTGTGTCTTTGAGATCATCGTATACTACAGTGAAATATTCTGGAACAAAAAATTGTTGTTAACACAATCTTCGGCTGAAGTGGGTTGTGTTATGAGAATAAAGTAGAAAATCGAACGTTTGTGCCCTTGATTCTATAATGCAATATGACGTCGAAACTTGTTAGAATTAGGAAGAACGATGATATTTCGATGATTAACAGGTTTGTTCGTACAGCCTGTTTGCTGACAACCAACAAACTGATAGTCGGCGACAAGTCATGACCTAGTTTACGCAGTTAGCTGTCACTGACACGTCGCTGACTGTTGGTTTGTTCGTACAGTAGTCGGGAACTTGCCGGTTATTAAAATAGATCGCGCGGTTGCCGTCGATGCGGGAATAAGGATTATTCCTAAATCCGAGGACGACTACCGTAAGATCGTTCGCCTATTCCGAGAGGAAGAAGTGCCCCATCACACTTTTCCTCTCCCTTCGGAACGGAACATCCATGCGGTGGTTCGAGGAGTTCCCGTCAACTTTTCGGATACAGAGATTAAGGGAGAATTGGAGCAGAGGGGATATAGCCCTCTTCATATCATTCGATTGAAGCGCAGCGGCGGCGCGCCCATGCCTTTGGTGCTCGTGATACTGCCCAAGACTGAAAAGTCTCAGCAAGTGTTCAACGAACACGAACTGCTGGGACTAGCCATTCGAGTTGAGGTTCAGAAGAACTCCAGACTCATTGGGCAGTGTCACCGCAAGTATGGGCATGCGCAGTCATATTGCACTGCGCCGCCCAAATGCTTAAAATGTGCAAAGGACCACATGACGCATTTGTGCCCCCTCACAGAAGAGGAAGAACGCAAGTGCGCGAACTGTGGAGAGGGACATCCCGCAAATAGCCGGACTTGCAAGTTCACTCCAAGGAGGAACTTGCAAGTTATAGCGCAACGGCGCAATATATCATACGCGGACGCAGCTCGGGAGGCAACCTTGCCTGCCCCCTCTGCCCAACCTCCCTTGAGCACGCAAAATGTGGACCTGGCAACCGCGCTAAGGTCCTTACAACAAATAATAAATGTCTAGGTACAATAGTAGACAGCCTGCATTCATCAAAATTCTTTTTTGGAATTGTTTGGGCATGAGGGATATTCCCAAAAAACGGGAATTTCATCAAGCTCTTTTGGATGAAGGTATAGATGTGGCCTTGCTGCAGGAAACGTTGCTTAATCCGGGAGATCGTTTAGCTCTCCCGAATTATGATGTTATCCGAGGTGACAGATTGAATGGTCGAGGCGGCGGTTTAGCAGTGTTGATTAAACGCGGTATAGACTATTATAGAAGCACTAATGCGGAGATGCCTAGCATCGAAGCAGCTTCTGTGGTGGTCAATATGGCGGGAGGTGTCTCGTTGAAGATCACATCGGTGTATGTCAGGTGTGGGGCCAGGCTACAAGAGGCGGATCTGGAGGTCCTTTTGGACTACTCGGGTCCGCTTATTGTGGCAGGGGACTTCAACTGCAAACATCGAGCATGGAATTCTAGGTTGAATTCCACTAGTGGGGTTCGATTGTACAACCATGTGATGCGAAATGGGTACCTTATACATAGCACTGAAGAGCCGACACATCATCCATTCAACCATCTTCAGGCACCAGATGTCATCGATTTCGCGATATCTAAAAACTGTAGATACAGTATCTCTTCTCGAATCTTGTATGATATCTCTAGTGACCATCTACCTGTTGTCTTGGATGTGGGCAATGAGCAAACTTCTGAGGAGGCAGCTCCTCCAAGGAAACGCATTGATGAGTCTGGAATAGATGCCGCTCAAGCGGAGTGGACAAGTTTCATTCAAGCAGCTCTACAGCGTGCAGCTGTATTTCCTGTAGAACGACACGGCAGACCTTTTTCGCCTGCGGACATTCGTCAGAAAATCTCTGACAAAAGAGCCGCTATTAAGCAGGCAAAATGTCTTGTCATCCTGATGACATTCGTAGGGCTACAAATCTTGTCCATGAAGTGAGAAACGCACTGCACGAACTCCGTAACGAGCAATGGAGCGACTTTCTGGCGGGAATGCTTGATTCAGGTATTCCTCTCTGGAGGGTCGCAAAGTCACTCAGAAACGGAAAGCGAGAACAACTCCCACACATCCACGGTCCTGAAGGCATAGTCTTCAGAACGGAGGATAAGGTCGAGGTTTTCGCTGATGCCATGGAAAAACAGTTCTCTCCCAACTATGATCTCGATAATGACCTCGACGAGGAACAGCACATCGTACGATCCGTCAGGAGATATTTTAGGGCCAACGGCGTTAGCGGAGGCACTGAATCCTCTTCAGATGACTCTTCTTCAGAAGATTCGTCTGAGGCTCCACATAGCACATTAGCGGAACCCTCCGAGTTTCCACATTGCACACCAGCGGAGTTACTAAGTCATATTAAAGACCTCAAGGTGCGTAAAGCACCTGGGGAGGATCAAATCACCAACAAGGCGTTGAAGCTGCTCTCGCCGAAAGCCCTGACATACTTGGTGACAATAATCAATGCGACGCTCAAAATCCAGTACTTCCCTGCTGGGTGGAAGACTGCTGAGGTCATCATGATTCCAAAGAAGGTGGGTTCGATATTTCCTCAGGATTACCGTCCCATAAGTCTGCTGTCAGCTCCTTCCAAGCTCGCCGAAAAGGTGATTTATCGTCACCTTGAGAATTTTTCGTCAAATCACCATGTGATTCCTGACGTCCAATTCGGTTTTCGGTCCGAGCATAGCACCGAGCTACAAGCAGTCAGGCTGGTGGAGCATGTAACCAGAGGGCTCACCCTTAGCATGAGTACTGGCATCTTGCTTTTGGATGTCTCAAAAGCCTTTGACAAGGTGTGGCATGCGGGCCTCCTCTATAAACTAATCCAAAAGTGTTTTCCTTTTTGGCTTCTAAAATTACTGAAATCCTTTCTTGAAGGAAGGAAGTTTCGGATCAAAATTGACAATGTTTTGTCAACAATACGGCGAGTACGGGCCGGTGTTCCTCAGGGTTCGGTCCTAGGACCAATTCTTTATTCGCTTTTCATCCATGATGTCCCTTCCCCCAGCAACTGTGAAGTCTACCTCTATACTGACGACACTGCACTTGTCGCCCAGTCGTGTACTGGTGATCTGGTTCACGATGGGTTGCAGAATGCGGTGGACGAAGTTCTAGAGTGGGCGGAATGGTGGCTGATAAAAATTAATCATTCGAAAACGCAGGCTATTTATTGTACCAAAAAACGTCGCGTGTACCATGGACAAATTCTGCCAAGTATCTCGGTGTCACCCTTGATAAAGGCATGACCTGGCAGAAACATACAGCATCCATAAAAACAAAATTCCAAATTGCGTTTCGGCAACTATATCCTTTGTTATGTAGATCCTCCAAATTGAGTTTGATAAACAAAGTTCGAGTATATAAAATGTTTATTCGACCAGCCATTACTTATGCATGTGCGGCTTGGTGTTTTCTTGCCAAGACACGCATGCAAAGTCTTCAAGTACTGCAAAGCAGAACTTTGCGGACAATTTGCAACGCTCCATGGTATGTCTCAAATGAGACACTACACAGAGACCTTGACATTCCTTACTTGAGGGATTATGTCAAGCTTCAGGCGCAGCGACGTTATAGTCAAGCGGAATCGCACAGCAACTCTCTGTTGCGTGACTCAGTGGACTACACAGTGGAGCAAGTTCGTTGCGTGGCTGCTTCGGTGTAAAAAAAACTGAGCGATATACCAAGAAGATGAAGACCTTCAACATCTACTGAGGAGATAATGAAACCCAAACACCTGAATTTTGTAAAAAAACAGTGCCACAGTTCAACAGAAACAAGTTTTTGTCATATTTTCGGACGAGCAAGTGGCAGAAGAAATTTTAATGAAATTCCATTTTAAATATCAGCCAACGCCAAAGTGCTTTGTCCTCGATAGTTTGTTTATTGACCCGGTAATGGCAAAATGAAGATTATGAATACAGTATGAAAAATCCGAACAATAGAGGACATCACTTTCGAGAACCATAATTAATACGATTTTGTGAACACTAATCTTTTGAATTTTTTGTTACAATTGCAAAATGCGAAATTACTCAATTTTAGTCTTACTTCTATATATTTTCGTAATCTTAGTTCATTTTATCCATGTTGGAAAATGTGTGAAACTTATAGCTATGTAACCAAATCGTTATAATTGTAGTTATGTTCAGCTGTTTTAGCTTTTTAGTGTATAACACCCTTTTTGATTCAAAAAATCCATAATACGAGTACGTCATACACTGAAAACCGTTCTATTTTTTCCCGACTCTATTCGAGATGGGATTTCAAAATAAATTGCATATTGTCATTGTTACTTATTCTCGTCTGCAAGATGGCGTAGTCAAATTTTCAATTCGACATTTCTTCTTTCGACTTGGAATTTTGTACATCTAAGTGGACTTTTTAAGCCCTAAATTCAGTGATTGTTAGTTGACCATAAATTTGGTGTTGGATGAAAATTAAAAGGAAATAAAAAGATATGGTGAAAACTGAATACGAAATGAAAATTTTATTGATGGTAATAACAATACTAACCTTAAATAAGCAGAGGTATTCACAGTCTTCCACACTCTGTTGCTATGCAAACAAATGAAATCTAATAATTTCAAGGCCTATTTAAGAACTTCTGGAATAACTAAGGTTTTGCAATGTCAATGTATGACATACATTTTTTAAATCAGACTAAAAATTCTATTCATGTGTGAAGAATCCAGTATAGCGTCTATAAGAAAAAATTAAGTTGATGGTGGAGGACAAGCGACGAAACGTCACATTGAATTTCTAATTGTACCGTCTTGTAGAGGAGAAAATGTGGCAGAGTTTATGTGCAATTTATTTTGAAATCCCATCACAAATAAAGTCAGGAGAAAATTAAAACCATTTTGGGAACTTTCGTTTTTTACGTCTCTTTCCGGAAGTACTTTCAATTTCAAAACTCTCTAAGCGACATTATGATGATTATCTGAATATGCAACTTTGCAGCTATTTAAGTGACTTCGTATCCCTTGAAGTTTCCGAGATTCGAATGGTGAGGGTCGAATTTAAAATACCCTATATAGGGAAAATATTATTTTTATCCCAGCACAAACAGTCACTCCCTCTCCGTGGGCACCTGGGAGAAAAATCTGTATCACAAAATCTCCATAACTCGTTATTTTGTTTATTTTTTCATCAGCTTTGGGTTGGACTTACATAGCTAGAATATATAAATACTGTTTGTGCATACACTTCGAGGCTGGGCGACAAGGGATCAGGGAACAAAAACCCTACTATCCAAGTTTTATTAAACGTCTTTCACAATACTTTGTACATGTCGGGATGGCGTATCGATTTTTGTTACAATACATGGCCTGCATTGAATAATTAATTTTGATCAGCTACCGATCAGCCCACTCTAACACTTCTTCCACCCCACTTTGTAGCCAGTCATGGACCAGGTTGCCAGAACATGACTGGGCCACTAATGCAGTATTATCAGAGTAGAGATAAACTTCACAGTTGCTGTGGCTAGGGACGTCGTGAATTAACAAAGAATAAAGGATTGGTCCAAGGACCGAATCCTGAGGAACGCCGGCCCTTATAGGATGTGTTGTTGACAGTACATTGTTAATTTTGATTCGGAATTTCCTTCCTACGAGAAAAGACTTAAGAAGTTTTAGAAGTCAGAAAGGAAAAGCCTTTTGGATTAATTTATAGTGGAGATGATCATGCCACACCTTGTCAAAAGCCTTTGCGACATCCAGAAGCACGATGCTAGTACTTTTGTCATTGTTTTACTGCCTGCAGCGCCGTGCAATTCACAGTTGCTGAGGCTATGGACATCGTGAATGAACAAAGAATAAAGGATTGGTCCAAGGACCGAATCCTGAGGAACACCGGCCCTTATAGGATGTGTTGTTGACAGTACATTGTTAATTTTGATTCCGAATTTCCTTCCTACGAGAAAAGACTTTTAAGTTTTAGAAGCCGGAAAGGAAAAGCCTTTTGGATTAATTGATAGTGGAGATCATCATGCCACACCTTCTAAAAAGCCTTTGCGACATCCAGAAGCGCGATGTTAGTACTTTTGTCATTGTTTTACTGCCTGCAGCGCCGTGCAATTTCTGACCGAAATTCGAATTGAACGTCGGGAATCACATTTTCAGCGAGTTAGACAGCGCTGACAGTAAACTAATATGACTATAATCTTGAGAAAATATCGAATCAACCTTCTTTGGAATCAAGATAACCTCGGTCACCTTCCATACCTTAGGAAAATATTGGGTCCTGAGCATTGCATTGATTACCGACAGATAAGTCAAAGGTTTTGGAGAGAGCAGCTTCAGCACCTTGTTAATAATCGGGTGCTCTCCCGGTGCTTTAAGTACCTTGAGGTATTTAATATGATCTAGGTGCTCCGCTGGTGTATAACAATGAATCTCAGATGGTTCAGCTAATGTGCTAGGCGAATTATCTGTCGAAGAATGAATCGTACAGGAGTCCTCTGCGGAGGATCCAGTCATACTAGCGGCAGTGACACTGACGCCATTAGTTCTGAATTATCTCCTTACAAATCTTACAATCTGTCTCTTCTCATCGAGGTCATCTAGATCAGTGGTTCCCAAATTTCCTAAGATTGAGGACCCCAAATTCAGAAGTTACTCTTAATAATAATAACAATAAGACTAATAATATATATTTAAAAAAATAAAGAAAAACATGGAACTAGCACCTAACAAAAAAAACAAATCTAAGTTTATAAAAGCTTTATATTCTAGATCATAGTTGCCGTTACATAGCATTAGCGAAAACTTCCGCTTTTTTATCAGTCCTGAAGACCAAGCTCCCAGGTATGAATGTTGGTTCTTTTTGTATTTACGTAAACATTTTTGAGTCGTATGTACGGTATATCAGACTACAATTTCTCACCTGAAAAGTTAACTTTAGCTAGCAATGGGCCACTGGCAGACATTGCTCCATATACTAAGTGTGGGTACTTCTGACGAGCCCAAGCTGCTAAAGAACCAGGATAGGAACCACCAAATGCTATCCATTTCACATTTTTCGACAACTCATGTTTCTTATTCATTTCGTCGATGAAAAACGCTAAGTCTGCTAATGCTTGTTGACTGGTCAAGTACTGCAGATTTTTAGTACTCAAATCTCTAAAAACAATAACAGAAGATGTTACAGAATATTGTCAAGAAAACTGAAGAGTAGATTCAGTACGCTAAAAATTTTAAAAAATGACCATATTAACATAGATCCGGCAATGCTTCAATTATAATATAATATATATAATACAAAGTACAATGTAAAAAACCTACAAATATTTAGTTTGCCAAAGCTTGATACATCTGCGATTCCTACTCCAAAAAGCCAGAAAGACCCCTACGTCTCTCTGGCCAACACTGAATAACAATTCCGCGCCCTGAACGGATAGATGTCGCCCACCATTATTGACAGGACGACCCGTTAATTAGCTGGAATACGAGGTGTCCTCAAGGATGCCAGCAATGGTGCGCTATGCAAAATTGCATAAATACGAGGGTGGTCCCAGAAGCACCCGGCCTGATCTAGAGATGGCGATAGTTGTTTGAAAAATATCATTGTATTAGAAAGTATGCAACCTATAAAGCATATGTGTCAAGTTTGAAGACGCCACATTGTTTAGTATTTGTTTGGCAGCCATCAATACTGAACGTTTTCAGTGAATTTGTGAAAATGGAGAGAATTCGTCATCGTTATGTTTTACAATACTTTTATTTCAAAGGCCTCAGCCCAACCAATATAAAAGCTGAACTGGATTCTACTCTGGGTGAGTCTGCTCCTTCATTTACAACAGTAAAATATTGGGTGGCAAAGTTTAAACGATGTCGTATGAGCTGCCAAGACGAGCATCGCAGTGGTCGACCAAATGAGGTGACGACTCCAGAAATGGTGAAGAAAATTCACAAAGCGATACTGAATGATCGTCGACTGAAAGTGCGCGAGCTAGCAGACATAGTAGGCATTTCAAAAAGTGCGGTTCATCGCATATTATCTGAAAATTTGGACATGAGAAAGCAGTGTGCAAGATGGGTGCGACGATTGCTGACAATCGAGCAAAAACAGTGTCGTGAAGATGTTTCTATTGAGAGCAACGAAGCAGAATTTCTGCATCGTTTCATAACGATGGATGAAACATGGGTCCATCACTTCACACCCGAGGCAAAAGAACAATCAAAACAATGGACTCAAAAGGGACAACCGGCTCCAAAGAAGGCGAAGACCGTTTCATTTGGAGTTGGTTTTTTGGGATGCGCGTGGGATAATTTTCATTGACTATCTTGAAAAAGGTAAAACTATCAACGGCGAGTATTATTGCATCGTTTGAGCGATGAAATCAAGCAAAGATGGCCGCATTTGGTTAAGAAGAAAGTGTTGTTTCATCAAGACAATGCTCCAGCTCACAAATCCGTTATTGCAATGGCCAAAATTAATGAATTAAAGTTTGAATTGCTCATGCACCCTATCCACCAGATTTAGATCCCTCGGATTATTTTCTATTTTCAAACTTGAAAAAATGGCTCAGTGGTCAAAGATTTTCCAACGATGAAGAAGTGATGTCGGCAGTTAATGGCTATTTTGAGGAGCAAGACAGTTCTTATTATAAAAAGGGTATCGAACTTATTGAACATAGCTGGGAAAAGGGTATAGAGCTCAAAGGAGATTATGTTGAAAAATAAAAACATTTTTTTACAAAAATTTTGTGTTTTCTTCATTGGGCCGTGTACTTCTGGGACCACCCTCGTAGATACTAGACACGGGCTGAATCTGTTTGCTTCTTGTCTCCGTAGGCATTATATTCCGTTCATAGGACAGTAACTATAATCAGACGTACAAGCCGACGTCGAGTGCACAAACAAATATAACGAAGCGGTCTGCAATACCAAAGACCAGCATATGACTTCCTCACTCTGTATCTCCCTTGGCATCTAGGCTCCCACCTGCACGGCTGCTTCGATGTAAAAAAAGAATATGTCGTAAATCGTTCATTGGTTCAGTAATTAGGTCGTTTCACCTAGTATGTTTGGCTACAATAGAGACAAAGGAGCGGTCATATCAGCTATATAGCACTGGATGCACGAAGTTCGATACGGTTAGGATATGAGGCCAGAATCAGGCGAGTCTGTCTGACAGATACATCGCGCGGCGGAATCATGGAGGAGACCTCTGAGGAGCAAAGCCCGTGGACATAGCGGTAGATGAGAGCTAGAACGCGTTCGGCCCGTCGAAGTTGAAAGGTTTCGGGGGAAAGCAAAGCTCATAAAACATTTTTGGGCGGCAGAGGCAAGAGTTTGGAAGGAAAAAACGCGTGAAGATCACGTTGAAATATATGTCAATAGTACAGATACATATAACTATATATTTTCATAGTAAAACGAGTCAATCGAAAAACTATTGCGGCAGCTCGAGAGGAAAAGATACTAGGTACCAAAGTGAAAATTCGATGATAGCACGACGAAACCTGTAGAGATACCTTCCCTAAATTTGCTGTACTCTTCAAAACTGATATACCTATCTCGCCCTTCACCATTAAAAGGGAACCCTTTAATCAGCTGGAATACGAAGTATTGATAAGGCTATCAGCAGTAACGTACATTGTAAAAATCCGCATAAATAGACAGGCTGAACTGAGTAATATTGTCTTCCATCACTGCATTTGTATCTAATGTGGCACGCAAATATTTCGCTGTTGTCCCCAATGGCACAGGAACATCATTAACGGAGATGTGTTCTGGAGCAGAATGCCTTTTCTGTGCAAAGAGGCGATTGCCACCTACAAAAATGGTTCAACGTAGTATGCGGTTGGTCATGGTCAAACAGACACAAAGCAAATAGATCCACTTCAGAATATAATAAACAAAAATTATCCTATACTTACGATGTAGGATGGCTCTTTCCGTAATATCTATGTTCTAACTGAAAACAGATGGCGTTAAACTTTTTCGCATAATTTATCCATGCCCCTTTTGTCATCCACTCAATGGAGGCTTCTCCTTCCCCGCCTATCATTAGAAAAGCCACATCTCTTCGTTTGCTTGTGTACTGGTCGTTCACATAGTACCGCTGAAATGTTAATTTCTTTAGTTCGTAGTTATTTCAAACGGTGAGAAGTTAAATGTGCTTTCTCAGTGAAAGTTGCATCTACAATTGTCAGCATATCAAAATATCCCAAATAAATTTTGCATACGAGTTAAATCCTATAGCACACGAAATATTTCTAGAATGTTCACAAGTCTGGTTAGTGTCACTTAAGACGACCTCCCTTAAGCTTATTTATGTTATATATTCCATTCCTCCTCTGAGTACTTGTTGCCAGGGTAAGCATTCAGAAGGGTCACGCAGACGGGTTTAGCAGTCGCTACTAAGATAAAATATTCGCATTGTGAACCTAATTACAATGTTGCTTTGCTATTGGTTGAAGTGTTTTGGTTACTTGAAGAGAGCAATCAATTTCTTTTATTCTGCTGTACCGCATGGATTTATAACCATAGTACTTTTATATTCATGATCAATAATGTCGTAAGCCATATTTATAAAGATGCTTTGAACATATATATATATATATATATACTTCTGTTGATGGGTTCAGATGGTTTATATTCTTTTGTGTTTGATTTCCTTATCAGAGGAAATGTCGGAGCGTTCTGATTGTTGACACGACGGATTTTGGCCAAAGTGCCGCTTAACCTCCCCTCTTGGCAATCACTGGAGTCTGAAAGTATCTCATGGCAGTGTATAGGAATTGTTTCTTTAAAGTTGCCATGCTGCTCGGTTATCACTGAATCAGAGGGAACGTGATAACCTGGATTCTTGACTGCTTTTCGTAATTATCGTTAAACTTAGCATATTTGCCCATACACCTGGGTATCAACATAGGCCGCTGTGTGCTTCAATCCTATGTTGAACACTCAGGCTGATGTGTGCTTCCTAAGAGAAGGTCAGTGTGCCCTAGAGGGGCTGTATTGCCCAGGGGATGTGTGCCCCAGCTCCTACGGTCTGCGGACGAGTATAGGATAAATCATAAATAAATAATCTATATGATGAATTAGTACCACTGCGGATAATCAACGTAATCCTAAGGTAGAAGAGTACTAAAACTATTTTTCTAAAAATATCGCCCTTATCGCTGGCCAAAGGAGGATAACTCGTTATCGTTCCGTCACCAAGTAAGTGGCTTTTATATTATTACTCGGCATTGTTGCCCATATAGAATTATTTACGCACTGCCCACTAATAAAAATAAAATTGTACAGGGTGGTACTTCGAAAGATTCCAAGGCGCGTTCGTTGTTTCCACGTTTATCATTCCATTATCATTCTCTTAACTTATACAATTTACAAGATGTTGAGAAAGTACCTGACCAAACTTCTAAGGACAATAGTTTATTTTTCTAAATACGCTACTGATCTTTTATGAAGTGAATCCATTAAAGTCATTTCAGTAGTTCCCAATATATTTGACCAAAGTTATGTTGAACAAAAAGAAATGTTATCCCTCAGAAAATCTTTACAATGAATCTCAGCTTTTCGACTGCCGTCAAATTTATTTTTATCATAGAATAATATATTTAACAAAAAATCCAAAATTCTTACTTTCTCCACAACCATCAAACACGGTTCAAGGAAACCTCTGCACTAATTCCTAGCCTAAATAAAACTTTCAGCCAAAGATCATTCTATTTTCTGGATCCTAAATCAATCAACGCTACAAATCCATAAGTTTGTTGACACTAAAAACCTATATGTTATTTGATCATAAAATGATGCAAATTTATACATTTGACTAGTATACTTGAAGAAAATTTGTTTTATTAATATAACTCAACTTCGTTTAAAACCCAAGCACAAGTGTACACTTTTTTGGGTATATTATGTTTATTGAACATTGCCTTTATTATTTATACGAAAACTTTGTAATTGGACCAATAAATATTATTATTATTATTATTGAATTTTATCTCGAAGTTTCGCAAAATAGCAAAATATACTTAATGTTAATAATGTGTTGAAGCTCCTCTATTAGCTACACATTCGTTAAGTCATCGCGGCATTGATTGGATTAGGTGATTAATGTCGTCTTGGTGTATTGAATCCCAGGCCATCTGAATTTGGTTTCGTAGAACATCCAATGTTTGTGGAGTGTGCGGTGAATTTTGCAACCTTCTTCCCATCATGTCCCATACATGTCCGATGGGGAATGGTCTGCAGATCGAGGCGGCCACTGACATGAGGTCGTGCCTTGTCCTGCTAAAAAAGTGAATCTTGCAATGTGTCCAAAAAGGGAAGCAGATGTTGTTGTAAAACTCCGTGGATATAGCGCTGGACAGTCATGCTACCTCGAATCGTGACCTGCTGCCGTAAGCAATGGTACCCCATACCATAACACCCACAGTGCGTCTCTTGTTTATTCTTGCACGGCCATCGTGTTTGCCCTAACAAAATCTGGACTCATCGCTGAACAAGACTGAGTTTCATTCCATATTCCATTCAAGTGTCTCCCTACTCCATACCAATCGTTGCCGACCATGCTGTGGAGTCAGAGGTAGTACAAGATGGGGACGGTATGAAGACAGTCCAAAAGACCTTATTCGACGATAAACTGTCCTCATTGTTATTGCCCTTCCGGCAGCATCAAACCACTGGTTCGGAACTGCCTTCGTTGCCTCAAATAACGATTATGTCGCTATGTAGATATTAACCATAAAAATAAATGTTTAACTTTTTATTTTCAGATATGAAAATGTATCGTTCCATAGTACCTACCATTTCACTGTGTCCATTCAAGTACGAAACATCCTATATCTCTTATTGTTATTAAAATGGGCACCAGAAAACCGATACTTCTTTGGTGGTAGGTGTTTGAACTCATGATATCGAAAAACCATGACACAAAGGTATCATCAGAAAATCATCCTCGCGGATCCCTCGTTAATGTCCTACCTGTTTCCACGTTCTACCGTCATTGGGATTGAAATGATCCAAGTACTGCGTGAACCACTCTGTCGTTACTTTTTCACTTTCGCTCCCACGCACAGCGTCACCTGCTGGTAAACCCAAGTTTCCGCCTTTGGAACGGCCGCGATTGAAGTTCCTCCAACCTTGAGCATTCTGGATGGCAATCAAGCACCCCAGAACTAATACGAAGCCCTTCATTTCTGTAACTGGAATGAGCCCAAAATGAAGGACAGAATTATCGTTTTGCAAGTGCTCACTTCCACTTGGCAGCAAAATACTTAAAAAATAAGTGATAAGCATATATAGAGATAAAAAGTATGACACAATTTTGTTAGAACTTGGTTTTGGGCAGTACAGGGTGAATTATTGAAGGATGAGGGACGTACTGTTTTCTGCGCGCTGAGGCAAATAATGAAATGCCTCCTACATTATTTTTGACACAGTTTTCGAATTTACGAAGCTATCTAGAGAAGGCGTCGCCGTGGTGGTCGGTCTCGATGCACCCATTAGGGGGTCAAAGTCCCCCTAGATCCATCTTTGTATCTTGCACCCCCCATGACAAGGGCGAACCCAGCTTAAACCGGAAGGGGGTCAACTAAAAAAAAATTTTTTGGTGGAAGTTCCATAAATCATATCTACTTAACTATGCCTGATATTTTTCTTTTAACTCGTACTTGCATTTCATTGTTTCATCCATATACAGGGTGACGAGAAAATAGATGCGGAGCCGGTAGGGGGAGATAGTACAGGCTAATCTGAGTCGATTTTACTAGTTGAACTACTGTCCGAAAATTAGACGTTTACGAATCATACTAATTTTGAAGATTTCATAAAATTAGCGTCCCTCATACCTTAAATAAGTCATAAATAAAGGCAGCAGCGGTGGCCGCAGTAGTAGACTATTCGGTCTCCTGATCAGTCGCCGTGCGCTGTGCTGGATCGAATCCCGTCCCAAGAGAAATTTTTCTCTTGGCTATGGATGTTGTGTTTGTCCGTAGGTGTAGACGGTCTCTGACTGTCGACTGTCGAACGCAGAGGTACCACCCGGCGGATCTCGTAGGTGGGTCCAGAATGTGTGCGTGTTCCCCTGTATCCCCCTATGTATCTATCTATCTATCTATCTATAGCCCCACGGTACCCCATGGGTGTTTAGGCCTTAGGCCTTGGTGGTAGTCGGAATATATAAAAAAAATAAAAAATGGGTGTTTTATTTATTTTTTTTATATTTTAGGAAATATTCTAATATGAAAGTTGATACTCAAATATACATTATCGACGTTATATCATGCAGTAAGGTTCAAAATAGTCCAATTTTTGTTAAAAAAAATCTTCGTAAATCTCAAAAATTTCAATTTACTAGCAAAAATCACCTAAATTTTTTGTACAAATAATAAGAAAACATCTGCGTTTCATTACCTTTCAAATGAGGTATTAAAGTCACAAACCGGTTTAGAAATGACAGAGATATGAGTGATTAGAAAAAAAACAGGTAACAGCAACACTTGAGATATACTGCAAATTTCATATGTACCTGTTTTTGGGCATACATATTATCTCTCAAAATTCTCAACAGCGCGTTTTTTCAGTCAAGTCAATAGGCCAGAGAAGTACTGTAATCGCGAAAAAACTTCAAATGGAAAAAAAATTGTCAGATATAAGATAGTAGGTACATTTTTATGACGTTCATCAGGAAATCCTTTGCCCTCTATTACAGACAGAAAAATATTTATAGTTTTTGTTAATCGGCCCTGTTGCGATAGAGTAACCGTCAAAAAAAAACATTTTTTTAATGCAATCAAAAATTTTCCAAACTTAGTATATTGTAGGCCGTAGTCAATAGTTTATTTGAAGGATTCAAAGATTGTGAAAGCCGGCAAAACTCGTTTTTCAAATCCTAATCATCCAGTCACTTTTGTATAACTCGAAACACAACACGAGCAACACGTGGTGTGAAATTCGAAGATATGTGGAGTGGAATCTGCGTTGAAAAATCTGGAAACTGCTACGTGTAGTCAAGCTAACTAGCCAAATGTGAACCCTCTTGTAAAATAAATTGTACATAAGGACTTATACCTATATTCTTTAGAGTGATTGCAAATTCTCCAATTAAAATAAGTTTTTTTTTTATCAAGCTTCAAAGCTATACGTCTATGGAACAACTGGGAAAGGGATGAAAACACCTACAAAATGAGAGCCAATGGGTATGTACAGTTCGTTGCAATGGTCAGGTTATTGCAAAAAATCGTTCATTTTTGCTGAAAAGTTAATAACAGTAAATATGAAAATAGATAAACGTTAAAGCCTTTGTAGTGATTAATATACCTACTACCATTTTTTTTTGTTCTTGTTTCTATTTTTGAGTGTTGTAAAATGGAATTTAGCAATGATGAGAACGCCGATATTATTTTTGTGTAAGGGTTCTGTAATGGAGTTTTAACGTAGATTTCCTAACAGACGCCATTCTATCCCAAAGGTTTTTACGCGTTCATTTCTAAGACTTCGGCAGTCTGGAATTGCCAAACTTCCCGGTGTTGGAGGCCATGGTGTCCGCCATACTGTTCAAGATGAACAGGAAGTGATTAATTTGGGGTTGGATGATCCTAGTATGTACAAGTACTAGGCGGACTGCAGCCCAGTTACCAGATTCCCAAAGTCTTGCGTACAGAATTTTAAATCGGGTAGTTTTACATCCTTACCATCGGCAAAATGTGCAATGTCTGCAACCCGGCGACGAAATACAACGGCGAAATGTGAATGGTTACTGCAAATGCATAATCAAACTGCAGATTTTATTGATGTGGTATCAGCACGACGGTGCCCATCGCACGTTCGTCGTGACATAACCGCATGGTTAAATAATCATTTTAGATAACGATGGATTGGCAGAAACGGACTCGTATATTGGCCTGCAAGGTCTCCTGATTTGAACCCCCTGATTTTCTTTTTGTAGGGCGCTTTTGAACATCTAGTGTAGGCTAAACAAATTAATACTGTTGATAAGTTACAAGAAAGAATAGATAATGCGTTTCATCAAATTCAAGCCTCAACAAATTTTGGAGAAATACGTTTTTCTTTATTAAGAAATGCCGCACTTGTATCATTGAAATAAAGCTTTGATTATCTAATTTGTTTTTTATTTTTAGGAAAACAATGCACTCTAGGAAAAAACCAGAGTAATTATTTGTAGCAAGGTAAAATTATATAGACTGGATGGCAGTAATTGATGCATAATGTTACTTAAAAATCCACTGATGGTACAGACCACAGTAAATTCTGATCGTGTAACATTCGCTTTAACGTTTCCGATATTCCAAAGGCGAGGTTCGAATTTGAAACACCCGACATGTGTTTCAGCAAAATTAAGTTTATATCTAACATAGGTTTCAACTAATCCTAGTAATTTATCATCTAAAGCAGCGTTCTCACGAGTCGATTTTAGTAGAACGATTTTTATTGATCAACAAAAATTGAATAAAAACGTACTTGTGAACCGTGTTTTCGATTTTAGTTGATCAATTTCAGTTGAACCGAAAAAGTTTGATCCATTCAAAACTTATCGATCAATTTAATGCGTCATGGGCGATTTTCAGACAAGTTGAAACGGATTTGAAGCGTGTGAACTGTAGTCAGTCGAGTTTCGCATTGAATAAAGTTGATTTTGTGGCTCGTGTGCTTGTTGTGTGTGGAAAAAAGACAAAAAATGAGCATGAAGTGGTCTGAAAGTATTGTGCTACATTTTTTGGATTTATATCAACAGCATGACTGTTTATGGAATACCCTGCTCGAGAGTTATCGAAACAGAATGGTATATTGTATTTGTATTTTGCTTTTTATCTATAGAAGAAGTCCTTGAAATTGTTCCTCGGACATTCTCAAATGATTTTTGTAGGCATCCTTGTCCTCTAAAGCCAGCTCCTTGAGAAGGGTTCCTGAAACGCCCAATTTATTTTTTCGCAATATCAAAGTCCTGACCCAAAACCGACGTTTTCTAGATTTTCTGTCAAATTTTGACAAAAAGTCTCTGATTTCTTCATTTAATAATTCGTAAATAGCTGCTATGCCTGCTTGGACAACTTCGTTGGCAGCCATTTTAGAAACAACTAGTGCATCAATTTTTATTATGTGTGTGAACAAATATTCGTTTCGATTTAAGTTGATCAACGTAAGTGAGAACGCTGCTTAATAATAGATACTGATTCAGCTTGTAGAGAACCCTTTACATGAATAATTCATTTTTGTAAAAAATGTTTTCAACATTTAATCTTTGTCGAGCTAGCGAAAAGGGGAGCAGCTGACTCCCCTCCCCCCTGCTCCATGGCACTGCGCTCCGACGCGGCTGCCCCACTTGCTTACCCCCTGGAGCCCACCCTGCGCTTATACCCTACAATCGCATACGTTTTAATTGCTTAATACATCGGTAAACATTTTAGCTTCAAAACTTTTGTTTTCACTCATAACGCGTCAGCTGGCAGGTACTTAGCGACACTTTTTATAAATTGCTTGCGTATGCATCCGTAAAAAAATAGCATTTAAGCACCTAATTTATTTTAAGTCATATACGGTTTTTGGTGGTTACGTGACAATGCTAGAAGAAATAAGTAAACATATTGACTAATGTTGCCTTGTGCGTAGCTTAGCTTTCCTAAGAAAAATTTCACGCTACGCAAGCCGTTCCGTAACGCAGCTTCTACTCGCTCTTGTACACACAAATGAATGGAGTAATAGAAGACCGTTGTTTGCACTTACTTTCTGAAGATACTTCTAATAGAGATTGTCGACATTGTAATCGCAATTCTATATTTTATATCGAAGATGACCATGGCTAAACACAAATGACCCGCTCATGTCAAACAAGTTGTCATAAGCACAGTGCTCAGTATACATGTGGAAAACTGGTACGTTGATGAGAAAATGTTCAAAGCGGTGAGACAAAACTAAAAAGCGTATGCCTTTGCGTTTTAACAGACAAACGCATAAAAGTCGATTGCATATGTATGTGTGAGGGAAATAGATGAATGAAAGTAATTCCTGTGCTTTTACTGAAAATACCTTACTTTTCAACTATCGATACCTGGCACGTACTTAGCAGAATCGAATCACCGGGCAATGTTTTTCTACCTTAACGCACGTGATAAATCACATTAAAATGTCAAACTTCAAGCTACAGCTTTGATTTTGAACTGGTGGACAGTTGCTTTGTAACATGGAAAATTTAACCAAAATTCAAATCTCGATATTTTCGGAACGGAAAAAGATATCGAATTGCGGTATTCGAGAGGTTGTTGACCAACTCTTTGATAAAACGTACAGGGTTCGATGGGTATATTTATTTTATTTATCCACTTATACATGGTGAGCAAAAGAAGTCATGTTTCTTTAGGAAAGTTTGGGGCTATGTCAGATTCTCAATTTTTGATCTTGGAAATTTTTCTGCGCATATTTTCAATCTTTGGACTGTCCTAAGAAAAATTGATATCTCAAATTTTTCGCAAGCTGGCTATAACTCAAATTATCCAATTTTTAACTTCGTATTTTTTTTAAATACCTCTCCATGCAAATAGGACGTTTCTCCAGTTTCATTCTAACTACCTACACCTCAAACATGCTATTGCTAAGTAACAATAATTTTGACTGTAGACTTGACAGTATAATTTTATTTTCTCAAAAATGCATCGTCTTTTTCAAAAAGAACGAGAGAATTTTATAAGATTATTGGGAGAAGATCATTTAGTGATTGACGTAGCTTTAATTTATAGTGTTGATCGGTCCTCAATATACCGTTTAAGGCGTATATATCACCGGAAAACGCCCTACTTGCATGGAGGAGGTAATCAAAAAAAAACGGGGCGAAAGACATTTATTGCAGGAAGTAAGGCGAAGGAGGACCCTTTCATCCAGAACCTTAAATAAAAGCTTACGGCGGCACAGTAGCATAATAGCATACAAACATACTGCAAGAAGAACTTTAAATTATAATTTGTTCAGGTATGTAAATGTTAAAAAACATTTGCTAGGTACTAAGTAGCATTTCTTCCAAGTGTACTCGACTCTTGAACAACCATAGAGACGCCAAGAGCGAGTAAACTGGAATCAGCATGTTTTGCGATGAAACACGCTTCAACCTACACCACTATGATGGTAGGGTCCTTGTTTGGAGGCAAGCTGGGGAACGATATAATGAATAAAACATGGCTCCACAAGACGCGTTTGGTGGTGGTGACATTACTGTTTCGGCTGGGGATTATGTACAATGGCCAAACTTTTTATTTCAAACAGTCAATGCTACAGTTTATAGGGACAACATTTCAAACAATATTGTATCTTTTGCACAAGATTTTGGGGAGGACTTTGTCTTCATCGGTGATAACGCCAGGCCGCACAGAGCTCGTACGGTTATAAACTTTTTTCTATTCTATTCTATTCTATTAAAAGTAATAACTTGGGTTTGTTCATTAAGCTGTTTAATTGCATAGTAAAATTTATAAATTCGGTTTAAATTACATAATTTCAAAGTAGCAAATTTTTACTGCACGCCACTGGAGGCAATAACGTTCAATGAGTGCTTCAATCTTTTTTCGGACGGAAGAAATTCCACTTTATGCAACTGTATGAGAAAAAATAACAATTGTCAAGAGAAACCCCAAAAAGTCCCTTTTTTAGGGATGTATATATTAAAATTCGATAATTCGACTTATAGCCAAGTTTCAAAAAATTGAGAAATTACTTTTTTTAGGATGGTCCAAAGATCCAAAAGATTCAATATCAAAAATTGAGAATCTGACACAGCCCCAAACTTTTCTAAGAAAACTGACTTCCTTTGCTCACCCTGTATAAGTGGAGAAATAAAAGAAATATAGCGACCGAACCCTGTACCTCTTCTCAAAGAGTTGGTCAAGAACCTCCTGAATACCGCAACGCAAACCAACTGTCCACCAGTTTACTATATAGGTCGCAGTTACCGTACTTTAACATTCTCAGTAATCTTTTAAAATTTTCTGCCTGCTAAATACAACTGATGCTAGTTTTGGAGGGTTGGCGAGATCTCAATCTGAAATTAAGGGTGGCGCCTCTGGTAAAAAATCATTAGAGACAATTATCCGTTTATTTCGAATTTGCATTCCTCAAATCAATTCACCCTGTATTTCGATAAATCTAGAGCGCACAGTGGTTCATAAATTGTTAAATAGGAAGATAGGTATATTTTCTCACTAATCAATAATCGTTATATGACATTTTAAAACCACTTACCTAGATACAATGGGATTACACAATATGTGATCTGTAACGACCACTTTATGTCTAATCGTAAATGAATATGAATTTCAGTTATCAAAAGTGTTGTCGAGCGTTTTTAAACTTCGTATCCCGTCAGCAAAATTATCACATAAATACATTATTATGATGTCAATAACATATGTTTGATTAGTGCGATTATAGGCAACACAAGCTGCAATGGACAATATCTTCCAACAGGGATGGTGTACAACGGAGAGGGAATTATATCTACCCCTTCAGATTTTTTTATATTAGCCAGTTGTGTCGACAATCTACTAATGACACTGCGTAATGTTACAGACCGAAAAAGCCAATGAGCCGTATTCATAAAACAAAGGATATCCTTATACTTGCAAATTTGGAAGGAAATCCTCCAGATTCCAGATGGTATTTATAATAATTTGAAGTAAATGCTTTTGCTTTTTGAGTATAAGCATATCCTTCAAAGCGGTGACATAAGTAAAAGGATATTCATAATCTTCATCTTATTATTGGCATAGGAAGCATATCCTTCAAAAATTCTGAGTGTAGTCAGTAGCAGACTCAACTTCGTAACGAAAGGTGGTCAAACGATGATGGCGGAAATAGTGGATGTTAGGGATGTTAAAACGTACAAACCTCGTTTAACTTCACTTGGTCGTGACTTCAAAAAATTAGATCGGTTCGACGAAGCAAATGTACAATGACTTGCGAACAGATTTTTAGTTGAGAATGAGGAAACTGAAGGAGGAGCACTTTCATGTATTCATAAAATGAAGATATGTCAACGCTATCTCGGTGACCCTAGGTATCAAGAAGGTATTGGTCAGGAACTTGGTGTTGGTCAAGCAACGGTATCTCGGACTGTGGATAGAGTTGTAAGCAGCATAGTTGCACAGTCGAACGAATGGATGAAGTTTCCAACTACCAACCATGAACTGATGGAGGCCAAGCGGATATGGCAAAGCATGTATAAATTTCCGACAGCAATTGGTGTAATTGATGGTACACATATAGGAATCCTCAAATCAAATCGCCATGGAGATGAGTATATCAACCGAAAAGGGAAACCTACTTTAAATGTGCAAGCCACTTGTGATGCCAGAGAGATGTTCACAAGTGCTGATGTCAGTTGGCCTGGATCAGTGCATGATTCCAAAATATGGAAAAATTCACAGACTAGATCACAACTAATAAATAAAGAAATCCTACTCCAGGTGCAGAAATAAATTATAATAAGCTTTTAAAACAAAAAAGAGATATAATTGAACGCTGTTTCGGCCAACTGAAACGCCAGTTTCCTATCCTACAGTATGCTTGCCGCGTAAAGTTGGAAAATGTGCCGAAAATAATTATTGCTTGTATTGTACTCCATAATGTTGCGAAGAGCTTGGCGATCCTGACTTTGAGTTAGTTGAACGAGACCCAGATGAAGATGAAGGAAATCATGAGAATGACGAACTCCTCTCCGCCGACTAGGTCAACAAATAAGAAGACACTTGAGTATTATAATAAATAGTTTTATTGGTTAAAGTGTATTTATAAGTTATAATAAGTTTTATTTTCGTGAACATCATAAGTTACAGGTGGCTTCTGACGCTGCATCATTTCTAATTTCGTTTTATAATACTCTTGTTGTAAAATACTTGTTTGGTACTGCTGCACTAGACGTTGCAGTTCTTATGTAGTTAACCCTTAGGTTTCCTCAGTTTCGTATTTCTCTGTTGCTAATTTTCTTTTTGGTGGCAATGTTTTCTGAATTGCTGGCGCTGTAATACTAACTGTTTGCTCACTGCGCTCGGTATATAGTTCACTTCCTTCTTCTTGAACACTACCAACCTGAATGGCACCTCTAATTTTCCCAATTGTGGGATTACAGTCACCTTCCATAGCTTTCAGCACCTTTCTTTCAATCTAACAACTTAATTGATTTATTACCAGTTTTTTTAGATCTGTTTTTTCTTCAATCTTGATTTCATGTTGTTGAATAAGCCTTTAGTATATGGTTTACCGAATGTTGATTCGTATTTTTTCAACATCTTCTTCAAGGCATCGCCCTTTCTCATTTTTATTTTTGGAACTTGTGACTTTTGCAAAATAATGGGAGCAATGGCAATTTCATCTGCGATGACCTGCAGGTCGTTGCCATTATTTTCTCTGGTTTCCTCATCACTAGAGGATGACATGCTTATTAATTTGATAAAAAACTGTATCTAGTAAAAATACGGAACGGTCTGTGTAAGCTCTGGAGTACAACTGTCAGTGATGCTGAATGAACGAACTCCCACGTCAACTACAAGCTGGAACAAGTCAGGACAGATGCATTTTTGCTGTAATACTAGGTCATTATCGTTAACACAGGGTTTGTCCGGAAAGTACTAGGACTCATTTTCTTCCGCCATGACTGTACTTCGGAGCGTACGCGCACCGACTGGACACTTGGAGAGTCAGGACAGGCATTTTCGCGCGACGTGTTTCTGTGAGTGGTGCAAGCCGAAAATGCAGCGTTCGTTAGAGCAGAGGTACGCGATTAAATTCTGTGTGAAACTCGGTAAATCTGCGACAGAGACGTTTGATATGATCAAGCAGGCTTACCCAAGTGTTGCTTTAGCAAGAAGTGGTGTGTTTCGGTTTTGCGGTTTTGGAGGGCCGGGAAGAGGTCGCTGATGAAGACCGCGCTGGAAGACCTTCGACTTCGACAAACACCGATAATGTGACTCGTGTGCGCAAAGTTTTGAACTCAGACCGTCGACTAAGTATTCGTTCAATTGCCCAGATGTTAAATTTACCAAAATCTGTGGTTCATGACATTGTGACACAGCATTTGAACATGCGCAAGGTGTGCGCGAAGATGGTCTAAAAAGTGCTTACTGACGACCAGAAATTGCGGCGAGTGGAAGTGTGCCAAGAAAATTTGAACATGTGTGAAAGTGACCCCCAATTTTTGAATAACGTAATTACAGGTGACGAGTCGTGGATCTTTGAGTATGATCCCGAGACAAAGAGGCAATCTTCCGAGTGGCACACGACGGCGTCTCCTCGCCCAAAAAAGGGAAGAATGAGCAAATCCAAAGTGAAAACGATGGTCATTGTCTTTTTTGACATCAAAGGTGTCGTCCACCATGAATTTGTTCCTCCTGGACAAACCGTCAACGCCAAGTTTTACGTTGAAGTGCTCAGGAGACTCAAACGAAGGGTCAGTCGGGTCCGACAAGACATCGCAGCCGACTGGAAGTTGCACCACGACAACGCCCCGGCTCACATCGCCTTTCTTGTGAACAGCTACCTGACCAAGGCCGGCATCCCAACGCTTCCGCAGCCGCCCTACAGCCCGGATGTGCCCCCTCGGACGTTTTTTTGTCTCCTCGCCTGAAAAGCCGTTGAAAGGCAAGCAAGAATTTTGAGACGACAGAGGGGATCCAAGCAGCATGCACCGCGGCTCTCAAGGCTATTCCGGAGGATGCCTTCCGTGACGCCTTCAATGGTAGGAAATCGCGCTGGCAGCGCTGCATCGACGCAGAAGGAGCCTATTTTGAAAGTTTTTAAGGAATTGTAACGATTGGCTCAATAAATTTTTTTAAATCGACTCAGTCCTATTACTTTCCGGACAAACCTTGTATATATTACCTCGTCAAAGGCGGGGTGTCGGTTACGTCGACCATTCGTAATTTTACGGAAATGTCCTCACGTCCCAATAATATCCTTGATAAGATGACTAAAGAAATACAGGTAATATTTAACCTGCTCAGAAGTGCTTAAATGTGATTTAAACAATAAATCTAATTTAAAACGACAGTTTCAATATTGTTAAATGACAAAATATAATTATTTTGTTTGCCTTCTTGCAAATCGATTTATGACATATAAAAGTGCCCGTCCAGATAGGCGATCTTCAGGCGTAAAGGCTCCACGTCTTGAGGGTAGAAAAGGAACTCTCTGCTGTCGGTACGCTAACTGGTATTGTAGCAAGGATTCAAAGCAACTTTTTGATGTTGGGATGCATTTCTGTATCGCAATTTCCAATAAGAGTAGAAATCGACCGCGGAAAGTTCTACACTCGCTGCCATTTTGCCAACCACAGCCGAAATTCATTCACATTATTATTATCCAAGAGCGGTTGGTACTGCGAGTTGCTAGATTTTTGCTATAGTATAAGTGATTCTTGAGATAAAAGCACCTAACTTAAATTAATTAACTGTGTCTGGGAACAGTCACACCTGAAGATCAGTGATCACATTGCCTAGAAGAGGATGTACACAACCCTCCGAAAATACTCTTCCGGCAACTGAGCAGGTGCCATCTCCTTTCAATCAAATGAAACCGCTTCTCTTTGATTTTGTCCATCAAAATGTGTTTTTATCAAATTTACTCACAGCGTTAAAGACGCGCGCGAAAAGGTTTTTTCTTATACTCCTGTCTGAATGTCTGAATTTTCAATTATCTTAATCACAGAACATATGAGGATCAGTTCCCAATAATGCACTAACGGACATGCAGTGCTATTACGCCGAAAAACGCAGAATTGCTGTTTTATTTATATTTGCGTCAAGTCGAACTTGGGGTTATTTCGAGGGACAAAATGAAGGTGACACGTGCCCTTGACCACTATCTTTAATATAATTTCAAGGTCAAGTGGACATTTTCAAATTTTTAATTCGGAATTGAAACTCGTATGAGGAAATTTTGCGTCCGAGTATAACAATTACCATTACCTCCTTAAATTTTGTTTGTGGGGATCAGCCAAATATCACCTTGACCATGGCTTTCAAGGTCAAGTCACAATTTCCAAAGGAAATTTCACTTTTACAATCGAAAGGGAAAACGCAAAAATTTTCTTTTCGGGCAATCTCCACGAACCTCAGAGTTGTGCTGTAGAACATTTTTACTAGAGCAATTTGTCTTAGATGCCTTGATTTGACCTTTAAATGTGGCCTTAAAAGCCATCTCAAGGTAATGGCCAAGGTGATATTCGGACGTAAGACTTCCTCCTCTTTTATTTACTTGACCATGAAATGTCGAAAAAAATTTCATTGAGGTCACCATCGATGTGACGATGTGACCGTTCATGTAAAGCCCAAAGTTCGCAGTGTTGGCATTTTTGTCCAAAATTCACCCATTCTCGAATATCTGGCTTATTATTTTTCTATGGGAAAATGGTTGTACACACTTTCTACCTCAAATCTGCTAAACACACTGAGACCCAAATAAAAGTGTTGCTCCTCTGCAAGCATAATAAAAGTTGAAGTCTCATTATAATTGTGTATAAATTTGTTTCAACTTTTGGTTCTATTGTGAGCTCAGTGGAGCAACACTTTCATTTTATAAGCTTTCAAGGAACAAACACCACTAAAGTAAAAAAAGGTTGATGATCCTTCAAAATATATGGCCTAAATATTTGAATATATCACAGACGCGATAAAACTGAAATTAGAATTATTTTCAGGGCCGAACACTCCGCTTATACACCCAGATCCTTCTACGTTTCAACTTAGGTGCATAATTTTTCTCTCTTTCATACATAGAAAACAGAAGCACTAGTCAAAACTTGGTTGTGTGCGCAATATTTTGATATTCCGTCGAAAAACTTTTTAATACCCCATTTGAGATAACGTTCCATTTCTAAAACTACACTAATGATAAATAAAAGATTCAACATAGAACTTTATAATATATTGATTGACAATGTCTTGTACAATCGGTAAAATAACATACATAAAACGTTACATAGCAATATGATATAAACCATATTAAATATATATTTAAAAACAAATATTGGAATAACAATTAAAATCTTTTATGTAAAACATACATAAATATATAAAATTAACAGTAATATTTATGATATACATTCTGATATTTACATAATTTATTAGGTAACAAACAAATTAAAAGGCATACAATTAAATCTTTGTAATAAGTTTTAAGCTTATAAATACAAAAAGCTGTGTATAGTGTATAGTAGGCCCATTGTTGGACAGTATGAAAAAATATGTTATATGCTATTATAAAAATATAAAAGGGAGAGTCTAAGTTTCTGAAGAGGCTCGAGGGGGTTTACAGCGTCTTTGAGGCACGTTATTTGATATATGATTATGAGTGTTTTGAATTATTTTAGTGAGCTCTCTTGCTCTATTTACTTTTCCGTTCTAAAGTTCGGATCAACGTGTATATTTTTCAAATTCTAGCTCAAAATAAATCATACGGAATGGTCTCCCTACTAACTAAAATTTGATTGTTGATATGTTAATAATAATAATTGTATAGAAATTATCACACCCGGTTTTTGGCATTACGTGAAATGTTTTCTATTTTCATCATCCAAATTCATTTTATAACTCGAGCCTTTATTCCATATTAATCATTAAGGCTACGTTTTAGTTTATAGCACTAATTTGCTTATAAAAATGGGCGATTCATTTAGAGGTACTTTTTAAAAAGAAAAATATAAAAATAACTTCTATGGGGTTAACTTTACCAAAGACATTCAGAATAATTTTTGACTGTTACTACAATCAGTATGTCCTTTTGGGCATTGCAATTTTTGATGATGCATTGGAGCCTATAATCTTTATAATGTTTGATTTCAACAAGACACCACAATGCTACTTACAGCACACCACACTTTTTCCTTTGGGTGTATATCTATAATGGATTAGTATGTACCGCTTGAAATGCACAAACGAGTCATTGAAAATTGGAACTCCAATGATCAATAAACAAATGCCATGGATGCCTCCTTTGCTTGATAACAATTATAATCCAGTGTGGTCAATTCTGGTAATAATTTATTTCAAGAGACCTTATATCCTGGACAGAGGATATTGCTCAGCTTTCATTGACTGTCCTTCCTGTGACCATGCTGATGAATTGCAAAAAAGCGCGAAACAACTGTCCATTATTGAGTATCTGTGGTCAAATTGACAAAACATATATTACTAGTTTCTACCTAGTGTGGCACACACAAATTATCGATTACATTGCACCTCAGAATCAATCCATGGTTCCCCCAAATTCCTGTAGGCTCTTTGCCATCGCCCCATTGGTTCTGAGTGCCCACAAGGGGATGTTATCATCCAGTTTGAGAAAGATTGCTGTAAATGATTCATTCATTATTACCATTTGATAGGTGCCCTTCCGTGTTCTATTAGATACTGATTTGCTTGAGAGAAATGTTTACACCCAAAAAACCTATGTTCACTATATGGACTTGGGTGGCCAGAAACAAGAACAAGATGCTTATTTTTGTTAATTAGGTGACTTTTACACTTAGCTAGAAAACCCCAAAGCATGAACACAACATGCTCACATTTCTCATTTACAAGCTCAAGAATTTTGCTGGTAAAAGCCTCCCAACCAATTTCAGAATGTGATTTTGGATCATGTTTTGCTACAGTAAGAACACTATTCAAAAGAAGTACACCACTCTTAGCCCAATTGGTAAGATCACCATGTTGTGGGATATTAAAGCCTGGCAAATCAGTCTCTATCTCTCTAAAAACATTCAATAGGCTAGGTGGAATGGGAACTCCAGTGGGTACAGAAAAAGATAATCCCATCGCTTGTTTATCATTGTGGTAAGGGTCTTGTCCTACAATAACCACTTTTGTCTCTTCTAAAGAGAAATATTGGGTGAATGTGAATATGTTTTCTATTGGAGGTAGATGATTTTTGTTACAGTGTAGGAATGTTTTTATATTTTTGAAATAGTCTTTTTCAAACTCTGCCCTCAAACATTCTCTCCATTTAGGATTCATAAGGTCTTCAAGCCTACAATAACTGCATGGTCCAGTGCATGATGTAATTGAGTTAGTGACTTCATTAGTTTTATCAACTGTTGAAATATACCCAGTAGCAGCTTTTTTCACAGGGTATAAATCATCCAAATTCAGCTGCCTTTTTCTTGATGATGTTGTGTTACTCTCTTGAATACCCTCTGAAGAATCAAGATGCACCTGCTTCTTTTGAACATAATTTACTTGTGCTCCAGTTGAAGTTAAATTAGGTTGTACCTCATGTTGTACTGAATCAGCACTGCTTGACCCACTTGTACTAGTAGTATCTGCCACCTTACCAAATCAAATTTGAGGTCATTTGATTTTCTTTTTTTCCAGTCAAACTCAACTGGTGGTGGAGTGGTAACGTGTATATTTTATGGTGGTAATCTGGTATCTTACTATCACTAGACCTTACACCCACAAAACATACACGTAAACATTACCACGTCAGTCAAATTTGACCTCACCCCTCACCTCTCACGCCCCTCGCCAAAGAACGGGCAAACGTGTAATCTCGGTGGAATTTGGAATTAAGATCGTTTGTAATCATGGCTTTGACAGATTTCAATAGCTCAGCCTTAAGGCGGGTTTACACGCTACGTCTTATTGTACGTTTTGTGTGAGAGGAGAAATCCTATCCAACAAAACGTGACGTGTAAACATCAAAACATCAAGGTCAGATTGAAAAACTGAAGGGAGAAGCATAATTATACGAGAATTGGACAAAACGAAACATGTAGACTCATGTTCAGACAAGACATCCCTTCTTGGCTCAGTTCACGAGTAGCTCCACAGTTCGCATCTGTTTTTCCCAAAAAACTTAATATATAATAATATAAATTAATATAATAATGTCAGACTTGCGGCAATGCACCCACGATTTTCTAGGGGAATTAATTGAAATGTATAAACCTTTTCCGTGTTTGTGGCAAGCGAAAAATAAAGACTATACTGACCGTAATAAAAAAACATCTCGTATGAGGAACTTATAAAAAAATACGAAGGAACAGACCCGATGGCAACTAAAGAGACTGTTACAAAAAAAATAACCCCGTTGAGATCGGTTTACAAAAGAGAGTTAAAAAAAGTTTTTTTTCACTTGAGCCGTCGATCGAGCAAGAGCTAAGAATTTTGTTCTCTGTAGCATGAGGTCATATAGCACCATGTGCTAGCGGTTTGTAGAATGTGTATCCGTATAGGACAAAATGATTGGGGCCACCCCCTTTCTCTTTCCCTTTCCATTTGCTTTTGTCTTTGACTTTGCCTTTGTCTTTGACTTTGCATTGCTTGGCCTTACACTTCACCCATGCATGTGCCTTGGCAGCGCCATCGCCTTTAAGTTCAACTTCGCCTACATCTAGTTCTGAAGCCACTAAATGTGAGGTCACCCCTCATAACTGGGACCTCCACTTCAAGCACCTGGCCATCCTCGCTTCAGTAAGGTCAAAAATGGACCAGCGAAAGATAAGTGTATAGTTTTATAGCAGCGCCAAAGATTTAAAACTTATTTTGTTGTTTAAAATTTAAAATTGTAATGTAATGAAAATGCTTTTTTGTTAAATAAAATCTGTTAAATTTTTGTGTTCTGTTTGTTCTTCTATCCTCTAGCCATGCCATGGTCGATACACAGCTACACGCCTGTAGATGTCTTCATGCCACCGACTGAGCTACCGGAAGCTAATGGTAACCTTTCTGTGATTGTGCAGAAAAGTTGGAATCTTCATTGCATTTCATCTTTTCTGGACTTTTTGCGGAAAGGAAATGTTACATAAATTGGCATCAGGAATCTCTGAAACTGGAGAAGAAGACGTATACAAACCATCGTTGTGGTATTACGATCTATTTTATTTTTTAAATGATCAAGACGACGAGGAGTCCTATTTTGATGGACCAAGCCAACAAGTAAGAAAACAAACTTTTTTCAAACACAATATATATGAACATGTCACAAAATTATGCTTATAGAGATACATAAAATTATGTGTATTAAATTGTATAAAGCAATTGTCAGAAAATAGTTTTACAACAGGTAACATAAACATCATCACGCACGTATTGGTTATGTTGATATCATGGTATCCTGCCACGGAACAGCACCTTCTTGATTGAAGTACTCACAGAACTTATCTCTTACTGTCTTGGCTCTAAGTAATACTTGCTGCTTGATCCCGGGCTATAGGCTGTGATCACATCTTTCACCCAACTGTACTTCGTTGTTGTCAATGTCCGCGCTGACAAGGGTTCCTGGACGTGTGTAGTAATCTGGGGAATTCCTACGTAAAAGATCATGCAGGGCAATACAAGCCAAAACCACTTTCTCAATATTTTCCACCTTCAAATCTAGATGCTAAAATTCCAAATGAGTTCTCAACTAAACGTCGCGCTCATGATAAGCGGTAGTTGAAAATCCTTCTCTTTCTATTTAGAGACTCTCGGTTGTACGATCTGATTAGATCCAGGCGCATTGCGAATGCCCCATCACCCAAAAACACATATCCAAGAACTCGATCCGAATTTAAAAGTTTAACTGGTTCAGGATTTTTCAAGTCATTGCAGTTCAACTTCTCGTAAAATATGGTGTGATTAATGACGTCACCATCAGAAACACGGACATTTGTACCTACACTGTAGTAAATAAACTCACAATTTGCATTTGCAATGGCCATCAGAACTATGCAATGAGGTTTTTTGTAATTAAAATAGCAAGAGGCAAGAGCCACTGTTCTTGGAAGGAACAATCTGAATATGTTTTCCATCCATTGCGCCCAAGCAATGAGGGTTTCCTCAGCCATCACTTTTCAAGACAAGATGCGATGTCCAACCACGCCTTTGAGTTTTCTGTGAACTAAAAAAAAAGATATCAATGATTACCCAAACTTACAGACGTACATAGAGCATCTACTACAAGTTAATTTTGTCAAAGACTGAACAAAAATTGGATTCTATCACAACCAGTGATTCGGTTGCCACATATGGGAAACACATCGCAGATCGTCTACAACAAATGAAACCGGACCAAGTAAAATTCGTCCAAAAACTGATTGGTGACGTACTATTCGAAGGCGAAATGGAATCTCTTAATACGAACTGCAAGTTGACAGTTCCAGGACAGAGATAACTACAGTCCTATCTATTATCTATGAGGGAAGCCTACCCACCTCATTATGGACAAACAATCTGGCCTCAGCTTTTGCACAACAAGTTGCCCACCAACCTGACATGCAACAACTTGCACATCTACCTGGCATCCAAAGCATTCCGCAGCCCGCACCAGTACTGGCAGAAATATGAAGGCCAGTTACCACTTCTTCGTTGGTTGATTACGTCACAACTTTTTCTGATTCAAATCCTTAATTGGAATTTTTCTAAAAATTTTACATTTTTTATTTTCAATGTTGTTTCTTATGTTCAGTTTTCTTATGTTAAGTAAAGTTTTTTATGTTCGAAGTCTAAAAAAAACAAATTCTTTCTTACGTTTTATTTCATTCTTTTTCGTGTTAAAATTAGTTAAATTTTTTTTTAACGAATGTACCCATTTAAAACAAATAAACAAATACATCTTCAAAGGCCATTTCAGTAAAAACCTACTGCCTTTCTATATTTAACAATAATAATTATGTAATTTTAATTAGTTCTTCTTTAAAACCAAGTAGATTGCACCACAGATTTCAGAAAATATTTGGTTCAACGCTGGTTGTGAACTCCAAGTCCTTGAGGCTGCGTCCTGTTGCAAGATATCTTAGAGTTGCTGCGAGTTTTCCATGGGATGTAATGGCTTTTCTCTTGCAGGTGTCTTGTTTCAGCATGTGTATGGTGTTATTAACACTTTGGCTGCCCCATTTTCATTTATTAGAGGCCAAACCTAAATTATCACAAATGCATGGTCACGAAAGCTTTATTGACATAAAAAACGTATAAACAACTCAAAAAAGATGTTTTTTCTGCAAAAAATTAAAATCACCGGTGATATACATAGCATCTAGGTTAATCGGTATTTCTCCAGTGCCAACTGTATCACCGTTGATCACAGAAGAAATAGAAAATAAAGCTAATGTTTTTCAGTGAAACAAGTAAAACATAAATAAATATTGCATTGCCCGCGCTTGGTAGAGACCAATTTAGCCTGTTTCATTCCCACAACTCGACTCCTTCTCTGGCCTTTTTCTCATAACATCTCTTTCTGTTCTTTCTCCCGTCTGCTGTTCTTTCTTCTGTACTGATCAGACTGTTTATCTTCATTTACTAGGACACTTGGGACTTTAGTAAGGCTTTCAATCAACATCTTTCTAAAAGCACCAATTTGTATGTTTTGTTTTTTGAAGTGCTTGTAAATATTAAGAGAATTGATGACAGCCGTATTCAGGAGAATTTCGAACATTAGCTTATGATCCCATCTAATTGTTCTTCGGAGTTGGGAAAAGTAGCTACCCATTTGATCAGAAACATCTATACCATCTTTACCAGCATTGTATTCTAATATGGCAGAAGGTTTCTTTACCTCCTCGCTCTTTCTGTTTTTTCTTCCCAGTAGCCTTTATATCCAGCGTGTGCTTAGTACTCAAGAACGGAACATCCCTTTTGTCTTACCATTTACCTATAACGAGTCCTGTAGTGTTTTCCTTCCCCACAATTTCCCCTCCTTTTAGCTGTGCACTCATAACCCATAAACCGCAAAATCTGTATAAGAACCAACCTGAATATAGTAAAAGTGCAGTCGTAAATTTACCCTACAAAGGTAGGCAATCAGTGATGTTATATATCTCAATGAGTTGTCTATATTATCAGTATGCCACAGTATAAGTAGTTAAACTTAATTCACAGGCCAAGCGGATATATCTCTAATTTAGAAGTATACTGCATGTGAAACACATGTGAGTTACGTGGCCTCCGAGAAAACGTGACTGTGTATCACCGGTGTTTCTCATGGCAGCCAATGTCTAGCAATTGACAATAGGCTGAGGTGTCCATTCGCAAACAATTGCGCCAGTCATCAGGTTCGCTTCTCAGTTGTTTCAATAACGAGACGTGGGAATCTTCTTTTCAGCAGACACTCCCTCGACCATCTTGTATTTTCCCCTCTTCATTTCTTTTCCTTTCAGTCGTTGTACTCTTGTAGTTGAAATAATAAAAGAAAGCAGCCGTGCTTCCTCCATAATAAAAAAAGGTCTAACAAAAAAATTCACTAAACAAACTTCACACAACGAAAGAGTCTAGATTGGAACTATAGTAGAAAGCGGAAGGGAAAACACGTAGTATGTATACACTGGACAAAACGTACAATATGACGTAATGTGTAAACCCGCCTTTACCCTGTCCTGCATTGGAAATATATTTTTAAGCCGGTCACTGACAGTTATTTTCTCTTGACAGACTTACCCACAGACTACTAAAGAAAATATATAAAGAATTCTTTAGTAGTCTGTGGACTTGCCCAACATTCTGACCCTGGCTGCGATTCAATAAGTCATAACATTCCGAGTTTTGAGCCGAATATCTAGTTTTCAATCGGATGTACAAGTTAACATCATTAGGTTGTTACGACATGCGAAAATACCTGATTACTGTGTGAATAATTAACAGTTTTTGTCTTAATCAATCTAATCTAAAATGGTGTACTTTGGGATTAGCAACCTTGTGCGTACAGAATCGCAGCTGATAGTACCAGGTCGGGTAAAGCTGCGAAAAAAGCACGTCTCCACGTCTGTGACTGGCTCTATAAGTAAATTATTTGAGGTTAAGTAGATAAAAATAGAGGTTTGTCCCGAAATTATCCTGCAAAAGGTAATACAAGGAAAAAAGGGGATAAAAGGTAAATAAGAAATTGATTGTACATCTATTTCAGTGGTTGGAACATGTCAGATTCAGACCGTATGCCAAAAATTGATTTCAGTAAACTGAGAGAGTCGGACCTGGAATTTATAAAGCAAATAGAAAAGCAAAACAGAGAAAGGGTCCTAAAATTGAAACACATTCGCAGAAATAATTTAATCACAGCATCGTTATTGGGTGTGGGAGTATTAGGAATCTACGGTTATTCTATGTATGCTGTGAAGCAAGAAAGCTTCTTGGACGACTTTGAAGAACCAGCTAAAACAACCCAGTAATGGCTGCGGCAGCCACACATTTGCGGCTTCCGCCGCTACCTACTGTTAGAGACTTGGTAAAGTTGTATCGTCTAAGAGCTCTACGTCAGTTGTCACAGAACTTCTTAATGGATGATCGTCTCACAGATAAAATTGTTAGAGCAGCTGGAAGGATCAGGAATCACTATGTGTGTGAAGTGGGCCCTGGTCCTGGAGGTATCACTAGATCAATTATTAAGCAGCACCCCAAGAAACTGATAGTTGTCGAGAAGGATCCTAGATTTTTGCCTACATTGGAACTGTTACAAGAAGCATCTAAACAACATACAGATATGAAAATTGAGATAGGAGATATCCTTACTTATCAGCTACAGCTTGGTTTTCAAGATGCACCAAAAATGGATTGGTTTGATGCTCCTGCGCCAATACATTTAATAGGTATGAATGAATGTGCTTTTCTTGCATAAATTTATAAGAATACTGTTTTTTTGACATCTCTTTGTTGTAAAAACTTGCATTTGTTTTGAATACATGCGCTGAGTTGGTTTGTGGTTGTCAATTGCTTTCCATGAGAATGACAGCTCCTTATTTTTAACCAAAATGAATTCTTTTCAGTTTCAACCAATATAAACTCAGTTTTCCCTTTGCTTTGCAGGAAATCTTCCATTTAGTGTATCTACTCATCTAATAATCAAGTGGCTACAAGCTATATCTGAAAAAAATTCTGCTTGGTCTTTTGGTAGAACTTCCATGACGCTAACCTTCCAAAAAGAAGTAGGAGAGAGAATGGTGGCTACAGATTCACATCCTCAAAGGTTAGTTAAAATTCAGCAACATAGTGGCTATTATATTATATTATAGTCAGTAAGCAATACAGAATTGGCCAAATTTTGATTTGTGATTGAACTCCAATATACTGGCCATACGAGGAAGAATTTTATGGGATTATATTTTAGCAGATCTTGAACTTTAATAAACAGAAAACTTCACTTCGAGAAACATGAAAGTGTGGGAAGTACTATGTCAAATTACTTGCATATTTTTTTTATCTTTTAAAAAAGTTAGCAAGCTGTAATTTAAAAATACTATATTCAAAATGACAGAATGGTGCCTTCTTGAACATTCCAACCAAGAAATCTTTCAGTTTTTCTAAACAGTTTCCCACAATTCAATGTACTAAAACACAACTTTGACAGTTCCTCTTCTTGAAAGTATTCAATTCATGCTCTAGGGTTAGAGCACTGATAAAAGTCTTCAGAATGAGGTATAAGGACACCTCAGTCAACTTTAGAAAAGTTTCAAGCTGGACTTCCAGCAGCCACCTTGAAATTTTCAACTGTCACTTTAATGCAGGGATGCTGGGGACTCACTTTTTCGATTCATCTCAGTTTTGCTCACTTTTCATTGAAAGAAATTCACTTTTCTCACTATTTTAGCTCTCATTGTACACATTGTCGTTGATGAACGTTTTCAAAGGAGCTGTCCTCCTTCTCTCAAGCCCTACGAAGTTAAATGAAGGGATTTTTTTTTATAAAAATTATCTTTGACAAATTTGTTCATGTACACGGTTCTCCACAAGCATGAGATTTATAATATAATTACTACTACTACTTATTCAGCTTTGCCAAAAGCACTGTGTATATATGCACTGGAGATTTCAAATTCGTAAACAGTACATACAAATTTGTATATGAAGGAAAAGTTGCGCATTCAGGTAACTAATAAAATGTTACTTAGATAGTTTGGAAATCCAGAGTATTTTTGGAGAGACAGAATACTAATTTACCCTGAACTATTTTCATTTTCTCCTGGCTCAATTTAAGCTGGGATTTCAATATAAATTCCTTTAACAGTGCACCTTTTACAATCCTTGTACAAGTCTGTTGGTATGTTAGTCCGTTTGTATGCATGTGTGGGACAAATGCTGAAACTGAATTTGAACCAATTAACCTTAACCAATTGAGATGAAATTTTGCATCCCTGTCGGGTTCCTGTGACAATACATAATGAATTAACTGCCGCCATTTCGAATTTATGCGTATGCTACATAATGGCCATTTATCATTTCCATGGTATATGATATGGTTATTAAATGAAAGAGTTTTATGCGGAAACACAATAAACAAACTGACGTCATTCTAAATCCAATATGACAGAGGCCGCAATTTGGCGATTTATAATTTTCATAGTCACCTCATCAGACGAAAGGGCTTGAGAGAAACGCGATAAACAAAGTGTCGTCATTTCAAATCATACATGTCGACCTCCGCAAAATGGCGTTTATAATTTCTATGATATGGTTGTCGAAAGGGCTCGATGAGAGAGATACAGTAAGCAACGTGACGTCATTCTATATCCAATAAGGCGGGCGTCGCAAAATATCCATAGTCATCCCCATATTATGGTTATCAAATAAAAGGGATTGATGAAAGAAACAATTGACAATGCAATATAATTATGACATGGAGATGATCTGATGATGAAGGCGGGAAGTGGCCATGGGAAGCCTTGCTTGATTCCTAATGACAAGTACTCTAGTCTTAGAGTCTGATGATTAAGTTAGTCAACTATTGTGTAAAACATACTCATCTATAATAACTATATCAAATTTAAATTTTTTAATTTTAGATAGTTCGCTAAAATGTAGAATCAATCAATTAGGCAAGAATACTTAATAGATATAAGTATGTCTCCCATATTTACAAAATTTGTTATATTTATCTTTCTTTTATGCATCGTATGTTTTTGATCTTGAAATATGCATACATATAACTAATTATGTTTGTTTACGTCAATAAAACAGTAACATAAGAGTTGTTCTCGTTTTTTCACACATTTTTATTTATATTATCCGTTTAAATTTGGCAATATATCATTCAATTGCTCAGACAATTAGCTCACAATTTCTCACTACCTTTTTTGAAAATCTCACTTTTATCACTTAAATTCATGCTCAGGCACCCCTGCTTTGATGTCAAAATATTGTATTCTTGCATCAGTTTTATCACCCCATTTCAGCTTGCAGAAAAATAAATGGGGAAGAGGTACCTTTGAAAAGAACTGTATGTGATGTGATAAAAACATTGTTGAAAATGGCTAATTTCACCGACATTTTTCTTTGAAAAACAACTTTTTTTCAGGTGTCGTCTGTCTTTGATGTGTCAGCTGTGGTGTAAAGTTGATTATAAATTCACTATACCTGGAAAAGCGTTTGTACCAAAGCCTGATGTGGACGTAGCTGTAGTCACCTTAGAACCTCTGAAATATCCTTTAATAGATCTGCCGTTCAAAATGGTGGAGAAGGTTATAAGAACTATATTCAACATGAGGCAAAAGTACTCTGTCAGGGGTGCAGAAAGGTTGTTTCCAGAAGAACTGAGAGATACTTTAAGTGAGTATAAATAAACTGGCATCCAAATAAAAATAAATACAAATTTAGTAATTCCGTGTTTTCAAAGTAACGACCATAATCATTTTTCCAAGTATCCAAGGCTGGTATACTCAAGAGTAATTTTTGACTGGTACAAGGGACTCAGAATTTGATATCCAAAAATAGGGGCGACAGAAAATTTTGACCAAAACTAGCCTAAATACTCTGTTTAAGGTTATAGTTGCATTTGATCACGATTTATAGAAATGCTTGAAATTTTCATATATTCAAGGCATTGTATTGATACATCTTTTTGCAGAATTTGAATTAAATCGACTGTCTTGTTCCTGGCAATCCCTGTAGTATTTACTTTCTTGTTTTATTTAATTTTCACCAAAACAGAATCTTTATGAAAATGATGTTATGAAATTTACTTCAAAATTTCAAGGATATTTACATTCTCTTTTTTGTTTTAAATAGTTGGCTCAATATTTAATGAATCCGTGATTTTCGTGTTATTTGTACAAGTGGCGAAAACCTGACCGCATGAAACCTGAGCAGCATCACTATAGAATTAGAACTCACTACTCTATTCAGGGTCATTCCTACAATAAATTGTAGGTCGCCTTTATGACCTTCTTGATTGTCATAGTCTTTCCTCTCCTTCAGAAAGACTGGGGTATTTCTAGATTTCTACCGTTCCATGTCAGCGTCAGCACTCTCCTGTTGTGAGGTTATCTTTCCTTTTTGAATGATGGGTAATTTGCGGCTGATATAACAGATGAATATAAATCAAATGCATGAACAATTGATATAAATAGATATTTGTAACGTAACCTCAGACCGCTAACACGAAACAGTAGAAAACTATGAAAATCAGGGAAGCCATAAAGGCGCCCTACAATTGTAGGAACGACTGACGATACGACACATATTATTGAAATATGTAGCAAGAAAGCTGATAAATTCATGTTTGGTCCAATCTCATTGTTGCTAGGACAGCCTGCGGATGGAGAGAACTTTTATGTACTGTAATAAATGCAAATCTATGAATAAGCTTAATAACCACATTTTCCAGGCACCAGACTGTATCAGCTATCTGATATTGACCCAACAACACGGCCATACCAGTTAACAAATGAAGAGTTTTGTCGAATTTGCTATGCCTATAAAGTTATTTGTGAAGATTACCCAGAAGTAAGGGATTACGATTCTAGAGCTCGTAAGATAAAATTATCTGATGTAGAGTAATCAGTTGTAGTACTTATATTTAGGAATAAATGTTTTCGTTTGTTATGTCTGTTTTATTCATTTTTTTAGTACATGAAATTGTAGCTGTTAAGTGCCAATGGTGGTATATCAATGTTGAATTGAATCTTAAGCATAATTATAATTTACACATTTACTACAGATCTCCAACTGGAAATATAAACAGATTTATAGATTTATTCGAAAATATATGTGACACACATTTTTATCGAAACTGCATCACGGTACATTTAGGCGATTTTAATATAAATTTTGATAATCAAGACTTCTACGCAAAGAAATTTAAACTGGTACTCAGTTTTTATGGACTATGGCAAAAAGTATATGATTACATCAGAATTACAAATCAATCAAGAACAATTATAGATTTGATAATAACGAACGAACAAAATTTAATTGCAGAAGTTATGCATACTCCTAATATCAGTGATCATTCATGGATAAGTTTTGAAGTTGAAAGTAAATTTGATGCTAAAAAAGTGGAAGAAATTACTACCTTGCTGTTAGGATCGCAGACGCGAAAGGATGTATGGAAAGGGCAATTTTCACAAACTGAAACTCGCACATCCAGCCAGCAGTTTGTCATTCTACGAGCTTCGAAACTGTAGCAAGTTGATATCACGAGTACAGAAACGTGAGGAGGTATGCCCCCTATTTCAGTTGCAACACTTCTCGTCGTTTCTGCGATCCTGATACAAAATCTTTACAAGCTGAAATTCGCACAGCCAGCAATAAGGCTCTCATCGTAGATTTGAAACTATGTCAGAAACAATTTGCTATCAGGATCACAGAAACGCGGAGAGGTATGGAAATTGTACTATGTTGCATATACCAATGGCAACACCCCTCGTCGTTTCTGCGACATTCTCACATTTAGCCGTCAGTCTGTCATCGTAGAAGCCTCGAAACTGTATGAGATGCAATTTGCTATCAGAATTGCGAAGAGGTATGAAATTTGTATTCTGCTCCTTATATCAATGGCAACACCTCTCATCCCTTCTGCGATCCTAATTCAAAATATTCACAAGCTGAAATTCGCACAGCCAGCAATAAGGCTCTCATCGTAGATCTGGAACTACGTCCGAAACAATTTGCTATCAGGATCACAGAAACGTGAGGAGGTATGGAAATTGTATTTTGCTCCTTATATCAATGGCAACACCTCCCATCCCTTCTGTGATCCTAATACAAAATATTCACAAGCTGGAATTCGCACAGTCAACAATAAGGCTCTCATCGTAGATCTGAAACTAAGTCCGAAACAATTTGCTATCAGGATCACAGAATCGCGAGGAGGTATGGAAATTGTATTATGCTCCTTATATCAATGGCAACACCTCTCATCCCTTCTGCGATCCTAATACAAAATATTCACAAGCTGAAATTCGCAATGCCAGCAATAAGGCTCTCATCGTAGATCTGAAACTACGTCCGAAACAATTTGCTATCAGGATCATAGAAACGTGAGGAGGTATGGAAATTGTTTTCTGCTCCTTATATCAATGGCAACATCTCTCGTCGTTTCTGCGATCCTGATACAAAATCTTCACAAGCTACAATTCGCACACCTAGCCATCAGATTTTCATCGTAGAAGCTTCGAAACTGTAACAGAAGCAATTTGCTATCAGGATCACAGAATCGCGAGGAGGTATGGAAATTGTATTCTGCTCCTTATATAAATGACAACACCTCTCTTCGTTTCTGCGATCCTGATACAAAATCTTCGCAAACTGAAATACCCACGCCCACTATCAGACTTTTGAAAATTTGAAAGTGTATCATAAGCAATTTACTATCAGGATCTTAGAAACGCAAGGAGGTATGGAAATTGTATTCTGCTCCTTATATCAATGGCAACACCTCTCGTCGTTTCTGCGATCCTGATACAAAATCTTCACGAGCTAAAATTCGCACAGCCAGCAATAAGGCTCTCATCGTAGATCTGAAACTAAGTCCGAAACAATTTGCTATCAGGATCACAGAATCGCGAGATATGGAAATTGTACTATGCTGCATATACCAATGGCAACACCCCTCGTCGTGTCTGCGACATTCTCACATTTAGCCATCAGTCTGTCATCGTAGAAGCCTCGAAACTGTATGAGATGCAATTTGCTATCAGAATCGCGAGGAGGTATGAAATTTGTATTCTGCTCCTTATATCAATGGCAACACTTCTCATCCCTTCTGTGATCCTAATGCAAAATATTCACAAGCTGAAATTCGCACAGCCAGCAATAAGGCTCTCATCGTAGATTTGCAACTACGTCCGAAACAATTTGCTATCAGGATCACAGAATCGCGAGGAGATATGGAAATTGTATTCTGCTCCTTATATCAATGGCAACACCTCTCATGCCCCCTGCGATCCTAATACAAAATATTCACAAGCTGGAATTCGCACAGTCAACAATAAGGCTCTCATCGTAGATCAGAAACTACGTCCGAAACAATTTGCTATCAGGATCACAGAAATCTGAGGAGGTATGGAAATTGTATTCTACTCCTTATATTAATGGCAACACCTCTCGTCGTTTCTGTGATCCTAATACAAAATATTCACAAGCTGGAATTCGCACAGTCAACAATAAGGCTCTCATCGTAGATCTGAAACTAAGTCCGAAACAATTTGCTATCAGGATCACAGAATCGCGAGGAGATATGGAAATTGTATTCTGCTCCTTATATCAATGGCAACACCTCTCATGCCTTCTGCGATCCTAATACAAAATATTCACAAGCTGAAATTCGCACAGCCAGAAATAAATCTCTCATCGTAGATCTGAAACTACGTCCGAAGCAATTTACTATCAGGATCACAGAAACGTGAGGAGGTATGGAAATTGTATTCTGCTCCTTATATCAATGGCAACACCTCTCTTCGTTTCTGCGATCCTGATACAAAATCTTCACAAGCTGTAATACCCACAACCCGCTATCAGACTTTTGAAAATTTGAAAGTGTATGATAAGCAATTTACTATCAGGATCTTAGAAACGCAAGGAGGTATGGAAATTGTATTCTGCTCCTTATATCAATGGCAACACCTCTCATCCCTTCTGCGATCCTAATACAAAATATTCATGAGCTGAAATTCGCACAGCCAGCAATAAGGCTCTCAGCATAGATCTGAAACTACGTCCGAAACAATTTGCTATCAGGATCACAGAAACGTGAGGAGGTATGGAAATTGTATTCTGCTCCTTATATCAATGGCAACACCTCTCGTCGTTTCTGCGATCCTGATACAAAATCTTCACGAGCTACAATTCGCACAGCTAGCCATCAGATTTTCATCGTAGAAGCATCGAAACTGTATGAGAAGCAATTTGGTATCAGGATCACAGAATCGCGAGGAGATATGGAAATTGTATTCTGCTCCTTATATCAATGGCAACACCTCTCATGCCTTCTGCGATCCTAATACAAAATATTCACAAGCTGAAATTCGCACAGCCAGCAATAAGGCTCTCATCGTAGATCTGAAACTACGTCCGAAGCAATTTACTATCAGGATCACAGAAACGTGAGGAGGTATGGAAATTGTATTCTGCTCCTTATATCAATGGCAACACCTCTCTTCGTTTCTGCGATCCTGATACAAAATCTTCGCAAGCTGGAATTCGCACAGTCAACAATAAGGCTCTCATCGTAGATCTGAAACTAAGTCCGAAACAATTTGCTATCAGGATCACAGAATCGCGAGGAGATATGGAAATTGTATTCTGCTCCTTATATCAATGGCAACACCTCTCAAGCCTTCTGCGATCCTAATACAAAATATTCACAAGCTGAAATTCGCACAGCCAGAAATAAATCTCTCATCGTAGATCTGAAACTACGTCCGAAGCAATTTACTATCAGGATCACAGAAACGTGAGGAGGTATGGAAATTGTATTCTGCTCCTTATATCAATGGCAACACCTCTATTCGTTTCTGCGATCCTGATACAAAATCTTCGCAAGCTGTAATAGCCACAACCCGCTATCAGACTTTTGAAAATTTGAAAGTGTATGATAAGCAATTTACTATCAGGATCTTAGAAACGCAAGGAGGTATGGAAATTGTATTCTGCTCCTTATATCAATGGCAACACCTCTCGTCGTTTCTGCGATCCTGATACAAAATCTTTACAAGCTGAAATTCGCACAGCCAGCTATCAGACTTTTGAAGATTTGAAACTGTATCATAAGCAATTTACTATCAGGATCTTAGAAACTCTAGGAGGTATAGAAATCGTATTCTCTTCCCGATATCAATTTTAAGACCTATCTACAGCAATAAGACTTTCATCGTAGGTCGAATGTGTCAGAAGAAATTTGCTATCAGGATCACAGAAGCGCGAGGAGATATGGAAACTGTACGCTGATCCTAGCACCGACAACACTTATCGCCGTTTCTGCTATCCTACTACAAAATCTTCAAACTCCCATATAAATGACCACGCATCTTGCCGTTTGTTAATGGTCATTTTACCCCCAAGGCTCGTCAGGTTAAAAAAAAACAAATTGAATATTGCAATAGTTTTTATTTATACACCTAATAATAACTAATATCCTGTGTTACAGAAGCAAATATAATAAAATGCACTAACATATATGCATAATAAAAATATATATTTCAAAACAATACCATTACACTGTAATCTCGGTGCTTGTATCTTATATACAAGAGAAAATCTTCGCAAATAACATTATGTAGTATAGGTTGTGCGACCACTTCAATAAAATTCCAGAATTACTTTAATATCGCATGTACACACAGATACTACTGATAAGCAGGGTTGTCGAAAGTTTCAGAGAGTTGTCTGCAATCAGCATAACGTTTTCGACGTAACTGTCGTATCTTAAGATTACAGCATCTTTTGGTGGCACATGCCTACAACATGCAATCTAACGGATTTCTACGACGTAGACATCGAATATTTTACCGTTTCTGCAATCTTATCATATGGATCCTTTGTGAATGTAGTCGAAATGCTATTTATTACAGACAACGAGTTTTCGACTTGATATGGCTATAATGCTATTGTTAAAAATACTTATAAATATATAATACATCTTCACATTATGTTATTACCAATCTCAAATGGAACTATTCACAATATCTCTGGCTACTGGACCATTTTGCACATTTATTGTCTCATATAATCTATGATTTTTCAACATCAATAGAAAAATACACAACTCCCTTATTAGAATTTTTTAGATAGAGGGAATTTTCTGTGTAACGATAGGCTATGACGTCTTGTATTTTGCTAGATTAAATGCTATACTAATCAGGAAGAAAGATATCAAATGTATTGATAGGATTTTTGCCCTCTTGTTCCAATTCTATGTATTGGTCACGATCAATTCATAATAATTCTCAGCAACATCTATCCAACAAAGAAACATTCTTAGTTATATAAATAATGATGCCATAAGAAATCAAATATACGGGGTTTCCTTAAAGTTGGGAATTTTCCTTACATGACGTATAGTTATAAGTAAATTTTATTAATAGTACAAACAGGTGTAACAAAAAAACGAACATTACACACTTCTACTGCAATAACGAACGCTGAGTGTTAACTTACGGTGTTTCTAAGATGTTGGGGTTTATCAAGTTTATTTTAATCACATTCAGGGTTTATTCAATGCTGCGTAGCTTGGTAATTTTAGTTAGTTCAACAACTAAGAACAGGTCCTTTGCACGAACATCTAGGTGGGCAAAGCCTAGAATAGTGCTGCCAGTTCTACCGTATTTGCGGTGATGCCAGATCTATCGTGTTTCCGTAAACATACTGTTTTAAGTCTTTGGTTTCAGTTTTGGCTTTACAACGATTAACATCTACCGATTTTTTACTGATAAGGCTCTGGTCATATCCGCCCCACTAGATACTCAGGCCAACCATTTCCTTCAATAGATTAGAACAAATTGCTGTATTTTGGGAGTTGCAAGAACGTCCCCAGCTCTGCATTTGTCAACAATGGCATTCGATCAGTAACAAGATTCATCTTAGTAAGCCGCTTTTTTAGTTTTCGCGTCACCGTTTTCAGCATTTTTTATCTGGCAGCAATGGGCTAGATAACCTCGAATTTTACAAATACCGAGCATGCTTGTGTTTCTTCTTAATCGAATGGTGACAACTGCTAACTTTTTCAGAAGCATTATACCGAGAAATCCATATACCACTGACGTCGTAATGTGTATGAAAGAGAAACGCGAGCAGCTTTCAATACGTATGTTAGAAAGAGATAGAGGTTCAAGTTGCCTAGCAACCCGAGTGGCGAGACCACGGTCGCAGCTGCGGCTTGCCGCGTTGCCATCGGCGCACTCTTTCTAACATTCGTATTGCATGCTTTATCGCACTTCTGTCTTGTACACATTACCTCCTCAGTGATATTTGGATTTCCTGTAGACAGAGCAGTATTTTAAATTTCTTATAAAACGAAAGGCGAGTACTTTCTTCAAAATTATTTGCTGCTGTTTCATCGCACATTAACTTTTGTCATTTCAAGTGAAGTTATTCCTGAAAAGTAATGTCCCAACTTTCAGAACACCCGCTATTTATTCATATGTTGAACTTGAAAGTATGCGATTTATCCAACGCCGTATATAGATGATTAGTTCTCGACTTCAGAGGCCTCTGACATCTTTTAAAAAATAACCGAAGGTTCAAGGATTCTTTATATTTTTTTTCTGTATATTTTTGCCATAAATACTTCGAATATCGTCTTCCAAACTTCACCTATCACAAACTCAGATACCCTGTACAGAAAAGGCAATCATTTTGTTCTACCTGTGATGTTTCACTGTTGGATAGATAGATACGGGTACATTCACATTTCTAATCGATTAAGACTTTCCTATAAAAAACCAACAGTAAAAAAGACAAGAATCATTTACCTAACGGATAATTAACTTTAGTTTATCACCATCATCACATAAGGGTAGAGATATGTACAATTTTTGAAGTTATACTATATCTATTATTGTACCCATGATTGTTATACTCGAAAATATATATACATACAAGAAGTAATGGCATAGACATGCATTCACACGTAAAAAGTGGACGATAGTTATTCAGTAGTTTCAATGGAAGAGCAGTGACTGTCCCATCTGGTTCGGCGCAGAATTTACTTGCGACATCGCTGGAATCGGTGCCATCATAGCGTGAGTCCCTGGCACCCCTACTGGACGTATGCCCTGTTAAGATAGCGAGATAAATAAGTGATTTTATGGACATTATTTGCATGAATCGTATGGGTAGAGGAGTTTAAGGTATGTATTCATATCTCTACCCGAATGCCACACTTGAGTGTGACATATTGGACCATTATTCCGGTGCAATCAACTTGACAGACTCCAATAAATTGAAAACTGTTTCATGCATGCGTTTAGAGCTCGTACAATTTGACCCTTAGAACCGGTTCCTCAATCGCAGGTTAACTCTGAATTTAAGAAACTATAACTTGAAAGTTAACCCTCAGTTTCTCGTAGATTTGCTATTGAAGTTCTAGTTAACTAACCCATCACTGTTCTCTTTGACAACTCATGTCACTATCAAGAAAAATAGGCCCGACTACACCTTTTTAGTTACACCATAGATGGACCCCTGGTAAAAGTTAACTGCAGTTCTATTCCAAACAACGAACAATGCTTTATGAGATCTAACGTTTAGTTAACAGTACTCACAATTAACCCACGATTGAATAACCAAGCCTTGCTTATTGAGGAGTTGTTTGCTGGGAGCATTTACTGGCATATCAAATGTACGTTTTCCTGTAAATATGAAGTTAGTTGTCGAACATAGTTATCACTTGTAACCGACACCTTATTTTTGAAGATTTCACATTAATATACAGCTGCTGTACAAAACCATGATTTGCTTGAAATGCAGAGAGTTGTTGAAAAAGTGATCTGTATTACCCTCTGGCTAAACCATTAACACAAAGTGTCTCTAATTTGTTGTAAAAACAGTTGTACTGTAATAATCAAACCATAGGGTTACAAAAAGTGTTGCCACAAGAATGTTGGCAAGAGTTGTGATGTGTCAGAAACTAGAGTAGTTAGTGCGAGATTGCACCTTATGCAATTTGTTGTGCGAGAAGTTGCTTACTATCCTGGCCACTGGCCGGATCTATCAGTCATCAGTTGGGCAAAGTACGAGAAATATACTTTCAATTTGTGTTAATACACGGAGCAGTGTTAAAACAGTTATAGTGTGAAAACAGAAGTGGTGCAGAAGATGTACAAACAATATATACAAATTTTACGATGGATGAATCAACAGGCTTTTAGAATATTTTAGGATTAGAAGTGCTCTGAAAAAAAAGGATTGGTTACTAGAGCTTTTTGGAGATCGATTCACATTGAAATAGATCAGTTAACCCCTACAGATGACTAAAAAATATCAATTTTGTTCTTCAAGGGCGTTAAGTTATTTCTTCCAAGATAGTGACTATGGGAAACAATGAGAATATTTGTTCAATGACGTCACTGTTACTGTCCATACAATAGGAAATTTGATTTATTGAAGATAATGACTTCAATAAAACATGTTTTGATCGTTTAAAATGTAGGAAAAGTCAACTGACAGACTAGCAAAAGTGAGTAAAGTTACTTGTCCGTCTGCCGCAGGTTGTAAGATCTACACAAGTTTAATGTATTTACTGGCTTCATACCTTATCTAATATAAATACCCTTTTGACTACCCGTTTGGCGAAAGATGATGAGGTTTGGAAAAATCTGTGATATCTAAGACCAATGGATCCTTGGGCATTTTAAGATGCTGTTTCCGAAAATACATGGTAATATTTTTAGTTTGTCTCAAAATTGTCTGAATTCAATGATGGTTGTTTCGAGTGAAACTTTTAATGGAACGAAAGAATGAATACTGCAATGTTAATCAGATTGTAATGTAGATCTGACAACGTACTTTAGACTGATACTCTTATCTTGATAGCTCACATAACGTCACTTCTAGTGTCAATCTGTCAGTTGAAGTTTCTAAGTTTTCCTCCTGCATAGTTACATTCAGCTTACAACAGATGGCGCAAGAAACGCTATTCCCGCGCTTCTGACTTCGTTGAATATGATAAGAGACTTCCCCAACTTTGTTTTGTTGTTGTAAGATAAGTACATACTGAGATTTAAGGGCTGATTTTGGTGTATGGTATTGTTATGGACCTACTTTAATCCTATGAATAAATATGGGCTAGTTCAGTATCCAATGAATTCACAACAAACTGCATAGTGCGTATACCGAACCAGGTAGGCATGCTTACCATCATGGGTGGGTAGATTTGTGCAGGAGTGGGAGTGACAGTCATGCTGCTGAATGGTGATGACTGCATGGACTGATTCATGGGTTTGTAGCCGATGTTGGTCGTGTCCGAGATGGGCTGGGGGCTCCAGCTACTACCCGTTTTCGATCCGTTCTTCGGAGAGTTCCATTGCACGCCCCTACGGTGCAGAAATCATTTGCTATTTGTGCTGTGCCACCCCCATAAAATGTTATTATACAAACGTGGTGGGGCAAATAAATTCCGGGAATTTAGTGATATCTCGGGAACTAGAAACACTGTTGGGGCCGATAACACATCATGTTGTATGCGATTTTTTTCGCATTTTCTAGTGGCGCCATGAAAAGGAATGACTCGCTTTCCAACGCTGCCGCACACACCCTACAGCCCAGATAGTTTTGATTCCACAAGATGAAATTTCATCTCAAAGGAAATCATCATGGTGTGAAGGTAAAAGAAGTTGCAAGCATGATGAACAGCAGGTTATCTTCATTAAGGATGCTTCCAATAGTGAGTGTAATGTTAGACTCATTAAAATAAAACTATTGTAAAGATGGATGATAGAACTTTTCCCGGAACTTATTCGGTTGTCTGACGGATTCCCGTAATTTAATTGTTACACCACGTATTTTAGAATAACGTGAATTGATAGAGGTATCATAGATGTGGCAAATTCAATTCCCGACTTATGGCAGTTACTAACCAGTAGCTTTGTTGCATTTTTGGAGAAAAGATAATTATCGCAACATACCCTATACATATAATACAGAGAGATGAGAGTCACTTATAGTACAAAAGCAAATTGTATGTACAATAATTTGTGCTTTTTAGACCACATGAGAAATTGTTACTAATGATATTAACATGCTTGAAGTGCGATAATGTGGTAAATTTTATTTCATTATACAATAACATTATACAATCGCGCTTATCGTCAACTATAGAGCCGTCATACAGATGATGTTCTCAGTGCTTTGCATCCATCGTCATAAAACTCGTACTGAGGAATCTCAACAGTATTAGATTATTGCTGAACTTAATCTGTTGTAATAATGACCAACCGAAGACAACGTTGTCTCACGCTATTATCAATCATCAGTATGGTATATGTCTAGTCGCTGGCCCAAATGGAAAGCAAACAAGCGGCTATGGTTAACTGAAAAACTCCGTATGTTGTGCGCAAAGAGGTGAAACCAGTGACAAATATCTCCAACGATTAGACCTATACCGTAAATGATTGCCAATAAGCAATAAACAACGTTGTATGCGGTTAGTCAGCAAGCCGATTCAGTTCGGCCTGTGTACTACTTTTGCAATTTGCATAGCACGCTTTTGCTGGTAGCCTTGAGAAATACCTAGTCTTTCGGCTGATTAACCTCAATGATGGTTGGCATCATTTGTCCGTTCATAGAGCGGTAACTGTCTTTCAGTGTAGTCCGGAGGCGCAAAGCAAAGGCTTTTTGCCATTTTCGGCGTTCGGACCGCTTTAGCGGACCATTTGCAGATGACGTTTTTCAGTGTTGTCACATCTTTGAGTATTATATAATCTTAAATATGGTACATGGTTCTACCCCTACTGATATTCTGCAATACATCGATTTGATGACATGCGAAGGTATTATGGAATTTTATACCAGGCTAGAACTGCGACTTATTGCCATACTTGTCGTCGCTTCATCACGTGACAGCAGACTTTAGTCATTTATACTAGCAACCCTTACATACGGCGGTAGGAAACTACAGTTTCTAGCCATTCCTGAATGGCAGTGTTTGATTCCATGAAGCCTAACAAAGATATCCACCGCATAGGCGTCCCAATGTCACTCAGGGAAGTACTAAGTTCTCACCATCAGCACTGACGTGCTATGCAAAAGTTGCAAAAACTAAACACAGGCTGAATAGGATGTTTGCCTTCCGCCTCCCCGACCATAACCGGCCCTATACAACGTTGTTGTCTAGTTATTCGGAGACAGGTGACTGAAAACAATCACTATTGAAAAACTGATGTAATGTTCGAAATATAAAATATAGGGTTCTCCAAATGACTAAACCTATACCGTACCGATGATTGCTAAAAAGCATGAAACAACGTTGTATACAGTTGGTCATGATCGCAGGGACGAAAAGTAACAAGATCGTGTTCAGCCTCTTAAAAACATTCCAGAAAACTACCAAATGATTGGACTAGATTTATACTAAATCGAAATCCGAAAACATTCCAGAAAACTACCAAATGATTGGACTAGATTTATACTAAATCGAAATCCGAAATAAAACATTTTCGCAGATGATGAGGTGAAGCTTACTTGACAGAAGCCGTCCGACTGTTGATAGTGAGGTTCTCTGCGAGTGATGCAAGGCTGGACTCGAGGTCGCCGGTAAGCAGCCCCTGGGCAGAGGTCGGATTGGGAGAGACGTTATTGTTGGAGGCGCTGGAGATAGTGGTAATAGGACCGCCACCGCCGGCATTCATTGGTTGCAAAACGCCGCCCAACGCATCCAAGTTGCTCGCTATAAAGAACAAGCATTTAAATAAACAAGGTGTCTCATAAGTGCCCTTAAATATTTAACTACGTGATTTTTGGATCCATTTTCGGAAAAAAAAAACTTGATATTGAATACATGTCCTATATTAGAGAAGACTAAGGATCTCCAAAATCAATTAATAAAATTAATGCGCAATTTAGGAAACACGTTTTAATCAGAAATTAAGTACCAGATGGGTAGATTTTATTTTTTAAAGATTACGTAATCTAGATGCTCCCATTTCATCTCAGTTAACTCATTGAACCTGTCCATCGCATTTTGCATAGTTCTTGAGTATACCCCACAGGAAGAGCTAGTGGGTGTCAAATCTGAGGATCGCGTTGGCCATCTAATATCACTAAAGCAAATAATCGGGCCATGTTCTTTCAAAATACGAGAGCCGTAACGTTAAGCAATGGATTTCGCCAAATTTATTTTATACCCTAGCTAAGACAGCATTCATTAAATGTTTCTATTCAGCAAGTTACACTGTTTCAAAAATGTTTAAGCACAGTCTATAATAAAAAAAGGAAATAGAGTTGATCTATGTTAAGTCACAATACTTTGTATAGTAGATAGACATACATCAAGAGTTGTAAATTATTGAGTAATCTATACAGGACATCGCGCTATTTTTCTATGCAAGTTACAGAATCGTTTGACTATACTACATGATTAGAGCGAAACAATAACAATGCATGCAAAACTAAAAAAAGGTGCGGCAAGAGGCAAACTTGAATATATAATATTTATCACAAACCACAATGACAATAAAATATATAAAAACCAATCACCTGGCGTATCATATTTATCATCTAGAGATATGCAGTCCACAAGTGAATCTGGACTGTAGCTTATTGCTTTTAATGAAGACATTGTGTACACAATACGGGTAAGATTATTGTCTATAGGAAAGGGACGAAACACTGCGAAAATATAATCAGTAGCAAAAAAAGGCAACGTAAAAATCTTGCCAGAAATATTTTTGCTTAAATAGGAAACAAGACTTAATGATTAAATTAAACTTATTGGTTTATTATATACTAAATGTAAATCAATTTTTATTGCAGTTTTTGCTTTGATAAAAGTAATCCCATAACTTTTTCGCTTTCATCCTATTGCCGATACACTTATTTATGTAACATACAATTTTGGAGGAAACTGGTTATTTTTCGTTTTAAAATTGTTATCCGAAAACAAAACTACGCTCTGACGAGGCAAAAAGACGACAGCGTGGCACGCTTTCAATCTTTCTTTCGTGAGTTCGGGAATTAAACGTGAATCGGCGAGGGTCGTGAACAGTTCACATGATCACGATTTGGTTTACTCCGTGAAGCCGACCATGGAGGAGCTTCTGATTGACAGCGGTGCTCTTTAGAGTTCGCATTTTAGCGGTATGGTTCCACTGAACAGCTACAAAATAAAATAAAAAAACTTAGTTGGTTAGGGAAATGGATGCATGAAAAACTGGATGAACACAATTTGGCCGACGCTGAACCAATAAATAAACACTATGAAGTCATAAAAAAATCGGTACAAATATCTGAAGTTAAGTCTGATCTCCTCCTGGAACACGATTTCCGCTCATTTCAAAGGCCGATTAGATACACACTGAAAATCAACTTGCTTCTCTCCCGATGAGGTAAACTCCCGGCATCGAAACCTCGTTCAGATGCATCTATTCCACTAACCCGAGATCATGCTAGCATGCCTCGCTCATTAAGAACGCAGCGAAAGTCAAATACTGCAATACCTATCACGGATTGATTGATGTTATAGATTATCCTGTAGGTATTATTTACCAAAATCACAACTTTTTATCTACACCCATAAATCCATGGTTTAAATCCAATTTATGTAGCAATTAAGTTCCAGGAATTTAGTGGTATTTCGAGATGCTAGCAGCATTATGTCATTTATAAACATCTATCAAGAGATGAGAGACCTTCCTTCCACTTTCAGTCCAAATATCAAGTCTATAGCATTTTTAAATATGGTTTGTGCCTCTTTATTGAAAGTAACTTTTATAGTGGTCCGTGAAAAGGAGTGGACTCATATTACTAGCGAAGTGCAGTGTTGTGATGCAACTATTTTTGATGAAAGGCGACAAAAAAATCTTTCAAATATCCTACAACAGTTGCAAGTGGTGTTAGGTTAGGTTTTTGTGAAATGGTCAATCACGATCTTCCACGGAAACTCACTGGACTATTGTGGCTCACACCTATTTATATTTCTGTCAGTAATTCCGACCTCTTACTATTGTACCTGACTCTGGCAATTGCATGCTTAACTGTCTCGTCTCTCTCCAAGCACAGTCTATAATCAGCGACGCAATTTGCAATGAGCATCAGTGCACAGTCCCACAAAAGATTTAAGGCTATTCCAGTTTAGCCGCGGCAGTGAGTCTGTTATTCCTTTTTGTTAAGACTGGTATAGTTGCCTTAGCATAGGTAAACCCTGTTAATCCCTTCCAGTGTTGATGGATCTTTCCTTCCATCTCTACAAAGGTTAGCCGTAAGGCCCAACGAAGGGTGTGCTAGTCCTACTCTTTGCCAGAGTGTCGGCTGTTCCGTTTCCCTTTAGACCTGTAAGTCCTGGTATCCATTTAAATGTTTCCAACACCAATGCTACCAAGAGCTTCTTTACAACTCGACACTAATTTCGTTGTCGAGTAGGTGGAGTCAAGTGCTTTAAGCGCGGCTTAACTACTTGAAAAAATATTCATAGTGCTGTGCATCAATTATCGTTTTGTAATCACACTGGCACACAGTTTTATGGCATATACAGCTTGGAAAATCAATGCCCAGGTTCCTAGGCTGACTTATTCCTCAATATTTAGCTTTAGCACGCAGATACCAGTCCCAACACCTACTTCGGTCTTGGAGCCATCCGTGTATGCACATATCTTTGATATGTTTGAATATGCGAGTCATTGATACTGCGTAAATAACTTACTGCAACATTGTTTTGTTATCCCTCTCTGGATGAAATAACAGAATACAGGTTGCAAATAATTCAAAATACATGCTCTCGCTATATAAACAATTTAAGAAGGTACGATCACGTTTCTCAGTGGCTTCCATGAATTGGCTAAAAATATCCGATAAGTTCAAAACAACTTTGTCGCATTTGTCATCAGAATAATAAAAACCGCAGTTCACCGGGTTTTATGCAAAAGCTTGTTTATAGGAATTTGATTCACAATTTGAATACGCGTAATAACCATCTCCTCACGATGCCGCAATATAGGGCATATATTTACTTCAACGCTCTTTCACGTATAATGCAGCGAAATTAAACAATTCATTTGGCGAAAACTTTATTAGAAACTGTACCAAAAAAATCTTTATAATTGTTTATTAAATGCTCATTTTTTTCTTTCCTGTTTTAATTATACATATGTTCGTTTTATGTCTCTTCCAGATTTGTCGGATGATACCTAGGCCATCTAGGCCCAATGCTTTTGGATAACATTTTGTCTATTATTTTTCTTTAGGCTAAGGTATCAGCTTTATGACATGGTTAATTATTAATGGCCATTGGCCTGACATGTATTTGTTACAGCGAATCGATCGAATTGAATTGAAATCACTGCGTCGAGCTAAAGGAAACTATTTTAAAGACCAATGTTACAATATCATCTCAAACTTATTTGTTGATTTTTATTCATAAATTCCGGAACTTATTGCCACTCAACATAACGTGTTATTATGGGGTCTATATCGTCTGAACAATACAACAAATACAGTAATTGCAAGATTACGAATCCAACTTAAATCTTACGTATTGCATTTATTTGCTACCGATTGTACATAAGTGAAATCATACACCTTCCGTTTCGTCAATACTATGCTTTTGGAAAAAGTCAATGACTTTGTGTATGGGAGTGTCTGTCTTCGTAGGAGAGGCCAGATCCAACAAAGGTGGGGTGGGATCTTCGACAAGGAATGGATTGGATTGGGGATTGGTCATCTCTTCGGCTGCTTGCGGAAGAAAACAAAGAGCGCCATTAGTTACATTTTCTTACAAAGGGTGTTCCAGAAAGTCAAAGTTCCTATAAAAAAGTACTACTTATATTCCCCACGGAGATACAAGCCCCGAAGGCAATATTTTACTAATGACCTCTAGGAAACAAATTTTGTGCCCAGGGCGCTTTTGAAGTAATGGATCTAATGAATATAGTCGATTTCTTGTAAAATATCTCGCAAGATAGACAAAAACTATTTGATTTGTGTAAGTTAAGTCCATAAATCCCATATTAAATCAAGAAATATATAAAAAATCATATTGTTCCCTAGTGCAAAATTTACGACTAGAAGACTCTGCAATATTGCCATAGGGCTAGCCCGCCTCTGGCAATCTCAGTTAGAAGTAGCGTCCTTTCGGAGTTTGTATCTTCACAGAGGACCTCTGCAAGAAATTTTTTATAGGAATCTATGACATTATCTTTTTGTGCTCTATTCATATCCAAGCAAAAAAGTATCAAAATTATTTGACTTCAAGTTCCGTACTTAAAAGAATTACCCGGTACCTCGTCAAAAATACTGAATAGCTTTCAATTATTTTATTCCACTGAATCAAAATCACTCCTATTACACTTGGATGCTTTCGAATATTGCCAAAAGAAAATAGGAATATGAAACATCAGGTTATAATTACTAATCTATGATTTTATTTTCATACTCATCAATAAATATAAATGGATTAACATTGATAAGGTACCAAACTGCATTCTATGTACGTAAAATTAAAGATATTTTTCATAAATCAGTTACGACAAGACAAGCTCAGAGGAAACATTATCATAGTGTGCCATCATAGAGTTACTTGTGCAATCTAGCATGCCTAAAGATTGGAGTTAAAAAAAGCAATGATATCAATGTGACACTTAACATGATACAATGACGAAACATTGGATACCTTCAGTTGCACCTAGCTGATACGAGCTAGCACTGAGTCAAGCATGGCTTAGCACAGTCTGCTATTATCTAAAAGGACCTTGAGACTGATTGACACGTATGTGAAAGAGGTTCTGCTGACCTGTGCTAAATGTCAGCAAATTGAATCGATAGAAAGCAATATCTAACAACTGAGCTAAGACACACTTCACGCAGCGGTAGTTCGTAGAACTTAGGTGCAACTGAACGTAACCATTAAAGCACTGTTCCATACCTTGTGCGTCTGGATTTCCAAAAACTGTAGCGAAGTTGTTTTCTGATACAAACGAACCGTTGGTTATCACAGGATGAGAGGCTATCGGTGTGTTTCCAAAACCTGCAAAAAATATTTATCAGAGCGTCTAACCACTTCCCTAGAAAATTATTGCAACCCAAAACATGACCGATACGGGTATACAGTAACGCACAAAAGTTTGGAAACATTCTTAGTAATTGTTAAAAAGTGCGCCAATTTTTTATTCTTTAATATCAAGGACTATTTTTTCTCTCATATAGTTTGCCTACAGTCTTGAGGATAGAAATGACAATTTGTGTTTGCTGTGATACTACAGACTAACTAGCATTAAAATACCTTCATATTATTTTATGACAAAAAATGAGATGACAAAAGTATGGAATAGTTATTTATTATACAAGGGAAAAAAGTATTAGATTTCGGCTTGAGGTTGCATTGTCACAGAAAAAAACATATTTTTTCTGTGACGGGAAAAAGTTTGACATTTTATCTCTGTTGACAGGTAACAAAATGTCACTTTTTATGAAATTACTTTTTTCTCCGGGAAAAAAATGAGTATTTTTTTCCCGGATATTGAATACGCGGTTTCGTAAATTTTCAGCTATTTAGCTGCCAATAATTTTTGTGACGCTCCTTTGGCTACTTCTACTAATTCCGGCGGAGGCAAAGAAAACTCGGATTCAGACATATTTTACTTAGTACTTAAAATAACTTCTAAACAACCACTAAGTTCACAATTTTTAAATCAAATCACAAAATTAAATTGATAGCTATTTGATTACTTTAAAAGTTTCCTTAGCAATGCAGGTCTAATTGTCGTTATAAGTACATATCCTACTAATTTCACAATTCAAATTTCACATCGATAATTTTCTGATTTAAATATTGTAATAATATAATTTTTCAATATTAAATCGTCGTTTTTCCCGTCACAGAAGAAAATTATGTATTAGAAACCGGAAAGAGGTTTGGTTTTTCTAAAATCTAGTACTCTTTTCCCTTGAATAATAAATAACTATTTTTATTACAAAATTAAGTACAATAACTCTCCGGAAAGATTTAAACAATTCTGTTTAGCTAATATTTGGTAGCATAGCCTTTAGCATCCAACACTGCCTGATATCTGCTGCTCACAGAAGACACCAATCTTTTACAGACGTCTGTTATGCCAAATATTTTTTACATAATCAAATAAATCGTTCCTATTTTTAATGTCTTGTCAGTGTCTTTTAACATGCTCCCAGATATGTTCTATAAGGTTTAGGTCCGGGGATTGCGAAGGCCATGTAAGAACATTAACATTTTTTAGTCATAACCAGTCCTTTACGAATTTTGAGGGATGCTTCGGGTCATTATCTTGCTGGAATGTCCATCGTAAAGGCATTTTTTCTTCAGTAAAAGGGAGCATTTGTTCACCAAGAATATCTTTGTGATGTTTTTGATCCATTTTCCTAACAATCTTAACAATTGGACCCGTTCCAGAACTATGGGGTTGTCCAAAACGGACGCAGGAAAGTAAACGCATATTAAAACAAAAAAGATTGATATTCAAATCAAGTTGGGTACTTTATTTTGAAGGTTCATTTATACCATTTATGAATGAAAAATAATATCGCTCAAATGTTCACCACGACTGGATTTACAGACGTCCACGCGATGGTCGAAATTTTCAATGACATTTTGCAACATGGTCGGTTCTATGGCATTTATCTCGCCAATGATGTTGTTTTTGAGTTCTTGGAGGGTGGCTGGTTTGTTGACGTAGACTTTGCTTTAAAAATATCCCCATAAAAAGAAGTCCAAGGGAGTCAAATCGCACGATCTTGGTGGCCATGGCACATTTCCTCTGCGCGAAATCACGCCATCACCGAAGAAGGACTGCAATCGATGGATATTGACGTTGGTTGTATGGCATGTTGCACCGTATTGTTGGAAATAAACATCGTCCATATCCATTCCTTCAAGTTGCGGCAAAAAATAGTCCTCTATCATCACGTGATATCGCTCAGAATTGACGGTAACGGCGTCCCCGGCCGCATTTTCGAAAAAGTAAGGTCCGATGATGCCTTTTGACCACAATGCACACCACACAGTCACTTTTTGAGGATGCATCGGCTGCTCTTGATACTCACGGGGATTTTCGTTCGCCCAGATGCGGCAGTTTTGCTTGTTTACCGTCCCATTCAAAGTGAAATGCGCTTCGTCGTGATTTTTGATGAAAAAATGGCATCAATTTGGCGGTGTTCAAGGAGCCAATCTGAGACGATCGGCGCGAAAAATGGTCGGCCCGACGCAGCTCTTGCGGCAATTGGATCTTGTAGGCGTGTACATTCAAATCCTTGTGGAGAATGCGGAGCAAACTGGTTCTCGAAATCCCCAATTCTTGGGATCGACGCGTTGTTGATTGTTTCGGATCGTCTCTCACACTCTCCTTCACAACAGCAATATTTTCCGGTGTGCGAACGCTCCTTGGCCGGCCACAGCCTGGCAGATTTGCCACAGAACCTGTTGCCTCGAATTTACGCACCAGACGACCGATGGTTGTTTCGTTTGGGCGGTTGTTGCGACCGAAATGTTCACGAAGCGCGCGAAACGTGTTTTTTATTTTTGCACCATTTTTGTAATGCTCTTGAATAACCTTAATGCGGTCTTCAATCGAATACTCCATAGCGATCAATGGTAAACATTCAACTAACAAAATGACATGTCGGTGACAGAAAACAAAGATGGCGTCTATGTCAAATTGACGTTTACTTTCCTGCGTCCCTATTGGACAACCCATTAGAAAAACTGCCCCAAACCATGATGTTGCCTCCAGCGTGCTTAAATGTTTGCAATGATACTTTTTGTCGAATCTTTTTCGTATTGGACGTCTCACATATTCCGTACCGTCAGATCCAAACAGGTTAAATTTGCTTTCATCGCTCCATAAAACTGTATTCCATTGTTGTTCTGTCCAAGTTAGATGAGTTTTAGCAAATTCAAGCCGAGCAATACGATTTTTTTTAACTGAGAGGCTTTTGCCTGGAAGCCCAAAATCCACCAAGCGCCTCTGCACTGTTCTGACAGAAAGATTCTTGGCATCCTCTTCTACGATTCTTTTGAAAATCTGTGTGGCTGGCATTCGAGGATCTTCATGGGACAAACGTTTAATGTAGCGATCCATATCATAATCGGTCTTTCCACACGTGGGCCGCATTGCTGTTGGTCCGTATTCTTGATATTTACTAATAATTTTTGAAATAGTCCCTTTGTTCATGTTTAATCTTTGAGAAATGTCAACATTTACTATTTAATTCAAATCTTGCGTGAATTCCGGTACACAATTTACAAAAATTGAACCGACGCTCTGTAAAAACCAATACAATAGCCAGAAACCGGATGTTGGCCTTACCTCAGAGTAAGCATTAACTTACCATTTCCATTTGTGATCCAGACGTTGTTCTGTTGGGCAGGTGGTGGCGTCATGAAAGGTGATGCATTGTTGGCCACGGTGTTCGTCAACGGCGGCTGCGTGAAAGCGTCCACGAACGGATTTGACAGTTGCAACAGGTCGTCGGACGCTTTGTGATTGGTTGTAATCGGATCGGCGACGAACAGATCCACTTGCGGATTGGACGCGGACGAAACGGTCGCCGAAGAGGAAGAGTTGCTCAGGAAGGGGTTGTTGGCTGTTGTAGGCGATTGGACCTTCGACTGGAAGAGGACGAATTTTCAAAAATATTGTAAACCATGGAAAATACGTGGCTAGACAGCTAAGTTGAGGGAATTTGTCAAGACAATAACAAACAAGTAAGATGATTCCGACGTTGCTACCACGACCGGAAGCACCTTTAATATTCATCAGGTGCTAGCTAACTCGTTCAGTACCACAGTTACAGTTTCTTTGACCTTCTCTACGCCAGCACGATGAATTATCTGTGGTGAGATGTCATCTTGGAGAATAAAAAATATCATATGGGGCATAATGAACGAGGAATGGAACATAATTCTCGGCAAATCATTTGAAATTCCTCTACATCTTCAATTTCTACTGAAGCATCTTTCCATCGGATTCGTTGATGTTCAACTCGTAAGACAATACACGAATGCTTAGGTGTCGGTTAGACGTGATCAGTTGGTGCAAAAGGGTCGGCGCGAGAAGTGACGTAAGCTCTTTCTCGTGGATCGGCATCTAAAGATTTACGTCCCTCCTTGAACCTCTCCGTCCATTCCAGCACATGCACTCTCTTCCGTACATTGCCTACAAGTTTCGGAGAGTATCTGAAGGTTTTTGACCAGATTTACAAAAAACAATTAAAAGGGCGCTATTGAAAACGTTAATTACTTTTGCGACTGCCTCGGTAAACAAATAATACGTAAACGTAACTTCCTAAGACGCTGGCATTTGTTTTTTTTAGTTTTAGATTATGTTCTTTCTAATTGTTCTGAAAATAACTCATTCATTGAAACCCCAAGATAGTGCACTATCGGAACGCAATGTTTCATGAATTACATGATAACTATGACAAGCTTCACATTTATTCAGTTTCTACACTTATTAGTCTTGTAAAGATGCGACATTCCGTCTTCGACTAATTACAATATTTAACAAGATGACGGTATAATTTTATTACCTTGAACTGGTTCATGGCGGCTTCCTCTTCAGCCAGTATCTGTAATTTCAGGTTTTCATCTATGCCATTAGACGTGTCGAATTTTCCATTCGCAACGACATTACCGAAAGCATTGCTTGTTGATGACAAAGCTGTCACTCCGGATTTCACATTCTTCTGGTTACTGCTGGAATAAAAAATGCATTGTGAACTTCTTTAGAGAAAAAGTTTTACTATAATGGATAAAGTTTAATATCTAATTTATTACACACGGTGTTGATAAATTAACTCAAAACTTCAATGACTGAGTTCTTACTAAATGCTTCGTTTTCAAGATACTTGATACTTTTTTTATTTCGTTTTTTAGCAATTTTTTAACGCTAGCGTATTAATTAGTACACTTCCAGCCTCGATAAGTCTACGCACCTATTAGACATATTTTAAACACCATAGTTTTCCTACTCTATGTATTCATCAGGCTCCCGTATGCGGATACGCTCATTGCTATAATCTGAGGATTTTCTTTTTCATGAAAAGCCCAAATAGGGAATTACTGGTTTAAAGAATACCTACATGTTTTTGACGTCATTGCACTACACGAAAAATTGTACTAGAAGTTGTTTCGAAGACGTGGGAAGTATATAGTCAATCTCGTTTGACGCCATTTTTTTCTATGATTTCAGATTTTTCGAAGATATGTCTGTATATGCCATATTTCATCAAACCCACGCTCGTTTTTCAAAGAGAGACCTTTGCATCTGCATGTTGCGGGCTCAAAATTGCGTCAACATTTTTTTTTTAAATTCCAAAAATTGATTTTTTGGTCATTCTGAACAAAAAAAGGCTCTTATGAACTTTTTTCCAAAGTTGATAGTTTTCGAGGTATAATTGATTTGATATGTCACCCCGAAAAACAATATGAAAAAAAAGAAAATTTTGAAATTCCTAAGTATTTTTCAAAGATCCATTACCAAACCTCAAACCATTTTAAGGTGGAGTGTTATTGTAAGCCTTTATTTTTTAATTGTTTGTTAATTGAGAATAAGTGTATACAATAACAATTGATGTTTGAAGAATGTTTACGTACTTAGTAGTACATTAAAAAAATCATTTTTTATCAATTTTTCATAATGTTCTTCATCAACATTAGTGTTTTGTATCCAAAATGACCCAAGAAATCCTCAGACCAAAAAAAAAATTTTGGAATCTGTTTAAAAAATGTATAAACAATTTTTGACACCATTTTGGGCATGGTAACATGCACATTCGTTGAAAGATCCTTTTTAAAAAAGGCTGAGCGAAAAAAACTGAATATTTTTCCGAGCGGATGTGAGTATAAGTACTTTCAGGGCAAACTATTGACCAGAGAAAGAGCGATGAATCTGAGTCTTCAGGTAATTTGGGGTCTGTGGCGCCAGTGTCATTCTTTAGTTTGTTTTGCTTGAGCCAATATAGGCAAAGGACAGCAAAACAGCCTTTGCTTCATAGATGGCGCTGGAGGTGTGTTGGCTTCTCGCTGTCGTAAAAACACACGTAACTTTTCACATATATTTTTAAAAATGTTTATTTCAATGTAGGGGTAAAAATCGGTTTTTCACAACAATGAATTTCTGATAGTCCCATTGCCAGTGAACCAGATCATTTCGGCTTGTAGCCAGGCAACATCATATCATCAACTGTTTGGATGACTGTATATGGCAGTCTGTGATAGTCAGAATTTCCTTGTTGCATAGAAATGTATGCATACCATTTAAGTATTTTAATTATATAATTTAAGTAATTCGTTACACAATATAATTATTGTATTCTTTTTGTGAATGATAATGATATGAGAACTGATGTTCTTGCGTTTCCCAGTAAACGCTACCCGACGGCCCAGATTCCTCGTTCATTTACGTGTTAGAACATATTTAATGAAACGTTAACGAAAGAAATTGCTATAACATCAGAGAGGATTTTAACCGGACAGGTAAAAGATGGACCGGGAATGGTATCAACATGGCATTTTCCGGTACCGAATGAAACGTATTTGAAATTCATACATTGAAAGAGAAAGGATTTAAATCATCTATGCTCTTCACAAGAGAAATCATGCAGAAGTAGGGTCACACTCCAAGGAGAGGGCGCGAAAAAACCGATTGCGTCATGAGAGAACTTATTGCATCACAACTTTGGCATCAAATGGTACGTTTTAAGTTTGGTGAGCAAGCTTTATCACTGCTCGTTTATTTAAAAAAATATTGTAGGCACCCAAATTATACTTTTTGGTTTAAGCATATTGATATTCGGTCGAAATAAAATTTTAGGGCAATATCCCATTCGAAATCGAGATGGGTTTTAAGTGTTTTTTTGATCTTATATATACACATATACCCAACACCGCAAGGTAAAAGGGTTAATGATTATATATATATATATATATACACATATAATTTTGAAACAAATGTACAACGGATGCTTTCATCCTTTAACTTACAATTTTTTAGAATTCAGTTCAAATGCTTCCTTATCGAGATATAATTTTGTTTATTCTCAGTGGGCGAAAACCACAATATTGTTGGAAAATTGCTTTTATTTAACAAAAAATGTAATACTGATCGTACGAAAACAACTGTATACAATAATTAAAGTCCAAATTCACGTTGTACTGCCTGATTAATACGCTGGTGTTTGTTTGTTTGTTGACGGATTAGTTGTGTCAGTTTGATTGAACTTTGCAAAAAGTATTTAAATAACACTTTTCCTGGGCGTTGGATTGGACGAGGGGGCGCAGTTTATTGGTCACCCCGCTCGCCCAATTTAAATCCTTTGTATTATTACTTGTGGGGACATACGAAGTCTTTAGTGTATGCAGAGAAATCGCATGCCAGGGCTGAACTGCTCCGTAAAATTACTGATGTCGCTGACGACATAAGAATTGATTGTCTTGTTATTGGGAAAGCCACCACTCACATTATTAAACCGCCTAGACTATGTTTACAGTGTGAAGGTGGACACTTTGAACAACTATTGTGAATAGTTATTTTTATTGTACCTAGTAATTTTGTGTTAAATAAAAGTAATTTTCCAACAATATTGTGGTTTTCCCACCATTAGCACCCTAAAAATAAAAAAATCATTATCTCGATAAGGAAGCATTGCTGAGCCATGTTCATCGTTTTTTTTTTTCACTCGAATTGATCTGAGGAACACGTAGAAAAAAGTTCTCCCTGTCGCGGGGGGGGGGGGGGGTATAATAGTGGAGCCTGATGGATAAATGATTTTAGCATGATGTCTTTCTTTGGGGTAAGTAAAGCAATCTGACATTTCTTGCTTATAGTATTTTGATTTTAATTCTTGTACAATATATACTTTTTATTTTTATGTTGATCTATAATAATACATTTATAATATTATATTTTTTGCATCTTAAGAATTTCTGTTTCAACAACAACAAAAGTTCAGATGGGTATAATATGGGTTTATTGTATATCACTTTCAGAATAGGTTTTTTGTGTTTTTTAAACAATTCTATTAGTGTTTTATTTGCAGAGTCCTAAATTGTTATTCCGTAAGTTAGGTGACATTCTACTAGTGCGTAATATTAATATAATATCTGTTTTTTTGGGAGAGAATACCTGAAATGGTGGAATTTATACAGTAAGAATATATTATTATATATCCCTTTTGAGGAACACTTGAATTTTGATCATCTATTTGATTGAAGTTGAGTGACTGATAATTTGGTATATGGAAATGTAAGGCAAAAGGAACATAGTGAGTTTTGGTATAGTTGATTATTAATAAGCGTTCAATAAGCTATTTTATTATACGGATTTATATAAATGCATGGGAAGCACTGATGTACAGGTACTGCATTCCACTGTTTTTAATTAATCCTATTCTCATAAAAATATTTACCAACATCTAATATTCGACTCGATTATCTTATATAGAACTTTAACACATATAAAATCAAACACTCACCTGGATTGTGTTGACGATGATTTCTTCCCATCCATGTGATTGTAGTGTTGTTCTAAAGCATCTAATAGACTGCTGGGAGCTTTGGTTAAGTCGGGAATATCACCTTTATCTATTCCAACATTCTGAAATGAAAAAAACAATATAATAACTGGAATGAATCAATACAAGTGAAGTTCGTACCTCAGCGACTTTCAAAAACTCTCCTACCCTGTCCATCCTTACGAGGAACTTTTTATAAATATCCAAGGCTTCTTTGCATTGCTTCTTGTTCATATCGAAGAATTTTTCTGGAAAAAAAAACAATCGTATAAACCTACTATAAACAAAAGTCCTAAGACTATATCTAGTTAGAAAGATACATAGTGCTGAAAATTTGTACTATACTGATAAGACTTGTTAAGGACAAAACATACACATTCGTCAAATAACGTTGCCGTGAGGAGGGTATATTCTCAATGTAGAAGAGATTTAAGTTTTTTACATGGATTATATGTCAATATTCAAACCCCTTAAAAGAAATGGTCGGACAAACATTTCTCAAGAAATACAATTTATGCAGAATTAAATACGTCATCTAAAAATGGAATCAATGTTTCAGAAAATCGTAGCATGGTGTAGAAAATATTTTTATTTTAGCCTTTGTATACGTAAAAATATCTCAGTTTCTACGTCACTGGTACACGTACAAAATTTTTAATAGATTGCTTTATCATCTCGGTATTGAAATCCTAACTATAACACTATCTAGGGAGGCATTTCATGACCCATGTTTATATGAACTTTTCGTGTTACTTTTGGACCTATTTCTGCCTCAGAAATATTGTTACTGTCTTCTGAATCACCATGTACTTGGTGTATGATATCACTAATATTAGAGTATGTTGCCCACCAGCACAAAATGTCATTATTTTTATATCTTACCTAACAAATTTATAATTCCATCATTGTAACAAGCAAAAAGTCTTATGAGATCCCTAAATAACAGCATGAATGACATATTGATAACTCCGTTCGTGAGGTCATTCGCAGAACAGTCAAATTCCAACAGGGCATCGAGTTGGTTTTGTAGTACGGGTAGTGTCTTTAATAGTTTATCAGCATTCATCGTTCTTAACATACCATCTTCTTTTCTGTAATAGAATAACATCATTTATATTTAACCGGGAATACATTTTTTATTCGTTATCAGTAAATTTCACAAGCCATTACAAATATATTGTTTGACAGCTACAGCAAAAAGCAACTCATTTTCATTTGATTACAGTTACAGTTATAAAGTTATAGGATTCCATTCTACAATCAAAGACATCTTCAAAATGTCTATATGGGTCCAGATGTCAGAAACTACTCCATACTACATGTCGAGGCGTTTTCATATCACACATACGGTACAAGAGTTCTGAATATTTTACTATAGTCAACGCCAAACAAAGTGGCGTGCACGTCATCACGATAAAAATTCCCCGACCTAATGCCTAGGTTTCTATCACAAACAATTGCTCTATTGCAGTTTCATATTAATGTGATATATAAATTGTAAAATGGTCATTACTCTCTTATTATGGTTAATAGTCATATAAACATTGTTATTAAAATATCACATAAGTTGCTTTCTGATAAATTTAGACGCATTATGCGAAATAAAATGTTTTGCAAACGCTCCAATCACTTATCGACATGTAAACGCACTAAACCGATTTCGCAGCGTTGACACATTGTCACCTTGAAACTTATTTAAACTGGGAACTGACATTTGTATTAATTTTGACACTGAATCAATTTGTGGCATTTCAAATCTTTATAAATCCTTTGGCCCCGCATACTGTAAATCAACAACAGTTTGTTTCAAAACAAAATTATTCATTTTACGAGTAGATAAAGGCAATTTTGGTATATAAAGATGCCCAAACAGTTAAATAGTCGGTGTAAGGAACTCGTGGCCTCGTTAATGCACTACTTTGAGCAAGAAAGGGACAACAACGGGCCTTTGTTGCCTTTAAATGCTGTTCAAGAGGTAGGTTATTAATAATTATATGTAATGTATATTAATAATAGTGAAATTTTATTTCATTTTTTGTAGCGTGTTGCTGCTGCTTTAAAAATTAGTTTAAGGACAGTTAGTCGTATTTCCGAGGGTGTGAAAAGTGATGCAAATTTAGAATCGCCCAAGAAAAAGCGGAGTTGTATTAAACGTGTAACCAACACAGCGACATTGGATACAAGTGTCATTCGAGAAGTGATCTATAATATGTATCACAAAAGTAAGATCTTATTATAATAACTTATCAGAAATTTGCATTAATTTGTTAACTAAATTATAATGTCATATTACACATGGTTTCAGAAGAACAAGTTACGATACAAACTTTATGGTCTCGATTAAGAGATAGGGCATTATTTGATGGTAGTGCCACGTCTTTAAGGCGGTTGCTTAGAGATCTTGGATTTAAGTGGCTTAAGGACAATCCGCGACGAGGGCTCATGGAACTACCAAGTATAGCTTTGAAAAGGGTGGAATTTCTAAGGCAATACAATCAAGCCAAGGTTGAGGTCTTATACCAGTTTGTCTTCCTCGATGAAACTTGGATATTTCAAAATGGGACCATAGGTCGCTCTTGGCAAAATGGAAACCAAAAAAGCGTGAAAGCTATTAAAACAGATGGTAAAAGGTATGTACTTTTACACAATTTGCACTATAAAATTTAAAACTAATATATTTTAGATACATTATATTACATGCTGGAAATGAAAATGGGTTTATTGAGGGTAGTGAAGCGATATTTTCTTCGAAAACAAAATTGAGCGATTACCATGGAGAGATGAACCAGGACAATTTTTTGAAATGGTTTCAACATCAGTTATTAGAAAAATTGGAGAGTCCATCTATGATTATACTGGATAACGCCCCTTATCACAGCATGATATTGAACAAAGTGCCCAACAATGCATGGACAAAAAAAAATATCCAAGACTGGTTGACAAATCAAAACATACCATTTTTAAACACAATGTTTAAAACAGAGCTATTGAGTATTGTTGCTCGGTACATAATGCTTCTTAATTATATATATTTTGGTCGACAGTTTATATTTCTTTTGTTTATTCCTATTCTTAAAATAACTGCTTTTTTAGAAACAAACCACCTAAAATATACGTGATTGATGAATTGGCGGAACAACATGGGCACAAAGTTCTTCGTCTGCCTCCTTACCATTGTATATTTAACCCTATTGAGTTAATTTGGGGCATAGCAAAAGGTTACTATAACAGACATATTGGTAGAGATGGTAACAGTGAAAAAGACTGTTTGGATATGTGGAACGAGGCTCTACAAACGGTTACCCCAGACATGTGGAAAAATAGTGTTCGACATACTGAGCAAGAAATTTTTAAATGGTATGAAAGAACGAATTTTTGATCGACCAGACATCGAACCTTTAATAATCAACTTTGAGAGTGATGAAGATTCAGATTCAGACAGCGCTGAAGAAAGAAACTCCGACTAACTTTATTGTACAGAAAAAGCTTACACCAGTAGCTTACCTAATTTTAGAATGCATTTTTCTGTATGAATTCTGTAAAATAAATACCATGCATAAAATTTGGAGGACCCCATTTGGATTTTTATTCAGTACCTTTAAGCTATCAATTAAATATGGTAGTTTCATAGTGTCATCTGATCAATAATTGTCATACTTAATGATTATGCAAGTACAGATCTATAATTTTATTATACTATTATTTTTGTTCTCATTTGAGGTTAATATTGCTTATAAACCTAGATATGTAAATAATAAATTTTATTATTTTACAAAAAGTTTGGCAACAATGTAAGTTTTTCAACACACCCACCTTGATGACGTGCACGCCACTTTGTTTGGCGTTGACTATACCTTAGCATCGGTTGACACTAACTGAAAAAAACTCTTATTTGTGCGCAAAGTTGCATAATAAACTACCTAATCATTTAAATGCGATGGAAGGTACTGAAACCTTAAAAAAACCTGAAACGGGTGTTAGTTCCACATCTATGTCATTTGGAGATATTCTGTACTTGTGATTCTAGATTTTACATAAATATTATTCTTATTACTCCATAAACCCACTGTTAAAATTCATTTAGAACAAAGGTTTAATCGAGAAAAATGTTAAGCAACTAACTACCTAATATCATCCAGGTTGCTTTTATATAATCACAATTTTTTACTTATTTGTTTTTTCGTATAGTCAGGCGAACTCATGAAAGTACTAAATAACATAAATTTGAATTGATAAATGTGAAACATGTACAAAAATCTTAGTTTTTTTAAATATCCGGAGTGAACATTCATCCAAGTAAGACGAATATAATAACCTACACACAACCATTATCTTTTTAATGAGGATAAAAACAAGGACCTTCTCGTTTGGCAGCTACGAGAAGCTCTATAAAGAAAGAGAGAAAAACAAGTAGATACATAAATGAACCAACTTTATACGTTTGCTTGTGGATAGTAACCTAGCAACCTTGGTAACTATAGACGACAAAAATGACTACTGCATGGTTAATTGCTTCGTTTTAAAAATCAATTGTAATATATTGCTTGGCGATTTCTTAATTACTCATACATGTGAATGTGATACTGGTAGTTTCTTTACGAGAACAAGAAATACCCGTGATCAAACTTCATTGAATAAGAGATCTCGGCTTTCTTGTGGTACATCCCATGTGCCAAATATCTGAATCGTAAGCACTGTAGAAAAAATGACATTACGCGATTTTAAAGAACCAATTTAGCTGGAGCTAGACGGTCCCAAGTAGCGCAGGACATTGGCTAAACATTGTTTTTATATGGGATCAATATTCGTATATATACAGGGTGGCGCATCGAAAACGAAACAGACGCATTTACTGACAGCTCAGTTTTTTTTTGAAAAATGCTCAGACCCGTCGATTTTGTTTTCGAGGGGACACAAGTTTGGCAAAAAATCACGTTATCACGTGCAGCCCCCTAAGCGGGGGTGATACCACCCCCAAAATCTTAAATGGAAAGGGGGTTCGAGTGATACCTTATTATAAAGGTCTTTCAATTGCCTTTATAATGATATATAATTAATGTACTTCAGTTTAGCAGTTTTGAAGATTTATTGATTTAAAGCTTAAAGTAGACTTTAATAGGTACATCAGATTAGTTTGTACTACTTTCAGAAGAATTTTGACTAATTTTGAGGTTAGAGTTACCGCCCCCTAGCGGGCAATCTATAATTAGATACATTCAATCAGGTGTATCACAAGTCGCAGTGCTGGGACCATTGATGAATTTATTTTACACTGCAGATTTGTATGATAATTTAATGGCTACGTATATTCCACGAGTCCATGTCGAAAGTAAATGAAGACCGTGATTGTGTTAATAGATACTATAGCTCTCACAACTAGCCATTTAGCCTCTTGGGCTGATCTACTATAAACAAGATTTACTTTCAATAATCTTCAAGTGTAGCATGCACTAGTTTACACTTAATCTACAATCTACTTACCCCCTCTTAACTTTACAAAAATCGAAAGCCACAGTTCTGTATGAAAGAGCTTTTTCATTCAAATATTTCGCATATCTTCTGATGAAAGGGGACATGTCATACCCTGAAAAATAAAGTATATGAAAATTACAATTACAAATTACAGTCAGTACAAATAAAATCTAACAAACATAACACGCCTTGTCTAGAACCAAAATAAAAAATTACTTCGGCAAAGCTTTGTATAAACGCAAAATATAAACATGCTTGGTTAACATACGCCATGTGATCGTGTAGGTTGAATAAAATGTGTAAGCACTTTGACATATCAAAAGGTCTGTCTAAAAGTGAATGAATCATATAAACAAAACAGAATACAATTTATTTCAAATATGTTACGGAAAATTTAAGTTACAAATTAGATCTAACATTTGAAACTCATCATGTGGTTATCTCGATATGTATCTGCATGTTTCACAAGCTGTAAAATAAAACCGCAGATGGAGGTTTACTAACTTTTCGGCTACCTCAATGGATTTTTTCAAAGACAAAATGATAGTGAACTGTTACCTGGAAGACAGATAAAAAAATTGTCGTTGGCATTTTTAGTTGTCCTTGAAAAAGTAACCGTTGTGTCCAAAACGTTCGTAAATTCTCCAACTCAATATCTATGGTTTTATTTGGCAACCAGTGAAACATGGATAAATCAGTAGATATAATATGTTTCGTTATATCTTTGGAAACAGTAAAATATATATAAATCAGACGGATCAGAAAGTTTCAAAAACAACAACCGCTAGCATTTCTACTTTCACTGCACACGTTACGTTATCCCATACTCAAATGTACGAACATTATATCAGGTGTAGATATTTAAATAATGCATTCTACATGTGTACAAGTTTCTAATCACTAGATTCCTCAACTATGCATTACGTTTTGTTTTCAAAAGCTGAAAGCCCTTAAAGCAATACTTGTTTTTTAATGTGATGAACATGAGATATAGCAATTAAAATAATCACACAAAATAAAAAATCTGACATTTATACCTTCGCTAAAAACTTACCAGACTTATTACCCAAGATGCCTAATGAAAATACATAATTTGTTTAAATATATTCATCTACAGTTAAAAATATTTGGAAAACACATACGCGATCGGAAAAATATTTACGACTTCGTCAAATAGTTACAGGATGTCCCAAAACTATTATGACGGGAATTGAGGATACATGGGCATTGATGTTAATGGTGGGAGGCATTGCCGTAAATGTGCAGGCAATGTTGTTAATATAACAAAAAAAGTGTTCTTATTCAAGTTTCCAACGTTTGGCCTTTTTTTGTCGCCATCTTCAGGGCTTCAAGCTGTAGTACAACACACTTGTAAACAATAAAATCGTAAACGGAAAAGATCAGTTAAAAGGGTTGCCCAAGAAAATAGACACAGACGTAAAAACCACCGAATGAGAACAATGTCATTATACGTGAGTACATATCAAGAAGTCACGTTGTAGAGATTTCAACAATTAAAAAAAAGTACAAAATTGAACATTATATAGAAACAAATATAAAAAAACTGGTTCAAAAAAACAGCAATAAAAGTATAAAATATATAAAATTGACAACCAGCAAACATGCCTCAGATCAGCTATGAAAAACAAATTAATGAATAAAACATGAAAAAACAAACACAGTAATATGTAGCTAATCTGGTGATGGAAGAATTAATACACAGTTGTTTCAGCTTTTGATTTTGGAGTACCACTCGTTAAACTTTACGAAGACGATACGACACAGCTTTAATTCCTTCCATGAGTTTACCATGAAGACAATTGCAATATTCTATTTTTGGATGTCTCTTTGTCAAGAACAGAGAATATTAGAGTATTGTTTAGTTGGTACGAGAAGCGTATTAGCTCAGGCAGGTTGTTGAATTTTTATTCTTAAATCAAAATTGGCAAATTCAAGTTTCTAAGTAATGTTCCATTTTTTTGTTTTTTAAATTGTTGAAATCTCTAAAATCATACGAAAACGTTTATTGTTTTTGTTGTGCCGTTTTAATGTCTTTGTGTATTTTCTTGGCCAATGTTTTTTACTGAACTTTTTCATTTAATGCTTCATTTACGATTTTAAAATTTCACAAATACACTTTTTCACATTTTTTAGCCCTGATAAAGGCGAAAAATAAACGCCGAAACGTTGGCAACTTGAAAAAGGACAAAAGAACACCTATATCTCCCAGAAGCCAAAGAAATCAAAAGTACATATCAGACACTGGGATAAAAACGTATTTTTTTGTATCACAAAGCTTTTGCTACAATTAATTTTTGTGACATACAAAGTATCTAAATACATCCGTGATAATACATAACGGATTCTTTCTTCGCTTACCTTGAACTCCACTTTTGTCTAGGAAATTACTGAGTTGGAAAGTACTATTGCTCGATGCTAAATATTGCGTAAACCTCTGTAAATAAAAGGTAAAATCAATGTTATAAAATTTTAATGGTCAATATCACGTTGCGTATTACTTTGTACAGGGAGATCAAAAATAGGGTTTTAGTATTAAATTTGCGTTTAGTCTTGTGGGTGTTTGCCGCCGCGTCACAAAATTGTGTCTTTTTTAAATAGGCGTCACTCAGGTGACTCACATCTTCCCAAATAGTAGAGTATCTTCAAACAAAAGTTTTGATTTTGAGTGAAATTATCAGAAAATCTAAAATTACCATGTTCCCAAATATAAACGAGATTATCACCTACTTTAACAATGTTAAAGTTTCGAAGTATCAAACGTCTAGTTTACCGTATGGTTCCATTGAACTTACGACTTTTAATGAAATTTTGGCCAAATTTGCCATATTATGACCCAATCAAACTTACGACTTTTAACGAAATTTTGATCAAGTTTTCCATGTGGCTTAGCTGAACTTATGACGTTTAACGAAATTTTGATCAATTACACGAACACCTCGAAAACATGACAACCACGGAATTTTCCTCATCTTTTGTGGTCATAGTGCAGCATCATAACAACATTCCTTTTTGATCTCTGAACTTGATTCCAAAAATAGTTATCGAGCGTTCGTGTACTTTTAAGACGTGCATAATGCTAAAGGCCGGTCCAAACGGTACGTTTTGCAGTACTTTTTCTCTGCGCAGTCTCGAATCTACTGTCAAAAATGGTGGTTGATTGAATCACCTCGGAGATCATTGTCTAGGTCATATCTGAGGTCATCAATAAAGTGCTTATTTGATACCCTGAAGCTGTTCATTGAACCCTTTTTCCAAAAAAAATTATGGTTGCCAAGTTTTCAGCATGTTGACTTGGATCTCACGTATGAAAATGAATTCTAATGTAAAATCTGGAGCTCGACACCAATTTGTTGTCACAAATGGTGATTGCTATTTGAATTTACACACTTAACCTCCAAATGACCTTTGAGGTCATTGTATGGGGTCATATCTGAGCTCATATAAAAATTTATTTTTTGATACCCTAAAACTTTGCTTAGAATCGTTGTTCTAAAAAAAGTGTGGTTGCCAAGTTTTCTGGGTTCAAGTATTTTTTTACAACAAAGGAGTGGAAAACATCACAACCACATTGCGTTTCATAACAGCGATTGCCACTTTGTAAATATTAGCGTGGCTGCACAGGTTCTGAATTACGATTCGGAATAGCCCAGAAAAATGAGATATGTACTGTTACAAAAATCCCAGCAAAAGTTTAACTTTGCTGCGCTATTCCGGTCAGAAATGGCTCACGAATATTAGAGTTTCCTGGCAAAAATTGAGATCTGTAATTTTTCTGGTACAAAAAATCTAATACTCCTGTGCTATACCGAATCTGCATTCCGAAAGTGTGCGGCGGCGCTAAATGTGCCATCGAGAAGAACTTCGAATGGGGAGCCGTGACTTTTTTTAGCGCAACAAATAGCCAGTAACAATATAAGAACGCGTGGAAAGGGCCGAATACATCTACGTGACGCCAGTTGTTTTCCCGTGAAATAATATAATGTTTTACCCCGTAGCGCATCATGTGATGTACGGATTCGGAATAGCCCAGGAACATTAGACATCCTGAACAAAAATCCCAACTGCATTTTTTTTCATAGAAGGAGTTCAACTTTGCTGCGTTATTTCATCAGAAATGGCTTACGAGCATCAGACTTTCCTGATAAAAATTGAGAAATATCATTTTTCTGGCAGAAAAAGTCTAATATTCCTGTGCTATGCCGACACTGCTATCCGTCACAACACTAAAAGTCGTGGGGAAGTACTGAATACATCTACTTGACGCGTTTTATCTTCCCGTGAAATAATATGCTTTACCTCATTTCCGTAGCACATCATGTGATGTACGGTGACCAGGGCCTTGTAGACAACAACCCAGTTTGTGTTCTGTGACCTTTCGATGAGTAGGTTTGCCAACTGGGGTATGGAAACGTTGGGTTCATTTGTGCAGTGAACTAGATCTGGAATAAAAAGAAACGGATTTGTATAAATGCGAAATCAATACAGGACTGAACGAATTTTAATTCAATTATCAAGCATATATAATTTGTTTCATTTTTATTTATGATTATTTACCATTGAAATAGGATTTCTAAATATAATCACTCGACTGCCATCAGTTCATAAAAGATACGTTCCGCACAAGTTAGCCCACGTGGGCTAGCTACAAAGATGAATAACAACAAATTGAATGGATCAAGTCAGTCAAACAGGCTCATACAATTACTTCATGCTCCGCACCCCTTTAAAAACGTTAAGGCTATTTGCTTCTCGGCCATCTGGCAACGGTGATGAACCATACCTTCCAACAATGCCATGCCAGCCACCATAATATTACTCGGAATCGAGATCGCCGGAGATGCAGTCAGATGGACACAGAGTCTGGCGTATGTAAATATGTCTCTAAGATGTAAGGGCAAATTTACGGGAAAACCTATAAGTGAAATATGTACAGTAATTTTAATAGGAGCGCCTATTAAAATTACCGGGGTTGAAAGTGTATACATACACTGCCTCCAAAAAATTAAATATATGCTTCCCCATCCCCGATATTTAACCTCCCCAAAAAATTTTCCAAAAAAGTTTGAGCGATTTTTATTAATTTTCTTTTTGTTTTTTGCATTTCACGCCTCCCCCACTGGACCGACTTTCAAAAACTACAAAGCATTTTCGTAGTTTTTACAGTTACCTCGTGTGAAAATGTCATCAAAACCCGAGCGTACAGACATGTTTTTCCGTGATAATATAACACCCAAATATCTCATTTTTGAAACACGATTACAATACTACTGATGGGAAGTAAAAATGAATCGTTTTTGAGAAAATCAGTTTTGTATTTTACTTGACTACTACCTAGTTATGTACCTCATAGTTTGCGCAAAATTCACCGTTTCGGTTGTTGCCCACACGTAAACTTACGGTGTCACGGCCACAATTCAATGATATTCTAAACACGGTACATTCAGCAACCTAACGCATTTTTATCGGAATGTTCTGAAAGGTTAAGGACGCCGAATACGAGGTGAGTTTTAATTTTCTATCGCCATCATGAAAAAAAACTGTATTATTGCAGAGCTGTAATACGTATCAAGTTAATAAAACGTTGCTGCGCTGGTAGAACATTTTTTTTATTTAATGGATCTAACGATTAAATGATATTGAATTGTTTTTATATCGTAAAATAAGGACAGTTATTTCATCGTTAGATAACGATTCGAGGCGTTTTCTTTTCGTAGTAATGGTTCTAGATCCCATGTACCATGGGGATGTCCATGTCAGAGAATTTTAAAACTGTACATTTCCATAATCCCCCATATTTGTCTGGCCAATCAAACTACAATGGGTCTAAAGATATTTTTATTCTATACAGGGTGTTCCTTAATGATATGCGAATATTTAAGGGTGTGAATCTACATGAAAAATTAATGTTAGTTTGCTCTACAAACTATGGTCCAAAAATTTTTTTTACAAAAAATCGGGGTGTTGAAGTTTTAGGAAAAAAATGGAAATTAATATTTTCAGAACCGCTTCAGATATTTCACTGATATTTAGTACGTAGTGAAAGTTATTAAAGTATTGACTTCAATATTGTTTAAGAAAAAACTGGTACGCCAATAGTTTATTGCCAAATACAAATTATTTTTGAATTCCTCGTTCAATTTAAAACAAATGATCTCGCTTGAATTGTTTTCCTTCGATGCGCCATTTTTGAGTAAACAAATAAAAACCGTTCTATTGTCTAACTTGCAAAATTATTATTAATTTAATTGCAAAAATTAAACACAATAGGGGTAATGAACAACAACAACTGACAAAATAACATTAAAACCAACTAGATGATTACAAAAATTGTTGAAAATGGCCCCCTGCACTTAGTATGCATGCTTCCGCCCTCCTTCTCATGGAATTGCGCACTCGTTGAAATATCACTGGAGTGTTTTTTATTCTATCACAAGCTGCAACTATTCTTTCTCTTAATTCCACTACAGTGTTAATGGGACTTGCGTACACTAGTATCTTAAGTTAACCCCACAAAAATAAATCTAAACTGTTGAGGTCTGGGGACGTTGGTGGCCATTCTTGGGGCCCACCGCGGCCAATCCAACGATTTGGATAAACAGTTTGTAAATAATTACGAACCGCTACACTGAAATGCGCTGGTGCACCATCATGCATGTACCACATATTGTTTCTTATTACTAACATCAAGCAGCAAAGGCAACTGTTGTTGAAGAAAGTTGAGGTAAGTCTGTCCGTCAAGTCGTCCCGGCAAGAAGAATGGGCCAATAAAGTGGTTGCCAATAATTCCTGCCCATACGTTAACCGAAAACTGGTGTTAGAAATGGGTTTCGGATACGGCATAGGGGTTTTCTTCTGCCCTCAAATGATTATTATGGAAATTCCGAATGGCATTTCGAGAAAAATTAGCTTCGTCCGTGAACAGAATCATTGATTCAAATTGCAGATGTTGTGTAATCACACGCCTTGGAAAAGCAATGCCTGTACTCTTAAAATATGGTAAGGATATAACAAAAAATCCACTAAAATTCTCCAAACAATTTGATGGCAAACATTTAAGTGTCTAGCGCTCTTCCTCGTACTCGTTCAGGATGTTCTTCGACTTGGTGCAGCACTGCTTCCTCAATTTCACGTGTTCTCACACTTAGAGGTCTACCTTCAGATGTTCCTTTTCGGAAAGAACCAGTTTCAACAAGACGACGATGAATATTAGAAAATGTTCGACTATCTGGCAAAGCACGATCGGAATATCTCTGGTGATAAATCCGTCTGGCTTGCTCAGCATTACCGTCGGCAAGGCCATATACGTAATGCATTTCCGCCATTTCAGCATTTGAATAATTCACCATTATTAACACGATTGTAAAAACTAAACGATGAAAAAGATGTCACAGCGAACAGATTTGAATACAAGAGACTTGTCAGGTGTCAAAAGTCAGTGACATCCTAAAACTTCAACACCCCGAGTTTTTGTAAGGAAACATTTTTGGACCATAGTTTATAAAGCAAACTAACATTAATTTTTCATGTAGATTCACACCATTAAATATTCGCATATCATTAAGATATATGTTTCGGTCCCGACGGTGACATTCTTCAGTACAATGGACACTTCTTTGACAATATATTTTATTTATCAGTCTTCCAGGTGACAATTCGTTTATTTTTCTTTTAATTTTCTCATGTCTATACAGTGTGTTACTAAAATAGTCTGAAAGGTCCGTAAAATGCTGAGATTGCGCGAAGTCATTTTGCGCTCAAAAAGCGGTTTGCCTGGAATTTTGTATAAACTTGATATACAGTCATACTCAGAAAAACAGTACCAATACTTCTGGGCATCAAGTGGATCAAAAAATAACACGAAAAGTTAACATAAATATGGATCCCAGAATGCCCCCTTACCGAAACACAGGATTTGAAGTCATTTTGGAATCTAAGAAAAAAATTGTCACACACAGAAAAATGTGATTGAGGCTATACCAGTGACGTAGAAATTGGGAAATTCTGACCTCTAGAGAAGAGGAAAATTATTTTCTGCGTCACTAACTTTCGAAAAATCCATCTTTTAATAAGGTATTCAATTTTACATGAATCGTTTCTCTTGATAATTTTTTTTTTACTATTCCTCTCGGAGAAAAATTGGTTTGAATAGAAGAAATTACTTGTCTTTGTGAAACCCCGTATATGCAGAGTAGTTGGTTACATTTGTATAATTATGCAAAACAAAATGTAACGATATGGCAGGCGAGAGACGAAAACAAGCGGACACTGATAACAAACTGATACGAACGCCCAAGTATCACTGTCAGTACCAGACACACAAGCAATTCAAGTGGGCGTTTTCTGCTTTAATCTGTGACCCCAGCCACATTACATGAGAGATCACACAATTAAAACATACAGGGATGGTATTAAATTCTTATCACATACAGGAGAAATGTTTTTCAAATTACTTACGTAAATTGCATTAAAGAGCTATCTCAAAGCCGTTTTTGATCGAATAGCTGTCATTAGGAAAATCGTCTTAAGTCCAGGATTTTTTTGCATGTATCTCGTAGAATTATGCTGCTTTCCGCAGTGGTTGATTCTGGTGAGATCGGGCGCTTTTCGCTGTCTTATTCCGATTGACCGAATCTCCGGTATAGTTGCGATGTTTTCGTTCGTTTGTCCAGAGATGCTGATGAGTAGCCAAGAAGCGCGAAACAGCTGTCCACGGTTGGCTGTCTTTTTGGTCGGACGGAGAAAAGCATCATGGAACATGTTTTTTTAGTCTCCAGGGCACTTTAGATGGTGTATATACAAAAAACAATAATTTTCCACATCGAGTTAGGTCCAGGCTTTTTTCGATAAATCGTGGTTATTTATCACATTCTAACGACGGAAATGAGTGGAATGATTCTTCGTGATATGTCTAAAAAACAATCATTTTCGAATGTTTTTGCAATTTCAATACTTCCTCGCCGGTGGCGTAGGAAGTTAAATGAGCATTTCATGAAAATAATGAGGAACCGAGAAGATAATGAGTAACAATGGAAAAAAATAATCCGCCTTGATCATTGAAGTCATGAAAAGCTCACAAATACATTTCTCCCGCTTCGCTATTTTGTAACTTCCTGCAGATGAAATACAGTCTCTTGGATAAAACGACATCGTCTAGTTTAGTACAGATTTTAGTGATGCTATATAAACAAACATTCTTTGAAGTACGGTTGCGTATTTCAGTATCCATCAGAAAAATGTTAAGCACCCGTCTATTCATGCAAACGCTGAAAATAGCATCACGTTGATGTTCATCTTGAATTCCCAGGCCTTATAGACGTCTCGGTGAGATGACATGCTCTGTGACAGTTTGATGACTTTTTCCGCTTGTTTAGCGCTTGAAACAACTTCCTCGTTAAATATAAATATGCAACTCGGCCCAGCATCGAAAATATCCATTAAAAATCAAAATAAACGTCAAACATGTTGGAAAAATGAATCATTGATCTAGAGTCAGCAAAGATATACGCTGGGAGTATGTCCTCGTTTTGAAATCGCACCACAAATAACGCCAAGAAAAAATAAAAACGAGTTTGGCAAAATGAGTTTTTTTTTCGTTTACTTCTGGACTGAATCGTGAAATTTTTAAATGCCATTTTCTTGGTGACCTGAAAGGATCCATTTAATTTCATATTCGATGGTGAGAGTCGAATTTGAAACACCCGGTGTATGAACATGAAAACCACATGATAAGTTTCAAGAGTTTCACATTACCCCGTACAGGGTTTTAATCCAGTACCTATCCAAACTTCAATGAATGACTCCTTGGACGATTCTTTTATGTCTGTTTATAGCTACAAACCTGTTGATTCACTAGTTTGCGAAAACTATTTCAAAAATAAATTAAGCTCTGAACATATTTTTTCATTGAATAAGATTAGTTCAAATGACGTATATAGGCAATAGGGACCCTAAAATCTGATGCGAAGGGAATTGATGGAATATCCCTGGAAATGATCCAGCTTTGCCTGCCAGTTATTCTCCATCACATCGTCCACATCTTTAACGACTGTTTAAAAAAAGGCTACTTTCCAAACACATGGAAACAAGCTCTAATTATTCCAATTCCTAAAAAAAATGAAACCCACTGAGTATAATGATCTCAGACCTATCAGTTTATTACCAATGTTATCCAAAATTTTAGAAAAGTTCCAATTGACCGCTTACCTAGAAAAATTCTTTATACTTCCCGACACTCAATCCGGATTTAGAAAAAATTATAGTACATCTGCCCTACTTAATCTGCAAGACAATATTTTAAGTGCCTTAGATAAGAAAATGACACTAGCCTTAATCTCTATAGACTATTCGAAAGCCTTTGACAGCATCAATCATAAATGATTACTTGCTAAATTAAATTACATAGGTCTTGACAGTGTATCCCTTTCATTTTTCGACAGTTACCTTCATCAAAGAACTCAGTGTGTTTTTCTCAATCAAGAAATGTCTCAAGTGACAATAATTCCCTCAGGCGTACCTCAGGGCTCTGTATTGGGGCTTCTGTTCCTCATATATACGTTCGACTTAAGCAAAAGTATTGATAATTCTCATGTCGAGTCATTTGCAGACGATACGCAATTGCTTCATTATTTTAACCCAGATAATGTCAATTATACTACTCAAATTTTACAAAACGATGTTAATAAATTAATTAAATACTCGTTAGATCTCAATCTACTTATTAATCCACAAAAATCTAAAATGTTATTATTTTGCGCACAAAGAAAAACATACAATGTAACACAGCTCTTGAACATTCAGATAAATACGCAAATCTTGCAATTTTCTGATTCTGCAAAAATTCTTGGTGTTGTTTTTGATACAAAATTGAGGTTTATTGAACATGTTAAAAGTTTATCTCAGAAAACCTACCTACGGCTGCGCACTCTTATAGCAAACAGGTATTTACTAAATTTTAAGTTGCGTAAAAAACTATGTGAAGCATTGGTCATATCTATACTAAATTATTGTAATATCGTATACTATACTTGTTTAGACAATTTCACTAAAAACGTTATTCAAGTTATTCAAAACAATTGTATACGATTCATTTTTAGCTTACGTAAATTTGATCATGTATTAGCGAAATATCCCGTTCTAAACTGGTTAAAAATTAATGACCTGGTCAAGTATCACTATTCAGTTTTTGTTCACAAATTGCCGCTCACGTCTAAACCTTATTACATGAAGGAAAAATTTTTATTTAATAATGATGTTCACTGTAGAACTCTCAGAGAAAATAATATTAGAATACCCCTGCATACGTCTACACTTTTTAAACGCAGTTTTTCTTACAATGTTGCTATTATTTATAATGACCTTCCTAAAGTATATAAAGAATTTTCATTACCTGTCTTTCGACAAAAAGTTAAAACATTATTTCTCAACCCTCCAAACATATAATTTACGTAATCATTCATTTCTTTTTTATTCCATCTTTAATTCAGATTAATAATTTTTTGGTGCATTTGGGTTTGGAAAGTATGCCTTTTTCTCTTTTTTTAAATTTTACTTTCGATGTAATGAACCAAATCTGTTTGTGGATAGTGTATTCTTTTGAACATCTGCTAGAGACTATATGGTTAAGTGTAAGAGTAGCAGCATGCTAAACTTCGCCATGTAAGTCTGACATTTGGCTATACTACAATGTAATTGTGGATAAATAAAGACGTCTATTATTATTATTATTATTCTACTAAATACTGTAATTATCCTTAATCCGATTTTGTTAAAATCTGTCGAATTTTCTCTTCATATCAACACTGTCCAGCCTTTCTTTAAAATGAGAATATTACAGTAATTGCCATTCACGTCATTGTCTAAAACATATCTACTTGAGGGTTTAGGCATACGCACCAAGTAATCTTGTAAGTTTTCCCATCAATCTATTTGTGGTGTAGGATTTTTTATTCATAGATTTCCTCTTCCAATAAAAGCCAGGTGTATCAGCAATTATGGCAGGCACAGCGACACCGGCTCGTCTCTTTGATTTTCTTTGATATAACTATAAATAGAGCCGAGTTGAGCTGCCCTCTTCTACTTTCAAATTAGATTGGATTGCGTTCTTATTTTTAGAAGCAATTAAAGCCGTTATTTTCCCATCAGGCGGTAATGATTGGAATTCCTTCCATTCTAAATGAATAATTACCAAGACAAAAATATGCACCCCTGATATCTTCACACCGGAAAAAATAGTATTTATTGTAACTAGTCGTCTGAAAGGGTGTACTGCCAGTCTCCTTTACTTAATGACTGTTCAAGAAAATTTTATTTCTTCTTTTGATGTGGCCGCTTAATATGTACAAAAAATAGTTTCCTAACTTCAGGCACTCCTTTTAAATCCCACTCAAATTAGATCTTTTTTGGATGTTACATGACATGCGTCTATATGTCGGCTAATCCCTGACTCCCAAAGTATCGCTCAGATTACGATGAGAAAAAGCTTTTTGAGTCTTGAAAATTCATCCAGTAGCGTGGAGCAAGGAGCAAAAACGCAAAAAAAAAAGATGAAAAAATTTCCGTTTCCTGAAGTTTCCATTTACACTGTTTTTGACAGGTCGAAAATTGGGAATTCGAAGATGTAGGGGGCGGTGGGTTGGAAATGTATCTTAGGTGTTTCATTAGAAAGCTTATGATCCCCGTAACATAACTGATCTGTTAATAGTCACATGTGTTTTCCATAGATTTGCAATTGAAACTTTCTGTCAAAAAATGCGTCGAGTAGGTTGCCTCTTCACTTCCTACGCAGCGCCGTCATCAGTTCATGAATGATCAAGTTCAGTGCAATTTAAATCCTCTGAGAACATGTGCAACAGTCAAATTAAATGGATGAAGCTAGTCGAACAGGCTCATACAATTGGTCCATAGACATTCTTTCCATGCCCTATAGTAGTTACTGTCCATCTGACGTTATCGTTCACCACTACAAAAATGTTTCTGAAAATGATCAGGATCCTTTGAAACGTCAAAAAACGAAATTTGAGAGGTTTTGCTTTCTCCATGTTTTTGCCCCTAACTCCGCCGCCACTGGACCGATATTTTCAAATGCTATAAAGCTTTTTCCTTGGCACACTAGTAACCTTGCGTGAAAATTTCATCCAAATCCGAGCAGTACATTCCAAGTTATATTCGGTCCAAAGATCAGCGGACAGACCAACAAACAGACACACAGACCCACGGAGAGTGACATGGTCTTTCGTGATGAACATGTCATATAACATCCAAAAACCACATATCATATTATGTAAGATATACATATTTTAGCGTTGGAGGAACCATTTCGTATATCTTTTTCAAAAGAAACTTCAGTTAACGTTGATATTTATGCATCTATAATTAATTTTGTTTCTAAGGAGCTTTATGCTTCGTAGATTATTCCACATTCCCAGATGCCTAGGAAAAGGAACGTTTATACCGATCAATACCGGACGTTCAGACTGATATGTTTCTGCCAACTAATCGAGATTTTCTGTATTTTGAGAACAGATTATCAAAATTGTAAAAAAGATAAAGCAATTGAACCTTCAAAAAGACTTGAATCAATATCTAGTGTGACATGACCTCGTTCTTGGAACGCATGCAATCATAATCACCAGCATAATTTATAAACAAAGTGACGCATTAACATGCTCTACCAGACCAAATGAATTCATGGAAAAAATTACTATGTATGATATGCCTGAGTCACATATGCTTACTGTTACTCTTCACATCACCGGCTGCGACATTATTGTCTTAATTTACTTAGTTGCAGGTATTCGTAACGCTTCATCAATCAGCTGAGAAATATTATGCATATTGTAATCAGCAAATCGGCGTCTTTAAGCCCCTAATACGTTCCCCGGGGGATCCTCAGGATTGGATCATCAGCTACCCCTAATTATTGAAAAAGATGAGAATTTCCCTTAAGGCGCTTATGAAAGGGCAATATTTTTAATGCAACAGCCAGCAACATCGGTAATATTTTTAGTACGGCCCGGCTACATACAGCAATGGACAAAGGTATATAGACAAATTAATATTGTGCTGTATTTCTTTTTTAACTTGTTTTATTAATACACCAAGCTGTATACATAATTCGTTATAGCACTTATACATAAATAAATTCTATTAGACTCCCTTCAATAAAAAATTAATTGAAAAAACTGGAGCTATGAAGGACAAAAATATTTAGACAAAGCAAAACAATTATAGGAAAAAGAAGCAAAGTTCATTGAATTATAGAAAACCTACCATGTTTGTGTTAATATTTTGTAGCATAACCATTATTATCAATCACCGCCTGACATCGTCTCGGCATAGATTATAGAAGTTTCTTGATATAAGATTCATCAATCTGTCTCCACTTTTGCTCCAAAGCGGCAAAAAATTCATCCTTGTATGAATAATTTTTATCTCGTATTTGCTTATATAAGTATTCCCATAGATTATCGGGATACTATGAAGGCCATTTGAGAACTGGTATTTCTTCATCCAGAAAGAATTTCTTTGCGATATTTGAAGTGTGCTTCGGGTTATTATCTTGCTGGAAGATTGATCTTAAGGGCTTATTGTCTTCCATTCAGGGTAACATGACATGCTTTAGTAAACTTATCCATAATGCCATGTATCTATGTAAAGGTCCCATCCCAAACCCCGAAAAGCACCTCCAAACCATAACAGACCCGCCTCCATGTTTGACAGTGGGGGTTCAATCTTTGTCCACTGGGACGTACTAAAATAATGTTGAAAAGAATTTGTCTACATATTTTTGTCCCTCAGAGAAAAGTGCTTATATTCTGGACCACGCGACATGGTCTTAAAATCACTCAACTTATTCCACAATACTTGATGAACACAAACTAATCCTCTTCTGACACGAAACTGTACTAAAGTAATGTTGAAAAGAATTTGTCTACATATTTTTGTCCCTCATAAAGAAGTGCTTATACTCAGACTTGTATTGTGTTCATTGCAGATAATGCAAAAACAAGGAATTTAGTTTTTCTACTAATAACGCATTTGTTTATGGAGCAATGAAGTATGAATTCGTTTTCTAAAGGTATTTAGGTAAATATTCATATTTGTCTATACACTTTGGTCCATTACTGTAGATACACTTGTTTCCTACTTAATATTGTAAGCTGCCGTGACGCGTAGAATATCGTCAGCCAATCTTGCCTGATTTTGTAGCCCTTTTGATGAGAAATCCTCAAAAGTGTATATTATCTTCGAGGGTCAAGGGCATATCCTCCTCCATAAACAAACATCTTTCTGAATATTAATTCTAAATACCTCTCCTCTCAGCACTTTTTAAGCGGATAATTTCACCTCCCTAGATTCATGATGGTCTAGTTTTATTAGCGTTTTTTTTTTCAACAAGTTATCAGTTGAACATCGCATCCATATCACATAACTGTGTTATTCATAGATTTTTAATGACATTATGTAGTCTTCTATTGATATTATGTAGGATTTCCGAAAAGATGTCAACTTGCAACTAGCTGTCATTCACTTCATGTTTCCTTGTAGTATCTGTGGGCGTTACAAAAATTTGAACTCTTTGAATCCGGGCTACTGTGCGAATCTACAGCGGACAGCCGACTCGTCATATTCCATATAAATTCTCAACATCAAATGAAAAGGAATCTCGTCAATAGATCATAACTTGTTTCATCACATTTCAACATTAATGTAGCTTCACTGGAAAAACTGGTTACTTAGGCAGGCATGGATGCCAATATTAAATTCAGCGTTTGTTGTGAAGTAGTCAACGAGAGTTTTTGGTGTACCGATGTTCAAATGATTACTTGTTGAAAAAAAGACCAGGAATAGCTTTAGCCTATCATGAATCTATGGAGGTGGAAACCTTTCATTGGGATCTACCGAGATGCGGTGTTGTCAAACTAATGTTGCAATGTTGAAAAATTTGTAACGATCCTGAAATTTCAGTTCCATCTGAAATCGAAGTACCCTTAAGACTGATCTGCAATCGATTCTACACCGATTCGACACAGTTCGCGATTTGGAAATGTACGTATATAAGCTCAAAATAAAACCATTATTTGGGCGTAGAAAACAAATTAAAGGTTATTTGCAATATGCATCACAATTCAAGTAAATGATGTAACGTTTGACAAGGGGGTAAGTTACTGTCGTAAATGAATGTCACTGTATATGTCGTGGCCATATCGTAAAACTGACCATTTCATGATCGAGCTTTTCATTAAATGGTCGCATTTCATGAAATGTATCATTATCTTTTGGCCAGATCATGATGTGTTGAGCCGATCAAGCATGTTTGATCAAATCGTAAAATATTCACATTAACTACCGATAAATGTCTAATTAATTTGTTACCAAATGAGGAAGAAAGTGAGATTAAAAGACTTTACAAGTACTCGAGTTCTCGAGTACGATGAGGGTCATGAAAATACCGATCAAAACGTCAAAAAGCCGTGGAGTTCGGAACGTGTTTCACAGGTTAGAACTTCACTCTTAAATTACTTTATTTATTTGAAGTTAAAATCGTGTGTCTGCTAAAATATTCTTTTTATACCGAAGAAGCCTCGCAGACAGAAGCCTAAATGCCAGTGCACCGCGGCTGCAATTATGTTGCTATATTGTGTTTATCTACTGAAGTGTTCTAAATAATTATCATGGTAATTTTTCTTTGATTTTTTAATATAATTATTTTATTTTAATTTCCTGACGTCACTAGTTTTAATGACAATGTTAAAAATTCTATGGACTCCCAATTTTACGAAATGATCAACCTGTGGATGGCCAAATCGTTAAACGTTGACGATTTAAATATATGCGAACATTCCATGAAATGCTCGATCAACTCATGAAATGGTCAATCTACGACATTATACTAATCAAGTCATGATGGCTGGGCTATAGTTATCAATATTACAGTTTCATATTAAAGGAATGATTCCTCAGTTCAGCAAAATTGACTGTATTTCAG